GACACGTCTAGCACTGCAGGATTTGAGTCCCTGGCGGCGTAGTGTTTTACTGATGGTAGGCTTTGTTACTTTGGTCCCAGTTCTCTGCAGGTCATTCACTAGGTTCCCCCGTGTGGTTCTGGGATTTTTGCTCACCTTTCTTGTGATCATTTTGACCCCACGAGGTGAGATCTTGCGTGGAGCCCCAGATCGAGGGAGATTATCAGTGGTCTTGTATGTCTTCCATTTCCTAATAATTGCTCCCACAGTTGATTTCTTCAAACCAAGCTGCTTACCTATTGCAGATTCAGTCTTCCCAGCCTGGTGCAGGTCTACAATTTTGTTTCTGGTGTCCTTTGACAGCTCTTTGGTCTTGGCCATAGTGGAGTTTGGAGTGTGACTGTTTGAGGTTGTGGACAGGTGTCTTTTATACTGATAACAAGTTCAAACAGGTGCCATTAATACAGGTAACGAGTGGAGGACAGAGGAGCCTCTTAAAGAAGAAGTTACAGGTCTGTGAGAGCCAGAAATCTTGCTTGTTTGTAGGTGACCAAATACTTATTTTCCACCATAATTTGCAAATAAATTCATTAAAAATCCTACAATGTAATTTTCTGGATTTTTTTTCTAATTTTGTCTGTCATAATTGACGTGTACCTATGATGAGAATTACAGGCTTCTCTCATCTTTTTAAGTGGGAGAACTTGCACAATTGGTGGCTGACTAAATACTTTTTTCCCCCACTGTATATATAAAAATAAATGTATATATAAAAATAAATGTGTATATAAAAATAGTGTGTTTGTGTGCATGTACAGTTGAAGTCGGAAGTTTACATACACCTTAGCCAAATACAATCAAACTCATTTTTCACAATTCCTGACATTTAATCCTAGTAAAACTTCCCTGTCTTAGGTCAGTTAGGATCACCACTTTATTTTAAGAATGTGAAATGTCAGAATAATAGTAGAGAGAAATATTTATTTCAGCTCTTTTGTCTTTCATCACATTCCCAGTGGGTCAGAAGTTTACATACACTCAATTAGTATTTGGTAGCATTGCCTTTAAATTGTTTAAAGCATCTTCACAAGGTCCTTTGCTGTTGTTCTGGGGTTGATTTGCACTTTTCACACCAAAGTACGTTCATCTCTAGGAGACAGAACGCGTCTCCTTCCTGAGCGATATGACGGCTGCGTGGTCCCATGGTGTTTATACTTGCGTACTATTGTTTGTACAGATGAACGTGATACCTTCAGGCGTTTGGAAATTGCTCTCAAGGATGAACCAGACTTGTGGAGGTCTACAATTTTTTTTCTGAGGTCTTGGCTGATTTCTTTTGATTTTCCCATGATGTCAAGCAAAGAGGCACTGAGTTTGAAGGTAGGCCTTGAAATACATCCACAGGTACACATCCAATTGACTCAAATTATGTCAATTAGCCTATCAGAAGCTTCTAAAGCCATGCCATCATTTTCTGGAATTTTCCAAGCTGTTTAAAGGGACAGTCAACTTAGTGTATGTAAACTTCTGACCCACTGGAATTGTGATACAGTGAATTATAAATTAAATAATCTGTCTGTAAACAATTGTTGGAAAAATTACTTGTGTCATGCACAAAGTAGATGTCCTAACCGTCTTGCCAAAACATTAGTTTGTTAACAAGAAATTTGTGGAGTGGTTGAAAAACGAGTTTTAATGACTCCAACCTAAGTGTATGTAAACTTCCGATTTAACTGTATATACACACACGCATCACCATTTTTAAGACTAGGCTAAAAACCTATCTTTTAAGCCTACATTATGGGTAGTCTTATTTTACTTTTCATTTACTTTTTGTCTTCATCATTGATATTTGGGCGGCAGGTAGCTTAGTGGGTAAGAGCGTTGTGCCAGTAACCGAAAGGTCGCTGGTTCTAATCCCCGAGCCGACTAGGTGAAAAATCTGTCGATGTGCCCTTAAGCAAGGCACTTAACCCTAATTGCTCCTGTAAGTCCCTCTGGATAAGAGCATCTGCTAAATGACTAAAATGTAAATGTAAATATCATGCTTATCATCTTTTCATTAACTCTGACACCTCCTCCCAGACAGTCAGTTTTTCCCTTGATGAATCAGCGTAGGTTTACATTGAAGGGCTAATGGGGCAAAGGTAACTTCACTTTATCCTAGTTAAACTGGTGGTCGAGATGCCAAATGAAGCCACGTCACCTGACCAGTAGGGCTGTGACAGTCATGGAATTTTGGATGATGGTTATTTGTCTTTTTTGGGGGGTTTTACAACGCACATTTTCTCCTCTCCTCCTGACTGCATGTTTTCTCATTTCCCGACTTCGCTCCTGACTATAGGGAGGGGGGCATTGCCTAGGCAACCAAATACTAGTTTTCTACAACACCTTGCTTGTTTCAGCAAGGTGCAACAAAGTTTAATCACGTTGTGAAGAGTCCATGTTACCGTGGAAACGGACTCAACCGCACGAATACCCGAACGTCCCGTCTTCAGTCAGTTGTTCCACACCCGTCGCTATGGGCGGGCCATAGGGAGCCGGGCCCGCCCCCAAAAATGCTTGTGCCCCCCCCCCCACTTGAGGGAATTTATTATTAAATATAGGTACTGTTGGCTAATAATAATTGTGCCGTGCCCTCCCATGCATTTCATATGCCCCCCTTAAGACTGAGGTCTGGCGACGGGTCTGAGTTGTTCGTAAATAAAAATAAACGGTTCTGAAAACATTTAATATATCGTCAGCTACACGATTATGCGGTAATTGTGCCAGCCCTACTGACCAGGACTTGTTCATGTGGTCTGCGAAAACTCCAGGCTCTAAGCATACGGCACAGTATGTTTGAGTGGGTCCGAGTGAAGAGTCTGCGAGTACTGAAGCTAAAGACAGCTGCTAAATGTCAATGCCATATTATGAAACACTGTTCCATTCTGAGCCTACTCAGTCATACAGTATGTATGTGAATGTGTGTGTACATGTCAGTGCTGGCCACAGGTAGGACTGCCTGGCTTGCTTATGTAACCAAGAGACTACCATGCTATTTCTATCAATAAAAGGGAGGATAGGTGGGGTAGGGGGTCATTTTATAAATAAGATTTGTCTTGGGTAATCCAAATACATTCCACAACCATATTTATTTGATGACTTTCTCATAATGGCATTGACTGGCTTTACATTTATAGTCCTCTACCAATATGGCAGACAAATAGAGTGAACTACTAACTACCATGGACAAACAAAATGGCGTACTTACCATTTCTTTCCTATTTCAGTCTCCCTCTTTCTACATTCCTACAAGGGAAGGAGGGTAGGATTTGGTTGTAGATGTTTGTCCCTAGCTACATATATAGGGGGCTTATTTGTAAGGCTGAGCGACCGAAACGACCGCCCAGTTCCACCCCCCTGGACGCCTCTTCCCCAGAGCTAAACAACCTAATCACGTTCAGCGCATTTCTCTGCCTCATATTTCTGAACAGCTGAAATAAAAACCCTGCAGCGATTTGAACAAACATTTTTAAAATACATATATTTTGTAGGCTAATTTGTTTGGTTGTTTAGCGATCGGGAAGAGGTGTCAAGAGAATTCGGCCATGCAGCCACTCCGTATTTTCAAAGGGGCAACTTTGGGGGCTGTAATATAGGGGAAGGGCAGACATGTCCAGTACATTGACATCTGCAGCGTGTTAGAAATGCACTGAGGTTCAGATTGAAGTTAATAACAGCTAAACCTTAGTCAAACCCTTCAGATTATGGGTGTGCATTTTCTTATTCATGACTTTCTGTGTGTGCGTCGAACAAGGCGGTGCCTGTTGCATAAGCAGTTTGTCGTACTGTAAGGTGTGTTGCTACGCTGACGATACACAACTAATCTTCTCCTTTCCCCCTTCTGATAACCAGGTGGCGAATCGCATCTCTGCATGTCTGGCCGACATATCAGTATGGATGACGGATCACCACCTCAAGCTGAACCCTGGCAAGACGGAGCTGCTCTTCCTCCCGGGGAAGGACTGCCCGTTCCATGATCTAGCCATCACGGTTGACAACTCCGTTGTGTCCTCCTCCCAGAGTGCGAAGAGCCTTGGCGTGATCCTGGACAACACCCTGTCGTTCTCCGGTAACATCAAGGCGGTGACCCGATCCTGCAGGTTCATGCTCTACGACATTCGGAGAGTACGACCCTGCCTTACACAGGAAGCGGCACAGGTCCTAATCCAGGCACTTGTCATCTCCCGTCTGGATTACTGCAACTCGCTGTTGGCTGGGCTCCCTGCCTGTGCCATTAAACCCCTACAACTCATCCAGAATGCCGCAGCCCGTCTGGTGTTCAACCTTCCCAAGTTCTCTCACGTCACCCCCCTCCTCCGCACACTCCACTGGCTTCCAGTTGAAGCTCGCATCCGTTACAAGACCATGGTGCTTGCCTATGGAGCAGTGAGGGGAACGGCACCTCCGTACCTTCAGGCTCTGATCAGTCCCTACACCCAGGCGAGGGCATTGCGTTCATCCACCTCTGGCCTGCTGGCTCCCCTTCCTCTGCGGAAGCATAGTTCCCGCTCAGCCCAGTCAAAGCTGTTCGCTGCTCTGGCACCCCAATGGTGGAACAAGCTCCCTCACGACGCCAGGACAGCGGAGGCACTCACCACCTTCCGGAGACATTTGAAACCCCACCTCTTTAAGGAACACCTGGGATAGGATAAAGTAATCCTACTACCCCCCCCCCCCCCCCCCCCCCCCCCCAAAAAAAAAAAAAAGTATAATTGTAAAGTGGTTATCCCAGTGGCTATAGGGTGAATGCACCAATTTGTAGTCGCTCTGGATAAGAGCGTCTGCTAAATGACGTAAATGTGCCCTTGAGCAAGGCACTTAACCCTAATTGCTCCTGTAAGTCGCTCTGGATAAGAGCGTCTGCTAAATGACTAAAATGTAAATGTAAAATGTGTGTGTGTGTGTTTGCATTCAGACTCTCGTCACAGGCGGTAGGTACTGTATCTGGTCTCTGTTGTAGTGGGAGCAGGGTCACCTATCCACAGCTCCAGGGCCAGCTCCTCCTCAGCATGACAACACTCACATATCTCCTCCTCCTGACAACCGCCGCCCAGACTGACACACACACACACAAATGAATAAAAAAATACCACTTGTCTTTAATCCTTAAGAAGTCTACTGACACACCCGTGGGTCAAATCTAAGTAACATAAAAAAAATCCACATCAAAATCCGTCAGTCTAAAAGCTAGAGCTATCAGGTTTTTGAAATGGGCTGTGTCTCAATCCACCGTATCCGCCTATGTCGGCCTTCTGCATCTGCGGTGGAAGGTGGCAGAGCTACAGCGGTGTTTGTCAGACCATGAGACATCTCACAAAAACCTATGTAGCGTCCGAACGGTTTGGCCTGCAAACTATTATTGCACTCTATTGAAAGGGGAGACTCTCACGAACACAATGGAGTTTTTCTCTACGACCCCCACAAGTGTCACGGGACTCTTCTGAAGATAACCCATTCAAAAAGGAATGGAAGTATGGAGGTAGTTGTGCCAACTAAAACAAGGGATTAAAAAAATAATATTTATTTATTATATCTCCTAGATATAGGACATAAAGTGCCTTCAGAAAGTACTCAGACCCCTTGACTTTTTCCACATTTTGTTACGTTACAGCCTTTTTCTAAAATGGATTAAATAAATTGAAATCCTCTCCAATCTACACACAATACCCCATAATGACAAAGCAAAAACAGGTTTAGACATTTTTGCAAATGCATAAAAAAAAAAAAGATATACCTTATTTACATAAGTATTCAGACTTTGCTATGAGACTCGAAATTGAGCTCAGGTGCATCCCGTTTCCATTGATCATCCTTGAGATGTTTCTACAACTTGATTGGAGTCCACCTGTGGTAAATTCAATTGATTGGACATGATTTGGAAAGGCACACACCTGTCTATATAAGGTCACACCGTTGACAGTGCATGTCAGAGCAAAAACCAAGCCATGAGGTCGAAGGAATTGTCCATAGAGGTCCGAGACAGGATTGTGTCAAGGCACAGATCTGGGGAAGGGTACCAAAAAATGTCTGCAAGAACACAGTGGCCTCCATCATTCTTAAATGGAAGAAGTTTGGAACCACCAAGACTCTTCCTTGAGCTGGCCGCCCGGCCAAACTGAGCAATCGGGGGAGAAGAGCCTTGGTCAGGGAGGTGACCAAGAACACGAGGGTCACTCTGACAGAGCTCTAGAGTTCCTCTGTGGAGATGGGAGAACCTTCCAGAAGGACAACCATCTCTGCAGCACTCCACCAATTAGGCCTTTATGGTAGAGTGGCCAGACGGAAGCCACTCCTGTGCCAAGCTTGTAGCGTCATACCCAAGAAGCCTCAATGCTGTAATCGCTGCCAAAGGTGATTCAACAAAGTACTGAGTAAAGGGTCTGAATACTTATGTAAATGTGATGTTTTATGTTTTTATGTTTAATAAACGTGTTTTTGCTTTGTCATTATGGGGTATTGTGTGTAGATTGAGGAGGGGAAAAAACAATTGAATCAATTTTAGAATAAGGCTGTAACGTAACAAAATGTGGAAAAAGTCAAGGGGTCTGAATACTTTCCAAAGGCACTGTACACTTCCAAACCTTATGATTTATTTTTTGACTACTACTACTACTACTACTACAGCCCATAGAAATGCATTGAATAACACATTCATAAATAGCTAAAAAGACAGTCAGGTAAGGTAAGTCATGAGTACCCCATGACTTAAGCCACTCACCAATGATTAAGTGTAATCTGTCATCATAGAAACCTGTTTCTCCTCCGGAGGCGGGGTCATGAGGCTTCCATCAGTGCGTCTGTTCTGATTGGTCAGCGTGAGCCACATGTCATACATCAGCTGCATGTCCCGCACTGTGGACAGGAGGGGACATGGGTTAGCAACGCAAACAAATACACTGTAAATACACTTATTTGTTTGGCCATGATGCACACACAAAAATAGGAAAATAATGAGAGGAAAGCAACAGAAAGACAGAATCTTCCAGCTGTTGTTCTTCATGTACGTCCAGACGTCCCTCTCTTCCAGACTGTGGGCGAAGGAACAGTTCCCGATGTAGTGGCACTTCTTCTGCTTCATCACATGGACACACATCTAGGGAGACACTGCTTTATTACTACTTTATCACAGCACTTCATGTCCATATTGTATACTTTCCTGTGATTTTTTTATTTTTTATTTGACAATCCTTATAATCGGATGTCAAAACACAAGTGAAACGGATGCCGACATACTGGCCCTTTGTTACCGAAACCCTTTTCCTTCACAAGTAGTAGCAAGACAGATAGCTAACCTATTGTGGAACAAAGGCCAAGCTGCCTACGGGTGTAAAGAGGAGAGGAGGAGAGCTGTAAACAACATTGGCTGTATTCAGCATGTGAGAGGTCTGCTGGAAATGACTGCCTGATTGGAGAGATTAAAACAGACCCCGAGGGGAGGGAGGGAGGGATCAAAAGGATGAGAGGGAGAGAGGGGTGACTCAGTTCATACTTATGTGGGTGTGACTGTGTATGAGAAAGGGGAAGGGAGAAAAGAGAGAGTGGAGGGATAGAGACTTACGTCGTACTGCTGTGGGTATGTACGCGAGAAGGGAAGCGGCCGCACAACGACCCACTTCTTCTTCTCAAAAGACTTCACCAGCAATACCTGACGCTCCTTAGTCCAGCTGGAGAGAGGGGGAAAGGGGAAGACAGAGATGAGGAAGAGAGGGAAGAGAGATGAGAGATGGGTGGGAGAAAGAGAAAAGTGAGGGAGAAAGAAAGAAAGAACACATGATTATAGACTTCAATCATCAAGTTAGTGAAATTGACCATTCAGAGCAAGGTATTATGCATTTCCATAGAGTTAATCCTTTAAGGGGCCTATTTCCTTAACATTCCTTTTACCCTATTAATTACCAGTTCAGGCCTGGTCATGAATCAGATGGTAGCGCCTTCAGCCTAATATTGACACGAGAACTTCAGCACTTACCATCAGTGCAGATGTCAGTTTGATATAGTCTCTCACCTGTGCCGTGCTTTAGCAGTGCAGTACTTGAGGGCCTTGTCTTGTTCGTGGACCTGTCCGTCCCTCCAGCACTGGCCACCGACAAACTTCATCTTCAGGTTCAGCTCCCTGCCTCTCCCTCCTCCTCCTCCGGAGCCATCCCCTCCACCCCCAAGGTTGTCTCCCCCTATTCCCCCCACCCCTCCACTACAGCTCTGGTGTGGGACATGCATAGGCTGAGAGTGAGAGAGATTTTGTAAATCAGGCCCTTAAAACAATAGCCCAAATGATGTATTGTATTAGGAGACAAGGGCATCGTGCCCATCTCATGCTCACCTTCTGTCTCTGAGCATTTTGCTCTAGCCTGTACCAGTGCCTCTTGGACTCCTGTACCATCTCTTCGTGGGTGATACCTGGGAGAGAGAGGGAAGTTAAGAGAGACACACAAAGTAACAGATGATAGCATGAACTTTGGTTATTTTGCTGCAATCCTTAATAGCGTGTGTCTGTGTGTGCATCCATGCGTGCAAACACATGAGTACTTCTGTACCTGTGTCCTGCTGCAGTACCCAGCACTTGAGTTCTATGACGGAATGGGCGAACGAGCAGCTGTCCTCGCGTTGGCAGCCGTAACGCACCTCGTGGCGACACACGTCAAACTGGCAGAGGGGGTGCAGCGGGCGCACCTTACTGTAGCGCACGTTGGCAGAACGCACCACATGCACTAGGCACCTGAGAAGACAGGGATGAGATAGAGGGAGAGAGAAGGAGAGGGCAAGAGGGTAGAAGGGGACAGGGTCCAAGTAGCTGACCGGAATATTGTCTGAGGGAAATTGGATTTAGGATCCATTATACTAAGATAGTGCTTATTTGGATCTGATACAATGAAGGACAGAGAGATGACTGAAAAGTACAGAACTTTTTAGGTCTAGGAGAAGACTCACTTGTTATCGTCGAAGGGATGCCGGGCGGTGAGGTTTGAGCAGACAGCCAAGTTCTCTTTGCTGCGCTTGCTGATGATGCGAGGCTTACTGTCAAAACATTCCTGCAGAGAGGGAGAGAGAGCGAAACGGAGTGTGTATGAATGTTCTGTACATACAGAATACTGCGAAGTTCACCATGTGGAGGTATGTGTGCGTGCATCACACCCTACCTCACAGAGGAACATGAACATGCACATGTGCAGCTGCAGCAGGTGTGTGACGCTGAGTGCCCGTCTCTCGGTGCTGCCCAGCGGGTCAAACAGCAGCTCCCTGCTCAGAGCCCCCTTCCTCTCCTGGGTCCACACGTCTATCTCCTCCTGGCAGTAGGCAAACGTGCAGTTCTCCCCGTACTGGCATTCCTGGCGCTCCTGGACCTCTTCAGGGAGCCAGAGGAGGAACAGGAAAGGGGGATGAGATAGAGAGTACATACTATCACTGATGGGCAAATTCTGTTTAAGCAACATTAAAACTACTGCCAGCACTTCTGTGCTTATTTGAGTGAGCGAACATGCATGTACACACACACGTACCCACACATACGTACCTTTGCACAGCACGAACGCCCCCAGGAAGTTGTTTCTAGTGGGGCGAGGCCTGACCCTCTTCCAGGTGGGGTCTTCTGTGTTCTTGAAGCGAGACAGCAGCACGTCCCTCTTACAGCGGTGAGCCGCTTCCGGCTGGTACTGGTAGTCCATCACCTGCGAACCTGCAGAGAAAAGAGTAGGGGGACTTATCATTCAACTGCAACATTCAATTCATTTTTATTAAAAATACTTTATTTATCCCACAAGGTGCAATTATGCAGACATTGATGTAACAGACAACCTTGACTTTATACTGCTTAGTATAAAATAAATCCTCAACGTAACATATTCTGGAGGGGTAAAAGAAAGGTCAATGTAGCCGTGTACCTATTCGGCTGTAACAGGCATGGCAGGCCTGTCTGAACTCGTGGCTGGCAGCCAGTGGGTTCCGGGAGAGCAGGGAGAGGTTGGTACCTGCTGGAACATTCTGAGGGGGGAGACAAAGACAAACCAATCCATCACCAGATTAAATACATTATCTTCATTATGAAAAACCACAATTTACATGCAAGTTATCAGAACTAGGAATATCACAAAAGTAAATAACAACAATAGAATAAATGTAATCTGGGATTTAAAAGTATAGTAGGAGCAGCCAAAGACATCCATGTTGTGATAAACTCAGAAGAGAGGAGAAAGAAGTTGAGAGTATCCATCGGAGTGTTCAGGCGTTATGCCGCTGTCTTACTGCTGTGTGAGTGGAGCTGTGTTTGCGGATCCCAGGGATGAAGCTGTGAGAAATTCTTCCCCCTGGAGAACAGAACAGCAACACAAGGACACAGGTGGCCTTACAGCAGTGCTGCTGACAAGGACTAGCTTCAACAACCACTAACGCATGCCCCGAGGACTGTTCAGGGTCACTGGGCAGTCCCGGGAAGGTTTAAGTAACAGCTGATGCAGGTTTAAACTGTATGGTTGCAAAATAAGACTGGATAGTGGCAAAAAAAAAACTGCTACAATGGCTTTGCTGTTTTCAATATAATTGACATCATCAAACACACACCCAGACCCATACACCTTGTTCATATGTATCATCCACTCACCAGGCAAGGTGTACTCAGAGAGGGAGTCCAGCCCTCCAATTCCAGCCCCTCCTTTGCCCTCTGTGTCCCCAGCCCCTGGGGAAAAGGCCCCCAGGGCGTCCAGCGCCTGTGTGGAGGTTTGGTCCCTCTGGCCCAGTGAGGGGTAGGGCTCCAGGGCGGACATCTGGCTGACCGAGGAACTGAAGGCGGCGGGGGGTAGCTGGGGCGAGGGGAGGCTGGAGGAGTATGGAGGGTGCAGGCCCACAGCTGTGTTGGGGAGGTTGGTGGGGATAACGCCTTGGACTGGGCTCTGTGACTTTAAGAGAGGGAGAGAGAGACATATGACATTATCCATGTTATTCTATTTCTCCTTCTAGACCAGAAACGCATAGCTCTGTGTTCCATGTAATGTACTTCAGTGGTGGAAATTAAACCACTAAAATGTGCACCCCCTGTCAGACAGTGGTGGAAAAAGTACTAAAAAGTCATACTTGATTAAAAGTAAAGATACCTTAATAGAAAATAACTCAAGTAAAGGTGAAAGTAACCCATTAAAATACTACTTGAGTAAAAGTCTAAAAGTATTTGGTTTAAATATACTTAAGTATCAAAAGTAAAAATATCAATAAAACCAGACGGCACATTTTCTTGTGTTTTTTTTAAATTACGGATAGCCAGAGGCACACTCAAACACTCAGACATTAATTTACAAACGAAGCATTTGTGTTTAGTGAGTCTGCCAGATCAGAGGCAGTAGGGATGACCAGGGATGTTCTTGATAAGTGGGTGAATTGGACCATTTTTCAGTCAAAATGTAACAAGTACTTTTGGGTGTCAGAGAAAATGTATAGAGTAAAAAGTACATTATTTTCTTTAGGAATGTAGTGAAGTAAAAGTTGTCAAAAATATAAATAGTAAAGTACAGATACCCAAAAAACTACTTAAGTAGTACTTTAAAGTATTTTTACTTAAGTACTTTACTCCACTGCTGTCATGCAAGTCACGGAAATACTTTCTTAAATGTTCCTATATTCTACTGACTAATGTCTGTACCTCCTCTCTCATCAAATGTCTACTGATCAACAGAGGGAGGAACTCAGCACGGCCAGCATCCTTCCTTGGAGTGACCCTAGTAGCGACCCTCTCACCTCATTGACTTTCTTGGAGATGCAGTCCCCCAGCAGGCTGTCCAGATCGTCAGGGATCACACTGCACTCCTCCATGTGCTTCGACACGGGGACAGAGTAGGGCATGGGGGGCAGGCCCATACTGGGGCTATCTGATAGGTCAGCAAAGGGCGTGGCCACTGGGCTTGAGGGGTCATCGCTGACAGGGATGGGTGTGGCCAGAGGGGCGGGGATACACTGGGTGCTGGACAGATCAGCTGGGAGGGAGGAGAGGGATAAAGAAAAAGGAGGAATGAAGAGGAAGAGGAGATCGGGTCATGGAGAGAAGGTAGAGAAGGGAATTTTAGAGAGAAACGCTAATGACAATGCCAAAAAAATAGTTAAAGTTAAACGTAATGTTATGTTTTTATGGTGGGCTGCCATACCTGATGCAATGTCAGTCAAAGATTCTAGCCCATTGGAGGACATCTAAAATAAAAGAGACAAGGCTTGGTTAATCAAAACATTAACCATTCACCCCATTTGCCCGTAATAAGAAAGATAATTTGTTCATTCGGGATCTTTGTGTCGGTAAACTGAATTATGCGAGAAATGGCAGTGGAAATGCTTTTATGTGAAAATATTGCTATAATAACCATAACATAGAAGTAAACTTGAAGTCACGCGATGATATGGTGTGGTCCTCCCACTACGACTCGGGAAACCATGCACTTAGGCTACAGATGAAATAAGTTATGATGAACTTCACAGGGTGGTGAAAGTGCCCTTGATGCTCCTTTCCAATAAATATTGAGGCTCTTATTCTGGTGACATGATTATAGATGCTTGACTGCCATTTGACTAATACAAATATTCTCGCTCTTACCAATACTAACCTCATCATGTAGACTAACCTACCCGCTAGGGCTGTCCCCGACTAAAAAAAATCTTAGTCGACCGAGAGTAGTACTGTTCTTTCGACCAATCAATTGGTCTAAATGTTTAAACTTATTTTTCCATATATAGACATATACATCCTATGTGTTTGAATAAAATCAACTACATATGCACTAAGCTTGTCTGATGCTTTAAGAACACTGTTTGATTAAATAATTAAGCCACACGAATGGCTCACGAAAGAGCCCGATGGTCACACTGGTCACAGAAAATGACAGCGAGTGCCTGTGTGACTGGCGCACGTTGTCTCGCTCTCCTCCCTACTGCAGCCAAAAGGCACCACAGCACAGCAAGCGTTTGTTGCGCTGTCCCTGCAACATAATTTCAGCCATTTAGTTTCTTACTTGTTTCTGACTGAAAAGTTATGTTACCGAAATCCCTAATTTGAATGAATTAATGAATGATTGATACAGTAGCCTATATATTGAAATATAGGCATAAGAAAGTTATGGTATTAAGACTAAACAAGACACGCTCTTAGGCCTACAGCTCGATGGTGGTTATACAAGGCTACTATACAAAGCCTACTAATGCTAACGACATGACTTATTAATAATGATCATAATAATAATAATAATAATCATAATAACAATAATAAGGAGATCAAGAAAAAGGAGGGTATAGGAGCGAGAGCTGTGTACATATTATGTGTGACAAACAGGTGCTGTTAGATTACAATATAATTTTTCTGCCTGTTTGGAAGTGTAAACGACATTAAATAAATTATAAGTAATTTAAGAAGTTCCAAACTTCTTCCATTTAAGAATAATGGAGGCCACTGTTATCTTGGGGACCTTCAATCTTTGGTACGCTTCCCCAGATCTGTGCCTCGATACAATCCTGTCTCGGAGCTCTACGGACAATTCCTTCTACCTCATGGCTTGGTTTTTGCTCTGACATGCACTGTTAACTGTGGGACCTTATATAGACAGGTGTGTGCCTTTACAAATCATGTCCAATCAATTGAAATAAGGTATTTCTGTTTATCTTTAATAAATGTGCACCATATGGGGTATTGTGTGTAGATTGATGAGGGAAAACATTTATTTAATCTATTTTAGAATAAGGCTGTAACGTGACAAAATGTGGAAAAAGGGAAGGATCTGAATACTTTCCAAATGCACTGTATGAATAAAAGCATTCACTGTGAAAGTTGATACATGTAGGCCCTTCATATATAGGCTATGTGCAGCACTTCTTTAAATTTATCGAATCAGTTATTGTTTCTTGCTCAAACCGTGAGCAACACCTGTCAAACTCAGACTTTTCTCTCAAAACACAGGGATGTCGATTCGCATGGGACTAGTATTATCAGAAAACCTTGGAGTTCGCCAAAAAAACAGTAGGTTACTCTGGCTGGAATTGTTACTCTCCTGCCATGTACAAATTACTGACATGGCAGATTCGGACCGGACTAAAATTACAGATGTGGTGTTTTGTGCTTGTGCACATAATTACATTACCCGACCACTCCCAGTAAAACTAAACTAAACCAGTCCGAATAGGGCATTTGCTATTATGCACATAGCAACTTAGGGAAAGGTGCCAATTCTAAGGCGCACTGAAGATTGTTTGAGAACCACGGACAGTGACCATATCCAATGCAGGAGAAAGCGCATTTGTTATAAAATAATATCAGATTCATTAGTGTTGCACCATTATTTTCACATAATATAACCATATACAATTTCAGTATCACATGTCTTAGAGTGATGGACTGTGCAATGGATTAGTCCACTAAGACAAGCGTGAATCACACAGGTGTCTTGTGCACCATGAAAATGTTTTATACAATTGCGACTGCTCGACTAAAGAAATCTCGGTCAACCAACAGCCTATCGACCAAACAATCTACCAGTCGACTAAATGGGGTCAGCCCTACTACCCACACTTTTGGCTAGAGTGCACGTGCCAAGACCAGAGTAGACACATTTGCTATTTAACGCAACAGTTTTTGTGACAAAACTAATCGGTAGAATTGAAAATGCGATGGAATCACATTGAACTTTAGATTTTTAACTCGGTACATTAAAACTTAAGCAAAAAAGTACATTGTGCACAGATTTTTATCCGCAACAAGTCCGTTTGGTGGAAACACACCACTGGTGGGAAAATTCACATATTTTCTTTATGCAGATTTTTGAATATTCGCATGAAAATCTGTCGCCAATTGGATGGAAACCTAGCTAATGAGAAACTATTTTTCCAAGACGAGAAGACACTCACCTCTCCTGCGGGTGAAGAATTATCTCTATTGCTCTCCCCCCCTGATGTTGAGGACTCCACCTGTAAAGAGAACAGTATCACTTATATGGACCACAGCAGATACAGTGCATTCGGAAAGTATTCAGACCCCTTGACTTTTTACAAATTTTGCTACGTTACAGCCTTATTTTAAAATGGATGAAATTGTTTTTTTCCCTGAAATATCACATTTACATAAGTATTCAGACCCTTTACTCAGTACCTTTGGTAGCGATTACAGCCTCGAGTCTTCTTGGGTATGACGCTACAAGCTTGGCACACCTGTATTTGGGGATTTTCTCCCATTCTTCTCTGCAGATCCTCTCAAGCTCTGTCAGGTTGGATGGGGAGCGTCACTGCACAGCTATTTTCATGTATCTCCAGAGATGTTCAATCGGGTTCAAGTCCAGGTTGCTTTGTCTTGGCTGTGTGCTTAGGGTCGTTGTCCTGTTGGAAGGTGAACCTTCGCCCCAGTCTGAGGTCCTGAGCGCTCTGGAGCAGGTTTTCATCAAGGATCTCTCTGTACTTTGCTGCGTTCATCTTTCCCTTGTACCTGACTAGTCTCCCAGTCCCTGCTGCTGAAAAACACTGTAGGGATGGTGCCCGGTTTCCTCCAGACGTGACGCTTGGCATTCAGGCCAAAGAGTTCAATCTTGGTTTCGTCAGACCAGAGAATCTTGTTTCTCATGGTCAGATTGATGAGGATTTTTATTTATTTAATCAATTTTAGAATAAGGCTGTAATGTAACAAAATGTGGAAAAAGTCAAGGGGTCTGAATACTTTCCGAATGCAATGTATCTGTCCTGGCATGTTGATCTTTGAGTGGATAGAGAGTCAGAGGTAACTAAACTCACCTGAGGGCTGATGTAGGCCTTACGAACCTTCAGGCCTAGTTTATTAGCCAGGTCCTGGGCCAGTTCACCCACCTGCCTGTCCTGTATGAGAAATAAAGTACATCCCATAAACAATACGTTTAACTGACATTTTTTACACATCTAAAGAAATGTGAGTAACTAAAAGTATGTAGTAGAATAAATTGGTGATCCATATTAATCCTATAAGGATTAATCATTTTAATTTAACTATGGTTCAGGTGCTCAGGTGCCCTGTGGCCTTGACTTACATGTGGGGCAGTGAGCAGGCATCCGGTGCCACACTCATAGGCCTCCCGGAGTCGGCCCAGCTCCCTTAGACAGAGAGCTTTTCTGTAGAGCGCCCTGCGACTGCCCTCACACACGCACAGCGCGCTGTCGCAGTCATGCATGCCCAGCTCAAACTCCCCCTGGGGGAGAGACAGGGAGAGCGAGAGATATACAGAGAGAGAGAGAGAGAGAGGCAGACATAAACAGAGACACAAACATAGAAAGAGGGAAAGAGAAGGGAGGTGGAAAGGGAGAGAGAAGATGGGGACTGGATGTAAAACCTGACTGGGAAGTTGTCTGGGGGAAATTAAAATGTGGGATCCATTTTGTTTAGACAAAGTGCTTATTCAGACCTGATATAATTATTGGTTTAACATAACTTTTGAGACATACATAAGCTAACTAAAAATGTTAACATTGTTAATTGTGGGTGTCTTACAAACTGAAAGTGTGCCGCTGCCCTGTTGACATAGAGGCTCTCCAGAAGCTCAGGGGGGATGACCAGTGCCTCTGCCTGAGCATAGCGGGCCACGTTGACCCCCTCACTGTAATGCTGTGCTGCCTGCCTCCATTCCCTATCCCGAAACACTGTGTTTCCCTCATCCAGCAAGTTACACACCAACTGGGTCAAAAAAGCCTGAGAAGAATAGGAGGTGGTGGTCGGAGTGAGAGAGATTGTGAGGATGATAAAATATCATTAATAACTGAGATAAAGCGCAGATTTGTGGACCGACACATTTAATGACAGGCAGGTGGCTTCATAAATTTGGGTCAGGCAAGAGAATAAACATTGAATGAAACAAATTGGTACCTCATAACCCTCAGGCTCAGGGAAAGGCAAGGAGGACCTGTAGAGAAAATGTGAGATATATTAATCAGTGTCACCACATGTACTTTATGTGTGCTTATATGTGTACTGACTATAAGGAAACATTTTTTAAAAATCTCAAGATGCCTTACTGAATAAAGCCCATTGCTTTCTGGATTTCCTCCCTTCGTTTCTGTCGTTCCATATCCATTGCTAAGGAAAGGAGAAGGTAACAATAAAAAAAATGTTATAACAATCACAAACGTGCATTATTGACAAACACAAATGATGCTGTTGCCACAACCAACCAGTGCAGAGTATCCCCGCGCTCGCCTAAAGAATTACTCGGATTAGACAGAGTAGCTGCAAATACAGCAGTATAAACTAAAATAACTAGTTAGGTATCTGATGAACTAAGAAAGCATAATCCATGTATAGGAAATGTTCAAATGTTAATTTTAGACAGCAAAAAATAACACCAAAGATTTCAGATGAAAGTTACAGGATAACTTCGAGTGGCTAACGTTACCTTTCGAAATAGCTAACTTTAGCTTGTTGCTAGTTACTGTAGCTAATCCACTGTAAAATATTTGGCTTGTTTACCCACGTAGCTAGCGTGATCTGACTTCAACCAGCAGTGACTTTAATATATATATATTTATATTAACTAGCCACTAAATATAGAAAATACATAACAGTAACTAGCTATATCAGCTGGCAACTCAGCTTACTACAGACCATATGTTTGATTATTTATGGAGAGGCAATTTGCCTGCAGCAGGGACAGCATCGCAACACCGGGGCTAACTAGGTAGCCAGAGTTAGTTAGCTGGCTAGGTCAATTCAAAATAACAGTGACAACTGACTGACAGATATACAGCTTCATAACTGTTATTTTGTAAATTCGTCTTCTGTGTAAGGTAGCTAAACTGACTGTACATTAGCATGCAAGCTGCTTACGGCAATAAATTAACTTGATTTAAAGTGTTTATCTAAAGAATTTATAAAATATTAATCCTCTAGACACATATTTATTTGTCCACTTTCCCGGTAACGGGTTGCAGTATCTGGACGGAACATGTGAGAGTTTTCACCCAAAATTCTACACAGTTCTTCGCCAGTGAAGTTGCGCTCAAATCAAGAGATTATGAGACGCTTGGTCCTTTAGAACTGTGGGTTGGTTGAGTGTGGCTATTTCCAATATGACCACTAGGGGGCAGTTGCATTGATGAGCAAGCAGAGTCAGAGTTGAGTTCAGAGTCAGAGTTGACAGAGAATGGAATAAATGTTTATTATATTCATAAATTCCTTTTTGATTGTTGAACAGATTTTGAAGTGACCTGTCGAAAAAGTATTGAAATTATGCAAAATGTGACAGACTCTTGACCTGGTGGTGCAGACAACACAGTAGCTACACGATTTTGGTACAGATAACCCCTTTTGAATAGATTGAAAAATACACATTACATTAACATTTTAGTCATTTAGCAGACGCCTTTATCCAGACCGAGTTAGTGCATTCGTCTTAAGATAGCTAGGTGAGAAAAGCACATGTCACAGTCAAATAAGTACATTTTTCTTCAATTTTAGTAGCTATAAGCAAAGTCAGTGCTAGTAAGAAAAGACAAGTGCGACAAGTGCAAAGTAGGCAAGGGTGTAAGTTGTACAGTAAATGCATATACATGTGGTGATGGTAAGGGGATGGAAGTTGGCAGTCAATAATAGGGTATCATCATCACTGTCACTGAAATGTCTTCTTTTGATTTTTACCACACAGGTTCAAGAGGTTATATTTTATTGCCTAAAAATGTATACTTGTTCATCCTCTTGACATGTTATTTCCAGAAGACCTTTCGCCCACACATCATGTGTGCGGGTTGCAACCAGTTTGCAACTCCACTCCACAAGACGGCGGCGGTAAAGCGTAATCTAGTTAGTAGGCCATTTAAGAAAAAAAAATACAGAAGAAGACAACACCGACGTCACAGAGTTTCAAAACTAAGAGGCGTAAGGTAAAAAATTATAAAAAGTAACACAATAAAATAACAATAACGAGGCTATATACAGGGGGTACCGGTACCAAGTCAATGTGTGGGGGGTACAGGTTAGGTGAGGTAATTTGTACATGTAGGTAGGGGTAAAGTGATATGTAGCTAGTAATTTAACCTTTTTTAATTATTATTATTATTATTATTATTATTTCTCGCTGGTATGAAAGATACGTTCCTTATGTTTCCAAAACCGTACCGCAAGCAATGTGTGTTAACATTTAGAGCAGGGGTGTCAAACGTCCGGCCCGCGGGCCGGATCAGGCCCGCAAACGGGTTTAATCCGGCCCGCGAGATGATTTTGTAAAGTATAAAAATGCGCTGCAATTTTTCAAAAAAATAAACTGCTGTTCCAATTGCGTCCACTGGGTGGCGCAATAGCAATTGTGTTAAGCAAGCAAACTGTTTATACCGGGGCAGAGCAAGTAGGTCAAGCACGTGCAGCCAATGAGCTACTTTGTTTTGCCCGCAATATTTATTACGGCTTCTACTTTTAACATTATGTGCTTTGGCACCCTCATTGCCCCAATATGTCTCTGTCAAAAAAATGAAAAGTGGACGCAGAGTGCAGAGTGTTCCAAGAAAAATGGTCATCCTCCTATTTATTCACGGAATTGAATGGGAAAGCTGTATGTTTGGTGTGTTCACAGCATGTTGCAGTGCTGAAAGAATATAACCTTCGTCGCCACTATGTGAGTCTTCATGCCGACAAATATGACAACTTTCAAGGACAGCGGAGAAGAGAGAAGGTGAATGAACTGTTGGCGGGTCTGAAGAAACAGCAGTCTGTGTTTACTCACAGCCGAGACATCAGTGACGCTGCAGTGAAAGCTAGCTACCTCATTGCTAATGAAATCGCAGTGGCTTCAAAACCATTTAGTGAGGGTGAATTTGTAAAAACATGCATGATGAAGGCAGCGGAGATTGTGTGCCCTGAAAAGCGTCAGGCTTTTGTAAATATCAGCCTGACAAGAAACACAGTTGCAGACAGGATTTACGATCTTTCAGTGGATTTGGACAGCCAGTTGAAGCAAAAAGTAAAGTCATTCATTGCGTTTTCGGTTGCAATTGATGAAAGCACGGACATTACAGATGTTGCACAACTGGCCATTTTCATCCGCGGAGTTGATGACACATTGACCGTCACCGAGGAGTTCGTGGAGTTGGTGCCGATGACAGATACAACGACAGCAGCTGATATTTTTACCGCACTCGTCGGCGCGCTGGACAGGGTCGGAGTGGACTGGTCCCGCGCTGTCAGCCTGGCTACAAAGGGTGCGCCCTCAATGATCGGGAAAAAAGCAGGCGTTGTGACAAAGTTCAGAGAGAAAGTGCAATCTGCAAATGGAGGACGTGATTTTTTGACTTTTCACTGTATTTTGCACCAGGAGGCTTTGTGTTGCAAGTCATTAAAGATGGATAACGTCATGAAGGTGGTCATCCAAACTGTTAATTTCATCCGATCCAGAAGCCTGAATCACCGTCAGTTTGACAGCCTTCTCAGAGAGAAAGACCACATCTATGGCCTGCCATACCACACTGAGGTAAGATGGTTAAGCCGAGGTGCTGTGCTGAGGCGTTTCTTTGATTTACGAGAAGAAATTGAACAGTTCATGGAAGAAAAGGGCAAACCAGTGTTAGAATTTCATTCCGCAGAATGGATGCAGGACCTTGCATTTATGGTGGATGTTACAGAGCACCTGAATAACTGCAAGGGCGCAACAAAGTTGTCACGCAGTATTATGACAGCATACGTTCTTTCAAGTTGAAGCTGTCATTGTGGGAGACGCAACTTGCCGGTGGTGATGCAGCTCACTTCCCGTCTGAAAAATGTGTGCGCGACCCAACATGTGGCAGACATGAAGCGGTTCAAAGATAAAATAACGGGACTGTTACGGGAGTTTGAGCAACGCTTTCAGATTTTTGGTGAACTGGAGAAAGACTTCAACGTTTTTTGCTCGCCATTCACCGTGAATCCCTCTGATCTGCCCGCCAGCATCCAACTTGAAATAATAGACTTGCAGTGTGACTCGGATTTGAAGGGCAAATTTGCAGCAGCTGGCTTGGACACATTTTATCAGAATCTCTTGCCAGGTTACCCCAACTTGACAGCCCTCGCTGCAAAACTGTTGTGCATGTTTGGAACCACATATCTTTGTGAGCAAGTTCTCTGTAATGAGCATAAATAAAACAAAGCTGCGCTCAAGGCTCACGCACAAGCACTTGAATCACATCCTGAAGTTGGCTGCCACTCATGATGTGACGCCTGATATTGATGCGCTGGTGAAAGCTAAAAGATGCCAGGTATCAGGAGTCAAATAAACTATGCAACCCCACTTAAAGTGCTGCATGAGACACCCTGATATAGTTCTGTGATCTGTGATATACTTCTGTGAATCACTGAGGCATTGTGTGTTTGTGTGTTCTTTGTCCTCAGAACTTTCAAATAACTTGAGGTGTTTTATGATTAATAGTGATGTTGTGCTTTTGGACACACTGTCCTCAGGCTCCAGCTTTATGTTTATATGTTTTTATGTTGATGTGCTATTGTTTTTAATTGATTTTATTTTATTTGTATATTTAACCTATTCTTGACTCTGTGGTTCTTGCACTTGTTTGGGGAACAGGATTTCATTATTTTTATCTACATTTCTGCCTGAGAAATGACACCCTGATATAGTTCTGTGATCTGTGAAACAGTTCTGTTAATCACTGAGGCATTGTGTGTTTGTGTGTTCTTTTTCTTTAGAATTTTCAAATAAACTTCACGTGTTTTATGATTAATAGTGATGTTGTGCTTGTACTATTTTGGACACACTGTCCTCAGGCTCCAGCTTTATGTTGTATGTTGATCGTATTAAAACAAAGAAAACAATCTGAAGTTGTTGTTTTTAAGTTATATATACCATGATTTTTCCGGTCCGGCCTACTTGGGAATAGATTTTCCTCCATGTGGCCCCTGAGCTAAAATGAGTTTGACACCCCTGATTTAGAGCAAGCGTCGGGGCTCTTAACAAAAATCCCCCAGCCAGAAGATACTATCATTAATAGGCGCTATGATGGGGTAGCAGCCAGCTAGCTAGTCACCCTAACAACAGAATGGTACTGCGTTCCCTTTTCCCATTATGTTTGTTAGCTAGCTAGCTATGTAACTCAAACCCCATGTTACCTGGCTGAGTAGTTGATTCATAAACTCAGCAAAAAAAAGAAACGTCCTCTCACTGTCAACTGCGTTTATTTTCAGCAAACTTAACATGTGTAAATATTTGTATGAACATATTTATTTGTGGTCCTCTGTAGCTCAGCGGGTAGAGCACGGCGCTTGTAACGCCAGGGTAGTGGGTTCGATCCCCGGGACGACCCATACACAAAAATGTATGCACGCATGACTGTAAGTCGCTTTGGATAAAAGCGTCTGCTAAGTGGCATATTATTTTTATTTTTATTATTATTTAACATAACAAGATTTAACAACTGAGACATAAACTGAACAAGGTCCACAGACATGTGACTAACAGAAATTGAATAATGTGTCCCTGAACACAGGGGGGGCCACACCAGTCAGTATCTGGTGTGGCCACCAGCTGCTTTAAGTACTGCAGTGCATCTCCTCCTCATGGACTGCACCAGATTTGCCAGTTCTTGCTGTGAGATGTTACCCCACTCTTTCACCAAGGCACCTGTAGTTCCCAGACATTTCTGGGGGGAATGGCCCTAGCCCTCACCCTACGATCCAACAGGTCCCAGACGTGCTCAATGGGATTGAGATCCGGGCTCTTCGCTGGCCATGGCAGAACACTGACATTCCTGTCTTGCAGGAAATCACGCACAGAACGAGCAGTATGGCTGGTGGCATTGTCATGCTGGAGGGTCATGTCAGGATGAGCCTGCAGGAAGGGTACCACATGAGAAGTGATGGCATGAGCATCGGAGGGGGCAACGAAAGAGTTTTGAAACACTAATTGTGTGACTAAGGTCTTTCATAAGTACTTACTTACTTAGTTAGGCCCATCACTCCTTCGGGAGCATAGGACATTAACAACTTTTCTCCATCGCACTGTTTTCTGGTCTACTGTTAGGATGTACCACAAACTAACCAGTGTTATGTTGTGTCTGTCAGATCCTGGCGGCAGCGTTGACTGAGTGTCATAAACAGTCCAGCGCTCTCTGTGCCCCCCTGAAATTGAAAGTGTTAATAGCAGGCAGAAACCGCTTGGTACAGACAAACTGACACAAATTTCTACTTTGTCATTCTGTGTAATACAGACATTTCTCTTATTCACTCACCAAGCTTGGTCTAATACCTTTCCCTCTTTCTCCTCAGATCTCTTTTGTGCTCTCTCCCTCCCACCAATTTCTCTCACACACACTGTTTCTCCATCTCTCATTCACTCACTCACTTACTCCCTCACTCGGAAGCCTAGAGGAGGTGCACATGCTCCAGAATGGGATCAACCATGCAGGGGTGATCAAATCAAATGTATTTATAAAGCCCTTTTTACATCAGCAGATCCAGGCTCTGTCGTAGCCGGCCGCGATCGGGAGACCCATGGGGTGGCGCACAATTGGCCCAGCGTCGTCCAGGGTAGGGGAGGGAATGGCCGGCAGGGATGTAGCTCAGTTGGTAGAGCATGGCGTTTGCAACGGCAGGGTTGCGCCTCACGGTGGCCACGCACACCAGGTCCACTGCCTCCAACTTAATGTTCTGAGCAAAGCCGTGACCCGAGCTGTCCTGTAGAACACACGCACACCATAGATGCAGAATTAGAATAGTGTTTCCCAAACCTCTCTTTGAGTACGAATAAGCCAAAATACTGTAAGCTGGGCACCTGTATGATACTTGGTAGGTAAAAAGCGCTGTTACCGTGTTGAAGAGCCATACTGGTGCTGCTATGGTTCCATTCTCCTCCAGGTATTTGGCCCAGGTGAAGATTTTCCAGTCATAGCCTGGTGGAGAAGATGAATATCCCACTGGTGTAAGGGATATGACACAGCATGGGGAACCACTCACTTCATTCTTATCATATATTCACCAAGCAGGTGGTGTTTGCCCCAAAAAGTAAACCAGAGCAACAAGAAATAGGAAGAGAGCGAGAAAGTAGGGGAGAGAGAGTATGATATTACCAGGGAGTGGTGAGCTGTATGTTGTGATTTTGGCAGTATCCCTTGGGTAGAATGGCATGGGAGGAAGCGTGGTAGCAGAACCAGTCAGACCCATCACCTGACACATCTGTGCCATCAATGCCCACCATGAGGTAGCCATCCAACAGCACCTGAGAGAGAAAGAGACCTGTTTCATCAGGTTGAATCACTAGTCTGCTAGCTAGAAGTAGCCATTATAGCGAACTCCTGTTACCTTGTGTATAGTGGCCACACAGATGTTGCCCAGGTTTAGAGGGTTAATGGCCTCCAGCTTCATGCCCACCACAAAGAAGCCTCCTTCCATGTACATAGTCCTGGGCTATGGGGGGGTCATAGTTAGGCATAGCGGTGCTATGAAAGGTTTACAGTCATGAAACAAACATTTGTGGCATGCAGAAACACTGTGCTCTATTTGTGCTTCTTTGGCCGACTCCACTGGTGTAAGTTTGTTGTCATGCCAAAATGTCAAAATGTCAAAATGTCAATATAACAGCAAATAGTGGGGCCTGTGTGTGCGTGCATGTGCTCGTATGCGTGTTTCTCCACACATCCCTCAGTTCTTACCTGGTCCAGTGGGTAGCTGGAGCTTGTATCCGGTGACCTCACACCAGCCCACAAGGTAGATATCTGGTGACTGGATGTCCACCCACAGGTCAAAGTCTGGCTCCCAGCCATCAAAGTGCAGCAGCCAGCCCACACAGCGCCTCACGGTGGCCACGCACACCAGGTCCACTGCCTCCAACTTAATGTTCTGAGCAAAGCCGTGACCCGAGCTGTCCTGTAGAACACACGCACACCATAGATGCAGAATTAGAATAGTGTTTCCCAAACCTCTCTTTGAGTACGAATAAGCCAAAATACTGTAAGCTGGGCACCTGTATGATACTTGGTAGGTAAAAAGCGCTGTTACCGTGTTGAAGAGCCATACTGGTGCTGCTATGGTTCCATTCTCCTCCAGGTATTTGGCCCAGGTGAAGATTTTCCAGTCATAGCCTGGTGGAGAAGATGAATATCCCACTGGTGTAAGGGATATGACACAGCATGGGGAACCACTCACTTCATTCTTATCATATATTCACCAAGCAGGTGGTGTTTGCCCCAAAAAGTAAACCAGAGCAACAAGAAATAGGAAGAGAGCGAGAAAGTAGGGGAGAGAGAGTATGATATTACCAGGGAGTGGTGAGCTGTATGTTGTGATTTTGGCAGTATCCCTTGGGTAGAATGGCATGGGAGGAAGCGTGGTAGCAGAACCAGTCAGACCCATCACCTGACACATCTGTGCCATCAATGCCCACCATGAGGTAGCCATCCAACAGCACCTGAGAGAGAAAGAGACCTGTTTCATCAGGTTGAATCACTAGTCTGCTAGCTAGAAGTAGCCATTATAGCGAACTCCTGTTACCTTGTGTATAGTGGCCACACAGATGTTGCCCAGGTTTAGAGGGTTAATGGCCTCCAGCTTCATGCCCACCACAAAGAAGCCTCCTTCCATGTACATAGTCCTGGGCTATGGGGGGGTCATAGTTAGGCATAGCGGTGCTATGAAAGGTTTACAGTCATGAAACAAACATTTGTGGCATGCAGAAACACTGTGCTCTATTTGTGCTTCTTTGGCCGACTCCACTGGTGTAAGTTTGTTGTCATGCCAAAATGTCATCTATAGATAGATATTGATTAATCTGATCAGTCTATACACTGACTTTCTAAAACAGCATGGGGCCGCTGTCACAGTACACCTTACAGAATGATGCGCCGTCAACATCTGGGGAAAAATATCATCAACCTTCAACTTGATCAACATTGAAACAAAAAAAAAACACTGTGTACGGGTTGGTTTAATCCCGTACCAGTTGGTTTGATGACATGGCCCACTTTAATGGACCAGTCCACTGGGTGCAGTAGGGGACTCCACATATGGCACCAGAAGTCAGAGAGGGGCTCCCCTTGGGCCTCCTGCTCCCTGTCATCATAGACAAGTTTGAGGCGGCCCCCGGTCACAGTGTCCACCACCGCCAGCCGCATCCGGCTCACCAGAGTCCGGTCCAACACCTCACATGCATCCCAGTACGGAACGGACACTTCATACTCTCTGCCAGCTGTGTGTGTGTGTGGTAGTGAGTGAGTGAGTGTGAGAGAGAGAGGAGAGACACAGGCAGCAAGAAGGGAGGGTCATTAGGGGCAGCGGTGGAAGATGTTGGTTCTATCACAGAGAAAAGGCAGTATGTTTGTCACAAAAGAGTTCTGGCTCCAACCAGCCAGTTCATCAGGTACTCCTTCCAGTCTGGGATGTTCTGGTGCACAGCTAGAAAGGGGACACAACCAATATATTGATAAACTAGCAAAAATTCCAAATTTCCATCATGTTCTTATAATTATTACACCTCTTCAGATACTGCTTTAAAAAAGCTGGCTCGTTCCCCACATGCGCAAAAAAATAAAGGGAACACTAAAATAACACATCCTAGATCTGAATGAATGAAATAATCTTATTAAATACTTTTTTATTTACATAGTTGAATGTGCTGACAACAAAATCACACCAAAATTATCAATGGAAATCAAATTGATCAACCCATGGAGGTCTGGATTTGGAGTCACCCTCAAAATTAAAGTGGAAAACCGCACTACAGGCTGATTCAACTTTGATGTGACTAAAGCATCCGCCAACTCCTGGACAGTCTGTGGTGCAACGTGGCGTTGGTGGATGGAGCGAGACATGTCCCAGATGTGCTGGTCTGGGGAACGGGCAGGCCAGTCCATAGCATCAATGCCTTCCTCTTGCAGGAACTGCTGACACACTCCAGCCACATGAGGTCTAGCATTGTCTTGCATTAGGAGGAACCCAGGACCAACCGCACCAGCATATGGTCTCACAAGGGGTCTGAGGATCTCATCTCGGTACCTAATGGCAGTCAGGCTACCTCTGGCGAGCACATGGAGGGCTGTGCGGCCCCCCAAAGAAATGCCACCCCACACCATGACTGACCCACCGCCAAACCGGTCATGCTGGAGGATGTTGCAGGCAGCAGACGTTCTCCACGGCGTCTCCAGACTCTGTCACGTGCTCAGTGTGACCCTGCTTTCATCTGTGAAGAGCACAGGACGCCAGTGGCGAATTTGCCAATCTTGGTGTTCTCTGGCAAATGCCAAACGTCCTGCACGGTGTTGGGCTGTAAGCACAACCACCACCTGTGGACGTCGGGCCCTCATACCACCCTCATGGAGTCTGTTTCTGACCGTTTGAGCAGACACATGCACATTTGTGGCCTGCTGGAGGTCATTTTGCAGGGCTCTGGCAGTGCTCCTCCTGCTCCTCCTTGCACAAAGGCGGAGGTAGCGGTCCTGCTGCTGGGTTGTTGCCCTCCTACGGCCTCCTCCACGTCTCCTGATGTACTGGCCTGTCTCCTGGTAGCGCCTCCATGCTCTGGACACTACGCTGACAGACACAGCAAACCACCTTGCCACAGCTCGCATTGATGTGCCATCCTGGATGAGCTGCACTACCTGAGCCACTTGTGTGGGTTGTAGACTCCGTCTCATGCTACCACTAGAGTGAAAGCACCGCCAGCATTCAAAAGTGACCAAAACATCAGCCAGGAAGCATAGGAACTGAGAAGTGGTCTGTGGTCACCACCTGCAAAACCAGTCCTTTATTGGGGGTGTCTTGCTAATTGCCTATAATTTCCACCTGTTGTCTATTCCATTTGCACAACAGCATGTGAAATGTATTGTCAATCAGTGTTGCTTCCTAAGTGGACAGTTTGATTTCACAGAAGTGTGATTGACTTGGAGTTACATTGTGTTGTTTAAGTGTTCCCTTTATTTTTTGAGCAGTGTATATATATATATATCATTATTTTTTTAACAGACATTTCACCTAAAATGTTAATACCTATAGTACTCTATATTGTGGAGGTCACTCACCCTGTGGTGGCACCAGCAGCTTGCCGGTCTTGGCACCCATCCGATGGGGTACATGTCTCCAGAGCCCAGGCTGCACCAGAAGTCCTGGCTACTGTCCTCCTCAAAGCCCTCATACCTCAACCGAGCTTTGTAGCCTGGAAAACAGAGGGAGGAAGCGTTAGACCAGAGAGAGGTAAACTGTAACATACAGTACTTGACAAGAAACATATCAGGTTTGAGGTCTCAGTATGATTCCTGAATGGAACCTTATTCCCTGTATAGTGCACTCAAAAGTTGTGCACTATAATGGGAAAGGGTGCCATTTCAGATGTGCCATCAGTCAGTTTCAGTGTATTTGGCTGACCTGCAAGTTGGATGATGCTGGCGATCCAGTAAACCTTACTAGGCAGGATGGCACTGGTATTCAGGACCTCCACCTTTAACCCCACTGTGATGTCATCCCACTGGGCACATAGCGGCACCTGCAGCGTTGGGATCAGGGTGGGAAATTAACTTTTTGGTCCACCAGCCACTGTGACAGGTAGATTAAAAAATCTACCAGCCACTCAGAATTTTTACCAGCCAAAATATGTTTCCTCCATAATTACACAAAAAATTTAATAAAAAACGGATGAGCATGCATTGTAATGTTTCTAAAACAAGAAATGTATTACTAGTATGAAGTAATGTGGTATATTGCTTAATTTAATGTTTGTGACCTGCATCTTTTAACCAATGTATGTTCAAAGAAATCATTCAGATACATGATACAATACTAAAAACAGATCAACAGCTGATTGATCAATAATCAGCAATGTGCCTGCCCTGCCACAAAATGCTGAGTGATACAGCTTATTTATTATTATAGTTCAGGCAGGGCCTTAACCAGGGTCTGAGTTTTATTGCTGGTCTGGACATAATTGAATAAGTACAGAGGGATCTGTTAGCAGAAACATAATTTATTAACAAAAAGTAAACAAATGAGTTTGCTTTACAGAACCGTTTTACAGCTAATTTCCTGCAATTTTACACATTTTGCCATGGGGTGGGGAAACATTTGTGCAGTTTTAAAGCTATGGCATAAGCCATTTTGGCATGACTTGTGCCATGTTAATATGATATCTGAGTGAGTGTGACTAATAAAATAATTTACAAATCTACATTTTTTTACTGACATGGGCAAATTGAGCGACTGTCAGTGACATATAACAAGAGGAAAACTGCTGATTCACAACTAAGTTTCGAAATTGGACCTTGTGTATTCTACTATTCTAACTCAACAGAAAGGTGAGACCCCAACTGAGTTCCAAAATAATACTATTATTATTTTATTTTTTATTAGAAGAAATTACGGAAGTCCGGACCTCGGTGTCCTCATATGTAGTTACGGCCCTGAGTTCAGGGCTCTACGCTGACATTTTTTTTACAGGGAGTACATGATTTGCTCCTAAAGTAGAAATGTAGAAACACACAAATAAATCTAGGAGCACAATTAAAGCAGGCAAGATGATCCCATCTCACCTCCGCTATTTTTATTGTCTATGGAGCACCTGGCCCAGGCAATTTGACAATCGAAAGGAATTACACAACATCTCTCAATTCTATGGATTGCGTCATCTCATTATACGCCAATGATATCTTACTTTATATGGACAATGTATCTCAATCCCTCCCAAATGCTTTGAAGATCATTAGCAAATTCAGCTCCATCTGAAGTTCTAAAATAAATCTAACCATATCTACCCTACTGCCTCTCAAGACCCCGATGAAGGACTCTTTCTCTATTTATGGAATCCCAATCGTTTCCCATTTAAAATATTTGGGAATATATATATATATATATATATATATATATACAGTACCAGTCAAAGGTTTAGAACACCTACTCATTCCAGGGTTTTTCTTTATTTTTACTATTTTCTACATTGTAGAATAATAGTGAAGACATCAAAACTATGAAATAACACATGGAATCATGTAGTAACCAAAAAAAGTGTTAAAACAAATCAAAATATACTTATATATTATATTTGAGATTCTTCAAAGTAGCCACCCTTTGCGCTGATGACAGCGTTGCACACGCTTGGCATTCTCTCAACCAGCTTCATGAGGTAGTCACCTGGAATGCATTTCAATTAACTGGTGTGCCTTGTTAATGCGTTTGAGCCAATCAGTTGTGTTGTGACAAGGTAGGGGGGGTATACAGAAGATAAGCCTATTTGGTAAAAGACCAAGTCCATATTATGGCAAGCTCAAATAAGCAAAGAGAAACGACAGTCCATCATTACTTTAAGACATGAAGGTCAGTCAATCTGGAATATTTCAAGAACTTTGAAAGTTTCTTCAAGTGCAGTTGCAAAAAGCATCAAGTGCTATGATGAAACTGGTTCTTATGAGGACCGCCACAGGAAAGGAAGACCCAGAGTTACCTCTGCTGCAGAGGATAAGTTCATTAGAGTTACCAGCCTCAGAAATTGCAGCCCAAATAAATGCTTCACAGAGTTCAAGTAACAGACACATCTCAACATCAACTGTTCAGAGGAGACTGCGTGAATCAGGCCTTCATGGTCGAATTGCTGCAAAGAAACTACTACTAAAGGACACCAATAGAAGAAGAGACTCGCTTGGGCCAAGAAACACGAGCAATGGACATTAGACCGGTGGAAATCTGTCCTTCGGGCTGATGAGTCCAAATTTGAGATTTTTGGTTACAACCGCCGTATCGTTGTGAGACACAGAGTAAGTGAACGGATGATCTCTGCATGTGTGGTTCCCACGGTGAAGCATGGAGGAGTAGGTGTGATGGTGTGGGGGTGTGGGGGTGCTTTGCTGGTGACACTGTCTGTGATTTATTTAGAATTCAAGGCACACTTAACCAGCATGGCTACCACAGCATTCTGCAGCGATATGCCATCCCATCTTGTTTGCACTTAGTGGGACTATCATTTGTTTTTCAACAGGACAATGACCCAAAACACACCTCCAGGCTGTGTAAGGGCTATTTGACCAAGAAGGAGAGTGATGGAGTGCTGCATCAGATGACCTTGCCTCCACAATCACCCGACCTCAACCCAATTTAGATGGTTTGCGATGAGTTGGACCGCAGAGTGAAGGATAAGCAACCAACAAGTGCTCAGCATATATGGGAACTCTTTCAAGACTGTTGGAAAAGCATTCCAGGTGAAGCTGGTCGAGAGAATGCCAAGAGTGTGCAAAGCTGTCATCAAGGCAAAGGGTGGCTACTTTGAAGAATCTGAAATCTAAAATGTATTTTGATTTGTTTAACACTTTTTTGGTTACTACATGATTCCATATGTGTTATTTCATAGTTTTGATGTCTTCACTATTATTCTACAATGTAGAAAGAATAAAGAAAAACCCTTGTATGAGTGGTCCTCTGTAGCTCAATTGGTAGAGCACGGCGCTTGTAACGCCAGGGTAGTGGGTTCGATCCCTGGGACCACCCATACGTAAAAATTTATGCACACATGACTGTAAGTCGCTTTGGATAAAAGTGTCTGCTAAATGGCATCTTATTATTATATTATTATTAGGTGTATCCAAACTGTTGACTGGTACTGTATATTTCCTTCCTTAGATAAAACCATTGCCAGAAACTTTAACAGAATGCTCAAATCAATTCAATCCGACCTTAGTAGATAACTAACATCTAGCCTTGGGCTGTATCCAGATTTTCAATATTGTCATGCCGTCCTTAACTCATACTGGGATAGACAGTATTACCGGCATAGCACACAAGGGGGCGCCATAAACGCAAGAAAATACAATTGGGTCTCATTCTTTTCCAGAATGTTAGCGAAATTAGCACAAACTAATAGCGAAATCACATAGACGCTGTTAGCTAAATGCTAATATACGAAAAATAACAAAGAAATTGCAAAGACAGGCAAATCCAGCTCATAAAGTTATACAAGCATAGCTAGTAGCTACCAAATGTCATTTTCGGTGAGTATGGAAGCTATTATAAGATATCTGATGGCAAACATTTTGTACTGAATTGCATACAAATGTAATTTCATCATGATATATCTGTTAAACAATGTAAACTATGCTTTGGTCCTATTTCTGGTCACACAATCTCTATTTGGCACAAGATTTTAAAACAGTGTATTTTATTTATTTTAACTAGGCAAGTCAGTTAAGAACAAATTCTTATTTACAATGACGGCCTACACCGGCCAAACCCTGGAATCGAACCAGGGGGTCTGTAGTGACGCCTCAAGCACTGAGATGCAGCACCTTAGACTGCTGCGCCACTCGGGAGCCCAACAAAGTAACTGGGAATCAAAATGGCATGCCCATACTCCAATATTTCACAATAATGCCTTGCGATCTGGAGGGTGGCCTTTTGCATCCCCCCAATGGCCCATATGCGGAATCCATATCCTTGCCGATATCATGGACAGTAATGGCTTGAGAACATTCCAAGATTTGAAAGACACATACATTACCATGCAACTCCTTTTTTTTTTTTTTTTACAACTTTGGTCAACTATGCTGGCCTATGGAGCCCCTTGCAAAACCCAACTACCGAACCATCCAATGATGGGATTTATAAATCAATCATCTTGGCTCCCAAAAAGATTGATCTCAATAATACAGTGCATTCAGAAAGTACTCAGACCCCTTCCCTTTTTCCACATTTTGTTACGTTCCAGCCTTATTCTAAAATGGATTCAATAAAAAAAAAAAAATCTACACACAATACCCCATAATGACAAAGCGAAAACAGGTTTTGAGAAATGTTAGTGTAGCCGGCGCGGTCTGCTCGTTGCCGACTACTGCGTTGTGTTCCGGTGCACTGAAGACAAGACACTGGCGTACTTGAAGGCACTTTATTGTGTACAACTCTCTCAATCTGTTCAACATCAAGGAGAGAAAATGTTCAAAACTCTACCCTCGACCAGAATCCGCCTCTCTCAGTCGAGTAGAATGCAGACTGAGTATAATCACATTCAAAAATACAAGGAATAAAATACAACATAATTGGAAAATAAACATCGCATCTGGTGTATATCTTATGTATGTGTCATATTGCATGTTATCTCTGCCAAAAACTCTGAGCTTTTAGCCTTTACATTAATACTGTGCAACATTAAATAAACCATCTTTCAAATAGGTAATACATACAGTAATACGCACGAAGCAACATGTAATCCTTCACATTTGAGCTTTTCAGTGCCATTAAACACTAATCAATACATGAAAACATTTTAAATGAACACATATTTTTAACCTGATATAGGGAATACATACCTGTTCAACATCAAGGAGAGAAAATGTTCAAAACTCTACCCTCGACCAGAATCCGCCTAACATAAAAAGAACAACGTGGGCTTCAACACAAGAGGATAGAATGACGATCGATAACTTACAGCTAAACAAAACACGAGGTTAGCTAAGTTAGCAATTTCTCAAACTCTCAAAAATAGCTAAATTCACGACACAGCTTGATTAAATGTATGTACACTCATCATATAATATACATACAAGTTACTATGTGCACTGAAATGTTTTAGTTTTAACAGGTATATCAAGTTTATGTCACGCCGAAGTGAACACATACCTCTCTCAGTCGAGTAGAATGCAGACTGAGAAAATCATGAGACAACTCCGCATATAACCAAACCAACACTCTAGAGGGCGCACTTACACAACTAACTCTCCCAATATCTGTAAACTACACGAAATGCTGAACAATATAATATTTTGGTGAAATCAACTCACAAAATAAAATAAAAAATAGAAAATGAACGGTTGCAAAAATCTGTAATTCTTTGACCTGTTACATTCACCCCTCTTTAATTTCACCAAAATCCTTCGCACGTCGAGGGTGGAAAATAACCAAAACCATATAGAATAAAACTCTTGTCCACTTGGTCCAAGATAGCCCTGGGACTCCATTTCCCATATGCAGCGTATAAAGCTACTTACAAAGTAAGTTAAAAGAAAACAGCAGTTGATCAGGCTACTGCCCCTTCTAGTGAATATGATGCCTTATACACCATATGAAATCTTGGAACACTTTCCCTCCAATATGAACATCTCATGACCCAGGTCATACTACTGGTAATAAAGAAAAATATCTTAATCTCAAAAATGTATCTAAAATAAAGAACGGAAAGACAGTGACCTTCTGACTCCTGTAACAAAACCCTTGGTGAGTGGTTTTTGCACCATGTTCTCTATCAAGCGATCGACTGCCTTAACAACCCTGCCAGTACGTGTTCTGACAACCTGACTTTCAAACCCTTGTACTTGGGAGGGTATCTGACTATCAATCAGTGTAACAGGTGAATTGACGTCCGAAGACCCTGTCTCATCTAAGTCAGGAACATCAATTGGGGCAACAGAGTCAGTGTCAGTCATGTGCAAATCAGGGGGGTCACTGGAATCCGACAAGTCTCTCACAGGTGAGTATTCATTTTCCCCTTGGCCTCTGACCTCTTTAGACTGGGCTCTCGTGGGTGTCAGTTGAACAGACTTCCTGGACAGAGAGTGGGGCATCTCCTTCTCCATCTCAGACTCATCAGCTTCTCCAATAGACTCAGAGGATGCGTTTAACCACGAACATGTACGGTCCTCAGAAGCATCTACTGCTAGGCCACTCAAAGCATCAACAGAAGGAGGCTGAAACTCACTGGCCACATCCGAGGCAGCTCCATTCATCTCTTCATCGCTTAGTTCTGGCATGGGCAAGAAGCTCACGTCCAACATCAAATTCCGATGAACAACTTTTGTTTTCCCACTTTCGTCTCTGACTTTGTAAACGTGAGTCTGAGGGTTCCGGTCTATGATGGTATACATAGTGGCTTCCCACTTATCCGCTAACTTCCTCTTCCCTCTCTCTGCTTTATTAGCTAACAAAACTCGGTCGCCAACGTTCAAGTGGGTTCCACGAACTCTCTTGTTGTAGCCATCAGCTTGATGTTGCTGTCCTTTCCTCGCATGCTGCTGAGCTATGTCGGCAGCCACATGGAGGTTCGCCATCAGTTTCTCTGCATAGGTCTTATAATTCACCACGACTGGATCCCTCAAGACTTGTTTGAAGACCATGTCTACTGGGAGTCTGGGGACTCGACCATACATCAAATAGAATGGAGGATATCCAGTTGTTTCATGAGTGGTGGCATTATACGCAAAAGTCAAAGTCTGTATCTGTTGGACCCAGTGTTGCTTAGCTGTCAGGGGTAGGGCACGCAACATACTGCCAAGTGTCCTATTGAACCTTTCGGTTTGCCCATTTCCCATGGGATGGTATGCTGTTGTGTGTGTTTTCATAATCCCTGTGAGGCTGAGGAGTTCAGCTATGAGTTTGCTTTCAAAATTGGCCCCTTGATCAGAATGTATTCGCTCTGGGAAACCGTAGATGCAGAATACGTTATCCCATAACTTCTTTGCTATTTGCTTTGCAGTTTGGTTTATGCAGGGAAAGGCATGAGCCAATTTTGTAAAGTGGTCTGTTATGACTAACACATCGACAGATCTTTGCTTACAGTCCTCAGCACTCCAAAAATCAATGCACACCAGCTCCATGGGTGCCGAAGTGCGAATGCTCTCCAAGGGAGCTCGGGCAGCTGGTTCAGGGGTCTTTGCAAGGATACAGCGTTAGCAGCATTTCACATATTCCTTGATGTCTCTTCCCATTTGCGGCCAGAAGAAACGCTGTCGGGCGAGGTGTGCTGTTCTAGCCTGCCCTTGATGCCCAGCGAAATCATGCACACCAGCGAGAGCTTTGGCCTTCAAGCTAGCAGGCAGCACAAACTGATACCTCTTCTCTCTGCTTAATGGGTCTTTGGTTACCCTATATAGGACTCCGTCCTGGACTTTTAGATGATGCCACTGCTTGCACAGTGTCTGGGTCGTAAGAGCTAACCTCCTCCTCCCTCGCCTAGGTGGTGGCTCACCCCTCTGAATGAGTGGCAGGACTTCCCTGATAACTGGATCTATTTTTCTCAGCTCGCCGATGGAGAGGGCTGGAAGTGTGTCTTGTTCTGAGGGCACCGCCTGGGGAAGAGCATTGAGAAACTGTGTTGCTCTTATCTCTGCTCCCCTTTCCCACTCTACATGAGCTTCACAAGCAGATTTCACATGAGAGGGTTCTTGACTGCCGGCCAGCCTGTCTTGAGTGGGGTCCATAGTTACACAGCACCCTGCATCATGTGCCTGGAGACACTGGGTCTTACTCCGGAATAGATCTTGGACTTTCTCCTCTTTGGTTCCCTCCGCCTCGGCCAAAAGACTTCCATAGGGCTCACTGATCAACCTTTGGCTCACTGATTTAGCAAACGGATCTCTACTCAGGGCATCTGCCACAATGTTCTTTACCCCAGGAATGTGTTTGATACTGAAGGTGTAGGGGGAAAGCTTTGCCACCCACCTCTGTTCGCAAGCGTCAAGTTTTGGTTTGGTCATTATATAGGTCAAAGGATTATTGTCGGTCCATACTGTAAAAGTGTGGCCTTTCAACCAGTGGCTGAATTTTTCACAAACACTCCATTTGAGCGCCAAGAACTCCAGTCGGTGAGCAGGATACCTCTTTTGTGAGCCAGTGAGGGTCTTGCTGGCAAAGGCGATCGGGCGTGCCTTCGTTTCTCCTTCTGGTATCTGGGACAGAACTGCCCCAAGGCCATCAAGAGACGCATCAATGGACAGAACCAAGGGCTTAGAAAAGTCTGGATGGCTAAGGACCACACAATTCAGGACCTTCCCCTTAAGGCCGGCGAAAGCGGAATCGCAGTCAAGGGTCCAATCCGCAGGTTTGAGCTTTCTGTAGACTCCCGCATTCTGACTGTACTTCCCGGCCTTTCCTCTCCGTTTCTGGCCAGCTGTGAGAGCAAACAGGGGTTTTGCGATGGAGGAGCAATTTGGTATGTAGTGTTGGTAATAAAATACCATCCCCAGGAACGACTTCACTCTGCGAACTGAAGGAGTGCAGCCATCATCTTCCATCAAGTCCCTCTTTGACATTTTGGTGATGACTTCGACCTTCTCTGGGTCAACAGCAACACCGTCACTGTCAACGATGTGTCCGAGAAACTTCACAGATCTCCGCAACAGATGGCATTTTTTTGGACTCAACTTTAGATTGTGCTCCCGTAGCCTCTGGAAAACAACCTCTAATCTGCTGAGGGCCTGCTGTTCATTGGGGGCAAATATCAAGAGATCATCTAGGTAGCACAAGAGACTGCTGAAGTTAAGATCGCCAAAGATACTCAGCATCATCCTCATGAAGGACGCTGGACTGTTGCAAAGCCCCTGTGGCATTCTGTTATACTCGTGCAGGCCTAATGGTGTTGTGAAGGCGGTATACTTTTTGTCCTCCTCATGCATGGGCAAGTTATAAAATCCAGACGTGAGGTCCATGGTGCTGAAGACAGCATTACCGCCAAGGGCAGCCAAGCAGTCCGATTGATGGGGAAAAGGATGAGCATCCTTGATAGTTCTTGCATTCAGCCATCGAAAGTCTGTGCATATCCGGAGGTCGCCATTTTTCTTCCAAACCATCACGAGTGGAGAAGCATATTCACTCATTGATTTCCGTATGATTTCCTGTTCCTCCATCTCGGTGAGAACTTGGCGCAGCTTTTGATAGTGGGCTGGCGGCACTCTGCGATATGGAAGACGGAAGGGACGGTCGTCAGTGAGGCGGATCCTATGGGCAAAGCCCTTGGCTTCTCCACAGTCAAGATTATGCTTTGAAAATATATCCTGATATTTCTCCAGCAATGTCACAAGTTGGAGCTTGGTGGAGGGGCTCGCTTCACAATGATCAATGTCGACATTTCCTAGACCAGACTTCTGCAGTCTGTCTTTCAGGTCACCGTTGTCGTCCTGTTTCACATGAGTCACTCCAACAGAGCCAGCATCACTCTGACAGGAACCCTGGAACAGTGTGAGATCTTCAGCTGCAACACAAGTAGAGACGTCTGCAAGCTTGCTGTTCCTTTTCAGTGTGAGTGGTTTGTCTGAGATATTAGTGATTTTCATGGGAGTCCAGCCATCTCTCCATAGCGGTGTTACCACTCTCCCCACCATAATGCCCCGAGGCACACACCTGGAGGTTGTAGGCTCCACCATAACTGTACTCCCAGGTGACTTGGGTATATTACTTGGCAGTCTTCCCCACAGCAGGTACTCTTGTTTGGGAAGGAGAGTCACCGCCTGAGTTAGCTTCACTGTCCCTACTTTTCCTGGGACATCTTCACCCCTCCATCTTGTGAGACTGGTCATCATTTCTAGAAACTGTTCGCCATCTGGAGACCCTTTTGTGTTGCTCGAGATAAGTGTCCAATAACTGTTCTCGTTTTTCAGCTGATGCAGTACACGTTTCAACATGTTGGTGCCTACTATTATGTCGTCTTTCTGACCAGTGATCACCAGAACTGGGACCATGCACTTTACCCCATACAGACTTAGTTCCATGTCATACATGCACTTGGGGCGCACTTGTACTCCTCCACAGCCAACAAGGATGATATGCTGTGAGAGTTCTTGATGTGGGGTCAAGACGCTATCCGATAGTAGTCTCTGCTCTGCCTCTTCACTTATCGTGCAGGCCATTGAGCCTGTATCGAGGAGCCCTTGCAACTGAGCACAGCCATTAACTGTCACCGGTGCGTGAAATAACTCACTGAACGTCTCAACTCTGTGAATATTCTGAACAATTACCGTGCAATTATCAGACATTGCTTTACAGACATTGACATACATCTCCTTCAATTCTTCACTTTCTTCAAGGGTTGAATCTTCAACGCTCACACATCCCCTTTCCGTATGTGAGCTATCTAGTTTAAACTGGCTCCACCTTGCTCAGAGTTAGGTGGTGTGTGCGCTAACTGTGGCTGAGCGTTAATTCTTGGCCGGCGCTGTTGGCATTCTCTCTTCCAGTGGCCGGGCTTGTAACAGCCCATACAGAGGTTTGCCTGTCTACAATGTGCAGTAGTTGAATGTTCGGCAGACTGACAGACTTTACATCTACTCTGAACAATGGCTGCTGGCCCCCTGCTTGGTGGCACGACTGCTGTTGTGTGTGCCGTCTGCTCTAGCACACGGTTCAGCAAGCCAATGAGAGACTGCATGCAGATGCTCTCTGTCTGAGGAGAGGATGGAAGCCCCATTGCCTTTGGGTAACCAGTAAGGTCTGTTGGGTTTTCAGCAGCGACTGTCTCTGTGGTTAATGCCTGAGCATGTGCACCAATGTTCTTTGGCCGATAAGATTTGGCTTGACACATTGTTCTAGCCTCTCTCTGATGTTCAACGAGGTGTTCCTGAATCTCATTTGCTGTCCACTTTTCAGCTGTTTTGCACTTTAGGACACTTGCAAGAGCGGGGTCGGGACAGTGTTTCACCAGCATCATTGTGACTTCATGAGAGGGGTCCTCAATGTTTCGCCCCTGCCTTCTCAGACACTCATCTGCGAATCCACAGCCTTGTTCAAGCGTATCCAATAGTCCATGGGACTTTCTCCGGCCAGAGGAAGTGTGTTATAGAAATCTGCTAAAGGCATAGAGGAGTAGGTTAACTCACTGAAATGTTGTTTCAGAATATCAAAGACGAGCTTGGAGTTCTCAGCTGGCTGCAGCGATGGCATACTGCGCAGGGTAACTTTAACAATGTCTCTAGCCTTTCCCATTAGTCTTGACATTATCTCCTGGGAGTGCTCTTGCGGGTGTACACCCCTCTTATTCAGGTAAACGCTCATAATCTCTTCCCACTCATGCACTGTGTGTTTGTCTGTTCCATCACCCCTGAAGTACGGCGGCTCTTTGACATCTGTCTTCATGACTAACTTTACTCCTGTTATGTTCAAATCAGACTGTCCATATCCTAAGTTCAGGCTAGGCGTAGGAGTGGTTTGGTTATCTGCACTACCAACAGATCTCTGTAATTGGCTAGCAATGTTCTCTCCTATTTCATGAGCTAACTGTGTGATGAGACTCCCTAGGTCTGCAGAACTCACATGTGAACTAGACACTGGCTGACGTGGAGAATGTTCATCTGTTTGGGTGTGAGTGTATGAAAATGCAGGACGGCCCACTGAACTAACGCTGCTTGCAATGTCTGGAGCATCTCCTAAACTACGCATGTGTGGTGCGGGGGAATATTCATCAGTGCGTAAGCGTGTGGACGAGAGTACAGGTCTGCCTAGTATACCAGCACCCCTAACCGGCGTGCTCTCCACCCTACTCATAAACCTGCCCCTCCCCAGGCTTACCCCTGCAGCATCTCCAACACTAAATGGTGTCTGCGCATCCTTACCATCAGTCATTTTTTTAAAAAAATAGAAAGTTGTAATAGACTATGGTAATGATATGTGAATCACCAGAACATGTGAATATGAAAAAATTTTGTAAAATGATAGAAGTAGCTGAGGTAAGCAATTAAGAGCTACAATTTACACATTAATGTTTGCCCTTATACTTGTCAACGTTCCGAAGAGGTTCCTACTCGTCACAGCAACCACCGGCGATCACCCTGGCGATGATCTGAAGCGAAGATATCCGGGTCACGGCACCAATGTAGCCGGCGCGGTCTGCTCGTTGCCGACTACTGCGTTGTGTTCCGGTGCACTGAAGACAAGACACTGGCGTACTTGAAGGCACTTTATTGTGTACAACTCTCTCAATCTGTTCAACATCAAGGAGAGAAAATGTTCAAAACTCTACCCTCGACCAGAATCCGCCTCTCTCAGTCGAGTAGAATGCAGACTGAGTATAATCACATTCAAAAATACAAGGAATAAAATACAACATAATTGGAAAATAAACATTGCATCTGGTGTATATCTTATGTATGTGTCATATTGCATGTTATCTCTGCCAAAAACTCTGAGCTTTTAGCCTTTACATTAATACTGTGCAACATGACATAAACCATCTTTCAAATAGGTAATACATACAGTAATATGCACGAAGCAACATGTAATCCTTCACATTTGAGCTTTTCCATTAAACACTAATCAATACATGAAAACATTTTAAATGAACACATATTTTTAACCTGATATAGGGAATACATACCTGTTCAACATCAAGGAGAGAAAATGTTCAAAACTCTACCCTCGACCAGAATCCGCCTAACATAAAAAGAACAACGTGGGCTTCAACACAAGAGGATAGAATGACGATCGATAACTTACAGCTAAACAAAACACGAGGTTAGCTAAGTTAGCAATTTCTCAAACTCTCAAAAATAGCTAAATTCACGACACAGCTTGATTAAATGTATGTACACTCATCATATAATATACATACAAGTTACTATGTGCACTGAAACGTTTTAGTTTTAACAGGTATATCAAGTTTGTCACGCCGAAGTGAACACATACCTCTCTCAGTCAAGTAGAATGCAGACTGAGAAAATCATGAGACAACTCCGCATATAACCAAACCAACACTCTAGAGGGCGCACTTACACAACTAACTCTCCCAATATCTGTAAACTACACGAAATGCTGAACAATACAATATTTTGGTGAAATCAACTCACAAAATAAAATAAAAAATAGAAAATGAACGGTTGCAAAAATCTGTAATTCTTTGACCTGTTACATTAGCACATTTTTCCATTGATCATCCTTGAGATGTTTCTACAACTTGATTGGAGTCCACCTGTGGTAAATTCAACTGATTGGACATGTTTTGGAAAAGCACACACCTGTCTATTTAATGTCCCACAGTTGACAGTGCATATCAGAGCAAAAACCAAGCCATGAGGTCGAAGGAATTGTCTGTAGAGCTCCAAGACAGGATTGTGTCGAGGCACAGATCTGGGTAAGGGTACCAAAAACATTCTGCAGCATTGAAGATCCCCAAGAACACAGTGGCCTCCATCATTCTTAAATGGAAGAAGTTTGGAACCACCAAGACTCTTCCCAGAGCTGGCCGCCCGGCCAAACCGAACAATCGGGGGAGAAGGGCCTTGGTCAGGGAGGTGACCAAGAACCCGATGGTCACTCTGACAGAGCTCCAGAGTTCCTCTGTGGAGATGGGAGAATCTTCCAGAAGGACAACCATCTCTGCAGCACTCCACCAATCAGGCCTTTATGGTAGAGTGGCCAGACGGAAGCCATTCCTCAGTAAAAGGCACATGACAGCCTGCTTGGAGTTTGCCAAAAGGCACCTAAGGGACTCTCAGACCATGAGAAACAAGATTATTTGGTCTGATGAAACCAAGATTGAACTCTTTGGCCTGAATGCCAATCGTCACGTCTGGAGGAAACCAGGCACCGCTCATCACCTAGCCAATACCATCCCTACGGTGAAGCATGGTGGTGGCAGCATCACGCTGTGGGGATGTTTTTCAGCGGCAGGGACTGGGAGACTAGTCAGGATAGAACAAGGCTGTAATGTAACAAAATGTGGAAAAAGTGAAGGGGTCTGAATACATTCCGAATGCACTACACTTCCATTCATTTGTTTTTTACTGGTACCTGGCTACCGTACGTGTTCGTGAGAGTCTCATCTTTCTATAGAGGGGTCATAACAGTTTGTAGGCCAAACCGTTCAGACGCTACCGACGTGTTTGTGAGAAGGCCGGTTTTCGGGATGTCTCATGGTCTAACAAACACCGCTCTAGCTCTGCCACCTTTCACCACAGATGCGGAAGAGCGACATCGGCGGATGCAGTAGATTTCTCTAGCTTAAATTGACAGATTTTGATGGGGATTTTTGTATTATGCTAATTAGATCGACTCTCGGGGGTTAACATACTAAATGTTTTGCTATGCAAATTTTTTATGGAATAGGTTCAGATAGGATAAGTGCAGAGTTAGGCACAGGTCTGAAGCAGGCCACTGAAGCAGCGAGAGAGTCTGCCTCCTCCAGGTAAGCACCCCAGTCAAAGCTTCCTGTTGCTGCAGCTATATAGCAAGAGGGAAAGGGGGTCGATAATACTGGACAGGAGGTCTCAGAGAGAGGAACTAAATGTTTCACCTCTCGTAACTTACATAAAATGATTCCGAGTATTTTCCTTCCTGGCTGCAATGGTGTGATGTTTTAACTAACATTGTTTATGTATGTGTTCGTCAATAATGTGGCTTTTCGACTATAGAAGCACAATAGTCTTTAGATCAAACACGTGTAAAAACCCAGAAATGGAAAAGTCCTCTAAGTGGTCTCACCATCCTGTCCAGCAGAGCTGGAGCTGTTGTCCTGACTACTGCCCAGAGAGGCAATCATGTTCCCCATGGGGGGGGGGGGGGGGGGGGGGGGGGGGGGGGGACCAGGCCGTCTTGGAGAAAATAGAACAAGTTGAGAAAAGGGTGTTGCTATATAATGCTATATGAAAGGCTTCATAAAGACTAAACAGTATAAAGTCTATACAAATCTAGCCTCATCACTTGTACACACAGAAATAAATGTTCTACCTAGAGGCCGATCATCACCTCTGCCTTCCTTCTCTCTCTCACCTGCAGCCGTGCCAGGATAGAGGACTTCTTGCAGTTGGAGGAGTAGGCTCTGGAGCAGGAGACGCTGCAGAACCGCTTGGTCTTGGAATAGAAGGTGTCTCTGGTCCCACTGAAACCACACATCTCACACACTGCTGTGGAGGGAAGAGGATGAGAATATGTTACAGACAGGATCGTGGTTTGGTGAGCCGTGATTGCCTGGACCCAGAAGACTTGCGTTAGCTCCCTGATTAGCTTGAGATCAGCACGCTAACACAGTCTTTCCTCACCTGGTCCGTCATCTAAAGTAAGAGCCGAGTAGTCATCTCCAAAGGAATCATCCATCTCGTTTTCATCCTCTTCGTCATCATCTTCATCGTCATCCTCCGCATCAGTGCCCCCCTCAACATCCTCCTGTGAGAGAGGTTGGGTGAGAGAGAGAGTCATGTATGATTTGAACTATTCTGTGATATGGAACTGTGCTTACAGCTAAAAAATAAACAATCAGTTTTTACCATCACAGCTGATCAATTTATATTATAAATCTACACTACATGACCAAAAGTATGTGGCCACCTGCTCGTCCAACATCTCATTCCAAAATCATGGGCATTAATATGGAGTTGGTCCCCCCCTTTGCTGCTATAACAGCCTCCACTCTTCTGGGAAGGCTTTCCACTAGATGTTGGAACATTTCTGCAGGGACTTGCTTCCATTCAGCCACAAGAGCATTAGTGAGGTCGGGCACTTATGTTGGGCGATTAAACCTGGCTCGCAGTCTGCATTCCAATTCATCCCAAAGGTGTTCGATGGGGTTGAGGTCAGGGCTTTGTGCAGGCCAGTCAAGTTCTTCCACACCGATCTCGACAAACCATTTCTGTATGGACCTCGCTTTGTGCACAGGGGCATTGTCATGCTGAAACAGGAAAGGGCCACAAAGTTGGAAGCACAGAATCGTGTAGAATGTCATTGTATGCTGTAGCGTTAAGATTTGCCTTCACTGGAATTAAGGGGCCTAGCCCGAAACATGAAAAACACCAAACTTTACAGTTAGCGCTATGCATTGGGGCAGGTAGCGTTCTCCTGGCTTCCGCCAAACCCAGATTTGTCAGTCGGATTGCCAGATGGTAAAGAGTGATTCATTACTCTAGAGAATGCTTTTCCACTGCTCCAAAGTCCAATGGTGGTGAGCTTTACACCACTCCAGTCGGTGCTTGGCATTGCACATGGTGATCTTAAGCTTGTGTGTGGCTGCTCGGCCATGTAAACCCATTTCATGAAGCTCCCGACTAACAGTTATTGTGCTGACATTGCTTCCAGAGGCAGTTTGGAACTCGGTAGTGAGTGTTGCAACCGAGGACAGACAATTTTTACACGCTACGCGCTTCAGCACTCGGCGGTCCCGTTCTGTAAGCTAGTGTGGCCTACAACGGCTGAACCGTTGTTGCTCCTAGACATTTCCACTTCATAATAACAGCAGTAACAGTTGACCGGGGCAGATCTAGCAGGGCAGAAATTTGACCTAACTGACTTGTTGGAAAAGTGGCATCCAATGACGGTGCAACATTGAAAGTCACTGAGCTCTTCAGTAAGGCCATTCTATTGCCAATGTTTGTCTATGGAGATTGCATGGCTGTGTGCTCGATTTTATACACCTGTCAGCAACGGGTGTGGCTGAAATAGCCGAATCCACTAATTTGAAGGGGTGTCCACATACTTTTGTAAATATAGTGTATGTTGTTGCATGGTGCAACCATAGAGATCCTATTCAAGTATTCTAATTCCTAATTACATGGTTGCAACATGGTATTTCAGATTTGATAGCATATCCATCATTTACCACCATGCATGCAGTTGCAATTCTGATTTAACCAGATACATTGTATCATATTTGTGTTGCATTGCAACAGAGGCTATTGAAATACACAATTTTCATCCCTTGCATTTTTCCAGAACCTGTCGATAATAGGCTATTCTATTCCCAATAAATTGCAGCTGCGCTGGTGTATTTTTTCGCATCACCTCTTCGCCCACACCACAGCCATTTATGTTCACCTTATGCTAAGGGTGGCAGAAATGACGGGCGCGTACAATCATGGAAGATATACCTTGGGACTATTTTCTCGCATCAAATGAGGCTAACGTTATATGAGTTTAGAGGAGAGCGGCTTCGTGTGTTCCATACCGACCCCCCTCCTTCTCCGCTGGCAATTTATAAAGAACAAAAAATCCGACTAGGGAGGGGGTTGATACGCCGAAGCTGAAATCGAGAGGCGAACCCAGGAAAGGAGTATTTTTTTACACGGGACTCCCCCCTCCCCCCCCCCCCGTCCCCCAAAAGGAGGGGGAAAAGTCACAATTGTGGAATCTAAAAGGAAAATAAGGTTCAAAATACGTAAAAACGTCTCCGGTTGTGGATACCGTATATATTTTTAATTCGAAAAAATATGGCCGAGAACGTTCTGGACTCTGGCCCGCCTTCAGCCAAGAGGCCTAAACTATCCTCTCCGGCACTTTCTGTCTCCGCCAGCGATGGAAACGGTAAATATTGTTTAGGATTTTATTTTGTTAGGGTATTGTTATTTTTGTTTATTTGGTATTATTTTCAATTATTGTGATTTTATTCGAAAGGGAAAGGGGCCGTGTAATTGCCCCCATGCGAATGTGTGTGTCGGACTTGCATAGCAGTAGGCTAGTAGTAATTTCAGCACTACGATGAACGCTGGCTGGCTAGGTAGCTAGTTATGAATGCGGGGCTTAGATTGATTGCTAGCTTGCTGCATGGGTAGTTAGCGACATTATTTGTCGTTACCATTTAGGTAATAAATACTGGCATTTAGGTAATAAATACTGTCAAATTAAAATGGTATGTCAACAACACGGCTAAAATTATTTGTAATTATTATCCCCGAGATTGACAAGGACGCTTTAATTTAAGCGACACACAACTCGCTAGTTAACTATTTTTAAGTAACTAGCTAACGTAAACTAGAGTTAGTTCGCTACTACTGTAGTGGTGAAACTAACCGCTTGATCGGTGTGGCAAATCATGGTTTAAAAACATGTTTTATAATAAAGTAGGTAACTAATTCAGCTAAGTGGCAATCCATGAAACACAAATGGTTCAACTCGCTCACTAGTAAATGAGCTAACTCGCCTAGCCAAGTACTTTGCTAACTAGTTATTTTTTAGGTTGCTAGTGAGCTACTTAGTCAGTTCGCTAGCGAACTTTCAAAGCGAGTTGTGACAAAGCTCTCATCGCCATTCAATGCTAACGCGTTAGCTAGCCCGTAAGCACACCAACTAACAGTTAACTTAACCACTTTGTGACGTTTTGACATTTTCCAAGATAGTATTTCATAAAGTTAGCTCATTAACGTTAACTATATATATAAAACAATATAATGTTAGCTAGCAAACTAATTGAAGTTTCGTTCACCTGGTTACTTGGTACATGTTTCCTACTTGGCTAACTTAGTTTTATTAACGATGACTAGCCAGCTAATAGTAACGTTAATTACATAGCTAGCTAGCTAGCTACTACTGAAGCAGGCCCATGTAGCTAGCTAGCTGAGTGAGTGATTATGTTCAAATTGCCATTGTTAACTAGTTTTTCTGAAGATGTGTGGCAGAGACTGGAGGACCAAGGCCAGCAACCTTATACAAAAACGTAAAACAACTGCAAAAAAAACATAGAACTGGGCCACATTATGTATCACTGTGATATGTTTAAATGGCCTTCTGCAGACGCTAGATAGCTAGCTAGTAGTAGTTGTTTGAAATTGGACTTGAAAATGTCCGTTAATTTTGTCATTGCATAGCTAGCTAGCTACTGCCTCCCATTGTCCATCTATTAGCTACATGCTAAAGTCAGCCACTTGACACAAAATACATTGAGGTTCCAATGTACTTAATAACAGAAAATAATCCAGTGTCTGTACTGCACTTTTGAAATGTATTTTTTTAATTCTCATACTGTGGCCTCCAGAAAAAAAGTCACGTAGGCCTATAGTAATTTGTACATTCTCTAGTTAGTCTTTTGTAAAAAGAAAAAAACTTGCCCCATATTCAGTGCATATCAAAACTAGGCCTGTATTTGCAAATGTGCTGAACTCTTAACTGAACAAGTGTGTGAAGTCTTGGGATTGATGGACGCTACAGAAACTTCAGTGACTTATGTCTTCAGGTGAGACACAATGCACTGCTTTCTATTTGAGAGCATGTCAAGGATTCACCAGTTGACAATATGTGGCAGTGTAGGGGGGACCCCTTTTTTTTGTCTTGACAATTGGTATAATTTTGCTACGATCAGTCTCATCCCTGGGTTGTGTTCAATACTCTGGCACAGCTTTGCAAAATGTTTTGAAATGGACAAGTACCTGTTGCCCCTCAGTTTCAAGACGGTTTTCTCCCATTTGTTATCTACTGAACATGACCCAGGAGATGGACATGGGTGTCCAGAGAGTTTCTGAACCTGGCTCTCTGTGGTGTTAACGCGGTGTCGAGGCCCATCCGTCACTCTGTGTGTAAAGCTCTGTCTGCGCCGTGCTAAATCACACTCGAGGTCTGGCACAGACAGTCTACGGCCAGCCACTGTGTGTGGGAGAGTCTGTTTGGGCACCCGCCTTCATTTCAAAGCTTTGGTTTTCCTCATTCTACAAATGTAGTTCTCGGGCTATGCCAATTGGCCACCACATTTGATGCAACCATATATGATTATGTTTGAATGCAGTGCACTGCATTTGATTTTGTTAGGAGGAATCTATTGTTATGCCTTCAATGTACCCTTGCCCACATCTCTCTCTTTCTCTCCCTTTCACTTTTCTTCTCTTTCCTCTTCTCGCTCACAATCCGCTCTGGCTCTCTTTCTCCCTCTCTCCGTACTCTCTCGTTTTCTCCCTCCCTGCACAGATTTCGGCTCGTTGTTTGACCTGGAACACGACCTCCCTGACGAGCTCATCAATTCCTCGGAGTTGGGCCTGGTCAACGGAGGGGACCTCAGCCAGTTGCACACCAGTCTGGGGGGGGGAGGAGGTGGGATGGGCCTGGGCCTTGGAGGAGGGGGTGGTCAGGACGCGGTGGCCAAGCACAAGCAGCTCTCCGAGCTCCTTCGATCAGGCGCTCCACACGCCTCCACCCAGCAGGGCCAAGGTGTGGTGGGCAGCCCAGGTGGAGCCAGCATGGGCCACCTGGGGAACATGAAGGTGTCCCCTGGGCCCCAGGGCATGGGCCAGCAGCAACATCTCTCAACCCAGCAGCAGGCCAGCATGATGCAGCAGCAGGCGGGGATGGTGGGCGCCATAAACAGGGGCATGATGGGGGCCCAGAAGGGCAACGGACAGCAGCAGCAAGCCATGATGGGGGGGCCTGTGATGAACGGATCCCCCAGGATGAGCTTCTTGAACCAGGGGATAGGGGGGAACAGTAACCTACTGGCTGAGACTCTACAGCAGCAGCAGCAACAACAGCAGCAGGGTGCCGGGGGACAGGCTGGACTCAGAGTACAGCAACCTGGAGCACTGAACAAGGTATGTATGGACCCTTCAGACAAGAGGGCAGAGATGTTGTTTTCTAATTTACCTATTCTTTATTCTAAGAACATTGAGATTGGCATCTTTTTTCAAGTAAGCCACCCTGACCAAGAAAGCTGCATGCAGTTATTGTTTGCCCACACAATGTTACAATGCAACAGTTTATTCACAAAAACAGGTTAAAAGAGCAGGTCTCATTACTCATATATTAAGGATGTTTTAATCAAGGTTTAAAAATGTACAATTCAAATGATTTGAGTTTTAGAGATCAAAAGCTATGTATAGTTGAAGGCTCTGTCAGGGAGGAGGAAGACTATAGGAGGGCATGGCTGGGATATGGAGGGAGAAAGGTGGGGAGGAAGGATGTATGCAAAATTATGAAAGCATTCGATTAACCCCCAGCCCTCGCGCACACACCAGCACCGCTGCAAGTGAACAACCAGACATTACTACAAATTGGGAGCCACGTGGAAGCCCTTGATTAATTAAGCACATCACAGTGGTCGTCTTATTCCAACATGTCAACATGAAATGTGGGGCAACCGTTACATGGCGGAGAGGTAATTGGTCTGCCTGTTCTGAGCCATCATTAATGATTTAATTGAACCCATCAACGTTACCTGCCGCTAATTGATTAGAAATGAAGTACATTGTCTCTCTGTAGAAGTAGTGGATTTTAATTGGTGTGTAAACGGCGGGGAGGGGAAGTTGATTAGTGGTGAAAGGTAGATGGTTGTTCTTTTAGCTTTAATGCTCTTCACTAGAGCTGGGAATTTCCAGGGTCTTCGATACGTTATTATGATATTTAGGTGCCGATATGAATTTTGATTCTCACGATTCTATATGTATTGCAATTCAATGTTCCAAACCCTGCTGCAGAGGGTCAAGCGCGAGTCATAAGAAAACAAGTTTTGATCAGTCATGGAAATAAGTGCCGACAACAAATTGTGTCCCTATTAAAAAGATGGAGAACAAGCTATGAAGGACAAATACTGGCATTTTGGTGCATGTACAGCAAACTAGCACAAAAAATAATATTGTGATATTGTCAAAACGATACGATGTATCATAAATAATATCCCAATTTTATTTTTCTCCCATCATTATTTTTCACGTTGTTAGTGAGTAATATCCCCGGGGTCGTGCTCATTTAAAAGGACTACTCTCGGTCTGAATAATACAATTCAAATGATTTGAACACGTCAATTTTCTAACTCATTGTACCATGTTTGGAGCAGCATATAAACTGTAAAAAGAGATGTCAATTTATTTTACTGTATTTTTCTCAATCCAATATGTCTTGTTTAAACCACATGTGTCAAACTCATTCCACGGAGGGCCGAGTGTCTGCGGGTTTTCGCTCCTCCCTTGTACTTGATTGATGAATTAAGGTCATTACTTAGTAAGGAACTCTCCACACCTGGTTTTCTAGGGCTTAATTGAAAGGAAAAAACAAAAACCTGCAGACACTAGGCTCTCCATGGAATGAGTTTGACACCCCTGATTTAAACCATGCCTTCTCTAACCCTCCCTCCTGTCTTCCATTTCTGTCTCTCCTTATCTCCTATACTTTTTCCTGCCTATTCCCCCTCCCATCCTCTCCTCAGATGGGTATGATGGGTAACCCAGGCCCCTATGGAGGCCCCTACGTTGGGCAGCAGGCGGGCCTGGGAGGAGCAGGGCTGGGCCCTCCACTCCAGAACAAAGGCTCTATGCCCAACAGCCTGGCCCAGTTCAGCATGGACAAGAAGAGCCAGCCCATGCAGGGCATGGCTGCCATGGTAAGGAAGTTAGCTAGCTAGTCTCCTACCTATCATTTTTAACTTACCTGTCATGAATGCTGCCTTTTGGGTACCAGTCAACCGCACTGACCAACCCTGAACAGACTATTCCGTCTTCCTCCCCTCTCTATCCTCAGGCCACACAGCAGTCTGCCGCAGGTGTGGGCGGTGGAGCCGGGGCAGGAGGCACTGCAGGGATGGTCCCCAACGCCCAGGAAGGCCTGGGGTCCGCCGTATCTGCAGCCGCAGCTGCTGCAGCAGCTGGGGCACCCCCTACGGCAGACCCCGAGAAGCGCAAGCTGATCCAGCAGCAGCTGGTGCTCCTGCTCCATGCACACAAGTGCCAGCGGCGGGAGCAAGCCAACGGGGAGGTGCGCCAGTGCAACTTGCCACACTGCCGCACCATGAAGAACGTCCTCAACCACATGACCCACTGCCAGGCCGGCAAGTCCTGCCAGGGTGAGTTGATAAGACCCAGAATAGAAAGACCTGCAAGATTGTTCCCTGTCACACCTTTACCTAAGATGTGTATTATATTCATCAAGAGCTCTCTGAAGTACTCATCACATTTATTTTCTCACACTTTTTATTTTCCTTGTCTCTGTCCCTCTTCCCCTTCGTTCTCTCTCTCCTCAGTGGCTCACTGTGCATCATCTAGACAGATCATCTCTCACTGGAAGAACTGTACGCGGCACGACTGTCCTGTCTGCCTGCCGCTCAAGAATGCCGGTGACAAGAGGAACCAGCAGTGTGAGTGTATCTGCCCATCAAACACTACTTTTCTCTCTACCCCTCCCTCCCTCAGTCTGTTAGCTGGCTCGTATAATAGTAGTACGCATCTTGTCTTATTAGGTTTAGAGAGCCGTCAGGTCTCAACTCTTTCAAGTAATGTCAATGGATGTGCATTTGGAAAGTATTCAGACCCCTTGACGTTTTCCACATTTGGTTATGTAACAGCCTTATTCTAAAATTGATAAAATCTACAAACAATACCCCATAATGACGTAGCGAAAACAGGTTTTGAGAAAGTTTTCAAATATAAAAAAATTTAACAAATATATTTACATAAGTATTCAGACCCTTTGCTATGAGACTCGAAAATTGAGCTCAGGTGCATCCTGTTTCCATTGATCATCCTTGAGATGTTTCTACAACTTGATTGGAGTCCACCTGTGGCAAATTCAATTGATTGGACATTAATTGGAAAGGCACACACCTGTCTATATAAGGTCCCACAGTTGACAGTGCATGTCAAAGCAAAAACCAAGCCATGAGGTGGAAGGAATTGTCCGTAGAGCTCCGAGACAGGATTGTGTCTAGGCACAGAGCTGGGGAAGGGTACCAAAAAATGTCTGCAGCATTGAAGGTCCACAAGAACACAGTGGCCTCCATCATTTTTAAATGGAAGAAGTTTAGAACCACCAAGACTCTTCCTAGAGCTGGCCGCCCAGCCAAACTGAGCAATCGGGGGAGAAGGGCCTTGGTCAGGGAGGTGACCAATAACCCGATGGCCACTCTAACAAAGCTCCAGAGTTCCTCTGTGGAGATGGGAGAACCTTCCAGAAGGACAACCATCTCTGCAGCACTCCACCAATCAGGCCTTTATGGTAGAGTGGCCAGATGGAAGCCACTCCTCAGTGAAAGACACATGACAGCCCGCTTGGAGTTTGCCAAAGGACTCAGACCATGAGAAACAAGATTCTCCGGTCTGATGAAACCAAGATTGAACTCTTTGGCCTGAATGCCAAGTGTCACATCTGGAGGAAACCTGGCACCATCCCTACGGTGAAGCATTTTGGTGGCAGCTACGTGCCGTGGAGATGTTTTCCAGCAACAGGGACTGGGAGTCTAGTCAGAATCGAGGGGAAGATGAACGGAGCAAAGTACATTGAGATCCTTGATGAAAACCAGCTCCAGAGGGCTCAGGACCTCAGACTGGGGCGAAGGTGTGCCTTCCAACAGGACAACGACCCTAAGCACACAACAAGACAACACAGGAGTGGCTTCTGGACAAGTCTCTGAATGTCCTTGAGTGGCCCAGTCAGAGCCCGGACTTGAACCCGATCGAACATCTCTGGAGAGACCTGAACATAGCTGTGCAGCGACGCTCCCCAGCCAACCTGACAGAGCTTGAGAGGATCTGCAGAGAAGAATGGGAGAAACTCCCCAAATACAGGTGTGCCAAGCATGTAGCGTCATACCCAAGAATACTTGAGGCTGTAATCACTGCCAAAGGTGCTTCAACAAAGTAGTGAGTAAAGAGTCTGAATACCAATGTAAATGTGATATTTCAGTTAATTTTTTTATACATTTGCAAAGAAATCTAAAAACCTGTTTTGCTTTGTCATTATGGGGTATTGTGTGTAGATTGAGGGGGGGGGGGGGGGGGGTATTTAATCCATTTTAGAATAAGGCTGTAACTTGACAAAGTGGAAAAAGTCAAGTGGTCTGAATACTTTACGAATGTGCTGTATATAAGACGTCTAGATGCTTTGAGATGAGATTGTTTTATAATTGCACTCTTCCATGAATTAATGGATATGTTGCATTATAAATTAGTTGTTCATAGCGTACCTCCTAGAGGACAGAAGTATTAACACTCCTGTCTCTACAGCTCTGCTAGGAGGTGCTGGTGTAGGTCTGGGTAGTTCCTTGGGCTCGGTGCCCGGAGGCCAGCCCAGCGCCCCCAACCTCAACCCCCCCAGCCAGATCGACCCCAGCTCAATTGAGAGGGCCTACGCCGCCCTGGGCCTCACTTACCAGGGCACCCAGATCCAGAACCAGCCCAACCAGGCTTCTCTGCCCTCACAGGGTCTGCAGGGCCAGCCGGGCATGAGGCCGCTCAACCCTATGGGTAAGCTGTTGGTTAGCTAAAAAATTGTCAGGTCTACTGTATGTTTTTACCCCCATTTCTAAGCCTTCAAACATCTGGCCTTTTCTTTTTATTTTTGTCTCAATGCCAGGTAAGCAGGTAGCTAGTGGCCGGGTTCTACACATTTCAATATTCGGGTGTCCTGTCTCCTTAAAAAGAAAATGCCAGCGTTTTACCTCAGAATATACAGAGAAAAGAGTCCCGTTTTGTGAATCCTGTTATTATTCTGTAGGATTCTAACTGGTTTAAATAATTGATGTACTACACCAGCAGTGTGCATGTTCCTCTTGGGTTTTGAAGCTGTAACCAGTCTCTCCATAATAGTAAGGTTACACTGCTGCTTTCCCTGACTGAAACCTCCCCCTTTTGTCCACTTTAATGGGAATTACTCCAACACACACACACACACAAATGTTTACCTCTGCACGTTTTATTTGTCAACATTTTGGTGAAGTCGACCTTCTTTCAAGTCATTGGGCTCCTGAGTGGCGCAGCAGTCTAAGGCACTGCATCTCAGTGCTTGAGGCGTCACTACAGACCCCCTGGTTCGATTACAGGCTGTATCACAACCGGCCGTGATTGGGAGTCCCATAGGGCGGCGCACAATTGGCTCAGCGTCGTCCGGGTTTGGCCGGTGTAGGCCGTCATTGTAAATAAGAATTTGTTCTTAACTGACTTGCCTAGTTAAATAAAGGTAAATTTGAAAATAAAATGTGTGGTGGGAGTAATTTCAATCATTGACTTCTAACTACTGTTTTTAATTTTTTATTATCAGAACCACAAACAAAAGGTAATGTTAAATATTATTTGGGGAGAACCCTGGTGTGTGATAATGTTTCTTTCAACCTGTCAGGGGGTAACCCAATGGGGGTGAATGGAGGAGTGGGTGTTTCACCCCAGAACCAGCAGACCAGCCTGCTGCAGGACACCATGCTACACCTCAACATGAACTCCCAGGGGTGAGTAGCAGACCTGCCAGCAAATTATTTGCTTTCTTTTAAATACTTCTACCTGCACTTGATTGAGCATGCCTGGTGCAATGGAACCAATAGAATTGTCCCAGAACTGCAAATCCCATCTGACACTTCGGGCAGGTGCAAACTTTGTGTTCTCTCTGTGTGTTCTAGTCTGATGAACGATGCGGGCGGGACGGGTAACATGGGCTCCATGCCCACGGCGACACCACCCTCTGCAGCGGGTATGAGGAAGAGCTGGCATGAGGACATCACCCAGGACCTGAGGAACCACTTGGTGCACAAACTGTAAGTGACCATGAGCCGGGAGGGAGGGACAATACAGCCTAAAAACACCACGTCTTATACACTGACATACTGGACACCCCCGCAGCAGTCATGGGGGCCCATGTGCCTGTCATCGATGTCCATTAAAAAAAAATACTTTTAATACATCATTTTTGACAGTAACCCTCAAAGTCATTCATTAATGTTTTTAATTTCCATATGTACTAGGAAGCTAAGTGTTTGTTTCTTGGGCTTCAGGAATGTGACTGAAAAAGTGCCTCAGACCTTGAAAAAGAAATGAAACTGATTTGAAAGTATAAGGGCATATCGGTGAACAAATGCCGTTGTCAAGGCTACTACGGTGCCAGTCCAGTGAGTGGAGCTTACCCAGGTGTTCAAAAGCACATATCAGAGCGAGAGCCTAATGCTTCTTAGGTAAATCACATTTTATTGGTCACATACACATATTTAGCAGATGTTATTGCGGGTGTAGCGAAATGCTTGCGTTCCTAGCTCCAACAGTGCAGTAGTAACCAACAATTCACAATACACACAAATCTAAAAGTAAAAGAATGGAATTAAGAAATATATAAATATTAAGACGAGCAATGTCGGAGTGGCATTGACTAAAATACAGTAGAATAGAATACAGTTTATATACATATGAAATGAGGAAAGCAGTATGTAAACATTTATTAAAGTGACCAGTGATTCCATGTCTATGTATATAGGGCAGCGGCCTCTAAGGTGCAGTGTTGAGTAACCGGGTGGTATCTGGCTAGTGATGGCTATTTAACAGTCTGATGGCCTTGAGATGTAAGCTGTTTTTCAGTCTCTCAGTCCCAGCTTTGATGCACCTGTACTGACTTCGCCTTCTGGATGTTAGCGGGGTGAACAGGCTGTGGCTCGGGTGGTTGATGTCCTTGATCTTTTTGGCCTTCCTGTGACATCAGGTGCTGTAGTTGTCCTGGAGGGCGGGTAGTTTGTCCCCGGTGATGCGTTGGGCAGACCACAACATCCTCTGGAGAGCCCTGTGGTTGAGGTGCAGTTGCCGTACCAGGCGATGATACAGTCCAACAGGATGCTCTCAATTGTGCATCTGTAAAAGTTTGTGACGGTTTTAGGTGCCAAGCCAAATTTCTTCAGCCTCCTGAGGTTGAAGAGGCACTGTTGTGCCTTCTTCACCACACTGTCTGTGTGGGTGGACCATTTCAGATTGTCAGTGATGTGTACGCCGAGGAACTTTAAGCTTTTTCACCTTCTCCACTGTGGTCCCATCCATGTGGATAGAGGCGTGCTCCCTCTGCTGTTTCCTGAAGTCCACGATCAGCTCCTTCGTTTTGTTGGAGAGGTTATTTTCCTGCCACCACTCCGCCAGGGCCCTCACCACCTCCCTGTAGGCTGTCTCATCATTGTTGGTGATCAGGCCTGCTACTGTTGTCATCTGCAAGCTTGATGATTGAGTTGGAGGCGTGCGTAGCCACGCAGTCATGGGTGAACAGGGAGTACAGGAGGGGGCTGAGCTCGCACCCTTGTGGGGCCACTGTGTTGAGGATCAGCTAAGTGGTGTTGTTTCCTACCTTCACCACCTGGTGGCGGCCTGTCAGGAAGTCCAGGACCCAGTTGCACAGGGCGGGGTTCAGACCCAGGGCCCCAAGCTTAATGATGAGCTTGGAGGGTACTATGGTGTTGAAGGCTGAGGACCTTGAATTAACAGCATTATTATATAGGTATACCTCTTGTCCCAGATGTGATAGGGCAGTGCGATGGCGATTGCATTGTCTGTGGATCTATTGGGGTGGTATGCAAATTGCAGTGGGTCTAGGGTGTCAGGTAAGGTGGAGGTGATATGATCCTTGACTAGTCTCTCAAAGCACTTCATGATGACAAGTGAGTGCTACGGGGCGATAGTAATTTAGTTCAGTTACCTTTGCTTTCTTGGGTACAGGAACAATGGTGGACATCTTGAAGTAAGTGGGGACAGCAGACTGGGATAGGGAGAGATTGAATATGTCTGTGAACACTCCAGCCAGCTGGTCTGCGCATGCTCTGAGGACGCGGCTAGGGATGCCGTCTGGGCCGGCAGCTTTGTGAGGTATAACACGCTTAAATGTCTTACTCATGTCGGCCACGGTGATCGAGAGCCCACAGTCCTTGGGACCGGCCGCGTCGGTGGCACTGTGTTATCCTCAAAGCGGGTGAAGAAGGTGTTTAGCCTGTCAGGGGGCAAGACCTCGGTGTCCGCGACGTGGCTGGCTTTCCCTTTGTAATCCGTGATTGTCTGTAGATCCTGCAACATGCGTCTTGTGTCTGAGCCGTTGAATTGTGTCTCCACTTTGTCTCTGTACTGACGTTTTGCCTGTTTGATTGCCTTACGGAGGAAATAACCACTGTTTGTATTCAACGATATTCTGAGTCACCTTGCCGTGGTTCATGCTTTCAGTTTTGCGCTAATGCAGCCATCTATCCATGGTTTTTGGTTTGGGTAAGTTTTAATAGTCTTATTATTATTACAGTGGGAACAACATCCTCTATACACTTCCTGATTAATTGAGTCACCGTATTCGTCGATGTTATTCTCAGAGGCTACCCAGAACATATCCCAGTCTGCATGATCAAAAAAATATTCACGCATGGATTCTGATTGGTCAGACCAGCGTTGAATAGACCTTAGCAGGGATACTTCCTGTTTTGAGTTTCTGCCTGTAGGAAGGGAGGAGAAAAATGGAGTCGTGATCTGATTTGCCGAAGGGAGGGCGGGGAGGACCTTGTAGGCATTTCGAAAGGGGGAGTAGCAGTGGTCGAATGTTTTACCAGTGTTGATAGAACTGTAGCGTTTTCCTCAAATTGGCTTTGTTAAAATCCCCAGCTACAATAAATGCGGCCTCATGTGTTTTCCAGTTTGCATGAAGTCAAGTGTAGTTCATTGAGGACCGTTGTGGTATCTGCTTGAGGGGGTATATACACGGCTGTGATTAACCGAAGAGCGTTCTCTTGGGAGGTAATACGGTCGGCATTTGAGGTATTCTAGGTCGGGTGAACAAAAGGACTTGAATTTCTGTATGTTATCACAATCACACCATGAGTAGTTAATCATGAAACATACGCCACCGCCTTTCTTCTTCCCGAAGAGTTCTTTATTCCTGTCTGCGCGATGTACTGAGAACCCAGCTGGCTGTATGGACGGGGACAGTATATCCCGAGAGAGCCATGATTTAGTGAAACAGTATGTTACAGGCCCTCATGTCTCTCTGGAAGGAGATCCTCGCCCTGAGCTCGTCTACTTTATTATCCAGAGACTGAACATTAGCGAGTAATATACTCGGAAGTGGTGGATGGTGTGCACGCCTCCTGAGTCGAACCAGCAGGCCACTCTGAATACCTCTTCTCCACCGGCGCCATCTTAGAGCAGCCTCTGGGATAAGTTAAATTGCCCTGGGGAACAAAGGATCCAATTTCGGGAAAGTCGTATTCCTGGTCGTAATGCTGGTGAGTTACCGCCTCTCTGATATCCAAAAGTTATTTCCGGCTGTATGTAATAACACAAAAAAACGTTCTGGGCTAATAATGTAAGAAATAACACACAAAAAAACAAAATGTTGCTTAGGAGCTAGAAGCAGAGCGTCCATGTCTGTCAGCTACCTCAAATAATGAGGTAGCCTCGTGGCAGAAGGGACCGTTACAGGGATGGTAAAAACGTCTTGATTGCCATAGCAACATCAGGGAAACTGGGCAGAAGGGATTGGTGTTTCAAATACAGCATTTCTGCAACATCATTAATTGAGCCTCTCATTCTCCTTAATTGTCGGCCTCAACACGTTACAGAAAGAGATTAACTGTATAGGAAGCTCTGGGGACAGGTAGTCTGGATGCAAACAGATTGAGGGCTTGAACCAAAAAAGTGCTTTGCGATTTCGTTCATACTGGTGAACCGGCGTTTGAGTTGTGCGGTTGCAATATCAACAGTCCCTTATCTCTGGTATACAGTGCATTTGGAAAGTATTCAGACCCCTTGACTTACACATTTTGTTACGTTACAGCCTTATTCTAAATTGGATTAAATTAAACATTTCCCTCATCAATCTACACACAATACCCCATAATGACAAAGCAATAACAGGTTTTTAGAAATGTTGGCAGATTTATAAAAAATAAAAACATAAATACCTTATTTACATAAGTATTCAGACCCTTTGCTATGAGTCTCAAAGTTGAGCTCAGGTGCATCCTGTTTCCATTGAGCATCTTTGATGTTTCTACAACTTGATTGGAGTCCACCTGTGGTAAATTCAATTGATTGGACAGGATTTGGGAAGTTACACACCTGTCTATATAAGGTCCCACAGTTGACAGTGCATGTCAAAGCAAAAACCAAGCCAAGAAGGGTACCAAAAAATGTCTGCAGCATTGAAGGTCCCCAAGAACACAGTGGCCTCCATCATTCTTAAAGGGAAGAAGTTTAGAACCACCAAGACTCTTCCTAGAGCTGGCAGCCTGGCCAAACTGAGCAATCGAGGGAGAAGGGCCTTGGTCAGGGAGGTGACCAAGAACCCGATGGTCACTCTGACAGAGCTCCAGAGTTCCTCTGTGGAGATGGGAGAACCTTCCAGAAGGACAACCATCTCTGCAGCACTCCACCAATCAGGCCTTTATGGTAGAGATGCCAGATGGAAGCCACTCCTCAGTAAAAGGCACATGACAGCCCGCTTGGAGTTTGCCAAAAGGCACCTAAAGGACTCTCAGACCATGAGAAACAAGATTCTCTGGTCTGATGAAACCAAGATTGAACTCTTTGGCCTGAATGCCAAGCGTCACGTCTGGAGGAAACCTGGCACCATCCCTACGGTGAAGCATGGTGGTGGCAGCATGCTGGGGGAGGTTTTTCAGCGGCAGGGATTGGGAGACTAGTCAGGATCGAGGGGAAGATGAACGGAGCAAAGTACAGAGATCCTTGATGAAAACCTGCTCACGACCTCAGACTGGGGCAAAGGTTCACCTTCCAACAGGACAACGACCCTAAGCACACAACAAGACAACGCAGGAGTGGCTTCGGGACAAGTCTCTGAATGTCCTTGAGTGGCCCAGCCAGAGCCCGGACTTGAACCCGGTCGAACATCTCTGGAGACACCTGAAAATAGCTGTGCAGCGACGCTCCCCATCCAACCTGACAGAGCTTGAGAGGATCTGCAGAGAAGAATGGGAGAAACTCCCAAAATACAGGTGTGCCGAGCTTGTAGCGTCATACCCAAGAAGACTTGAGGCTGTAATCGCAGTGAAAGGTGCTTCAACAAAGTAGTGAGTAAAGAATCTGAATACTTATGTAAAAGTGATTGTTTGTTTTTTATTTAATACATTTGCTAACATTTCTAAAAAACTGTTTTTGCTCTGTCATTATGGGGTATTGAGGAATATTAGTTTCTAAAATCCATTTTAGAATAAGGCTGTAACGTAATAAAGTGAAGGGGTCTGAATACTTTCCGAGTGCATTGTCTTGGCATGCATCATTCAAGACCAGGTTGACCTACAGGCTGTGGTGAAAACTGTCCAAAAAAGGAGTACTTCAGGAGACCATGCAGCCCAGTTGTTTAGGCTATTAGCCAGACAACCCGCTGAGTTCAACATATCTAGCGGCTGAATTTATCCTCAAGCAGACTACTTTGTTCCTAATTGATAGGCTGTTTGATGTATAATTTTTATAAGGTTTATAAATAGCAGCTAAATACAGTATATAGCTATAGATGGTACACTCACTGCAGAATGAAACTAGCAAGCTAGTGTTTTGAGGGTTGACCGACTGTATTATTTGCCAGGAATAGACTGGTTTTACAGACTTTCTATCTAAGCTGGGAGAGAGCTTGCCTGGAAACCTGACATTGAATTGCATTGAATTCTACATTGGGCAGAAATTAGCATTTTTTGAATCGAAAAGTTTCCCCTCTCGACCTCTACAAGCAAGAATGTTGAGTAAAATTATATTTTAACATACTTTACTGGTTGTCTGTGCGGTTGGTTCTTTTGCCGCTAGGAATGTGTGCTGGTGGTGTTGCGTTTTCTGTCACCTGATGCCTGCGCAGAACCATGTAACACGTGCACGAGCTCTGCAAGGATGCGTGCATCTTGTGATGGTATTTTTTATCTTGTGCGCATGCTTCAGGTGATAGAAATCTGAACGCACTAGCCGCTCTTTGAAAACTTTAATTGTACTTTCCTGTGGATATATTGTCACATTCCTACCGCCGAAAGGACAAACTGCACGGACAACCGGTAAAGTACAGGGGGTTCCAGGGAAACTGCGTTACGCCAGTGGTCTAATTTTATTGATTTAAAAAATATACTTTTCGGCTACATTTTCAGTGTACATTTTAAATGACTAAAACCAGATATAAAGGAGCTATACATTTTCAAATAAGATCATCTTTGAGAACTAACAATCACCGGAAAATAAAAACTAGACTGTCAGGGAGTATATAAAATTCATAAAATGTCATAGCATGGGGACCCCATTGATTTTGTTGTAATATTTGAGTCACTCATAGCATAAGAACACTGCATAAGCCATGGCAAAATGTGTAGAATTGCAAGAAATTAGCTTTAATAGGGAAACACTGTCTCAGCGGCCAAGAGGGCCTCTACATTCTTTGGTCGGAAGTTCATGCCATTGGCCACGCCCAACGCTAACTTTGCCACCTCTGCTGAAAAGAATTCTACGGGAAATACTGGCGCTTGTAAGCCTGAATTCAGGGGGAAATAGAGACATCCTGTTACCCTCTACGGGATCGGTGTCCCGTATACGGGACGGTTGAGCTAACGTGCGCTAATGTGATTAGCATGACTGTTGTAAGTAACAGCAAACTTTCCAGGACATAGACTTGTCTTATATGGGCAGAAAGCTTAAATTCTTGTTTATCAAACTGCACTGTCCAATTTATAGTAGCTATTACAGTGAAAAAATACCATGCTATTGTTTTGAGAGTGCACAACAACAAAAAAACGTATCACGGCAACTGGTTTGATACATTCACCTCTGAAGGTAATGTACTTGCATTCCGTAATCTTGCTCTGATTTGTCATCCTGAGGGTCCCAGAGATAAAATGTAGCATAGTTTTGTTTGATAAAATCATTTTTTATATTCAAATGTAGGAGCTGGGTTCTACAGTTTGAACCCCTGCTGTCTCTGGCTCCATACCCACCCCGCCCGGCCATCTAGATGTGTGAAAGTTAGTGTATAAGCTAATGATCCATCGTGTATGACATTCCTGGGAGTGTGTAAACTTACATTTTGTATTACCATATAATTTTTGCATGTTATGTACTTGAAAAAGTATCAATTGACTAAATCGGCACATTTGGGCAGACTTGATACAAAATAGTCCAGCATTGCAATGCTTCACTGGATCAATCTGAAACTTTGCACACAGATTGCTGCCATCTAGTAGCCAAAATCTAAATTGCGCCTGAACTTCAATGTTATATTGTGGCCTTTCTCTTGCATTTCAAAGATGATGGAACAAAAAAATTAGAAAACACATGTTTTTTTGTTTGTATTATCTTTGACCATATCTAATGTGTTATATTCTCCTACATAAATTTCACATTTCCACAAACTTCAAAGTGTTTCCTTTCAAATGGTATCAATAATATGCATATCCTTGCTTCAGGTCTTGAGCTACAGGCAGTTAGATTTGGGTATGTCATTTTAGGCGAAAATTGAAAAAAAGGGTCCGATCCTTAAGAGGTTAAACTTGGTTTGTTGATTTTAGGAGTTTCTTCCTTTCAATTTGGTTCAATTAGTTGTATACAAGCCAAAAGGTTGCTTCTGTTTTAATGCAGCTAATGCTATTTCATGTCAGAGATGTGTATGCTGTAAGAACATGGAAAATGTAGTTGCTAGACAAATAGTCAATACACTGAACAAAAATATAAACGCAACATGTAAAGCGTTGGTACCATGTTTCATGAGCTGAAATAAAAGATCCCAGACATTTTCCGCACGCACAAAAAGCATATTTCTTCAATATTTTTTTTTACATCCCTGTTCGTGAGCATTTCCCCTTTGCCAAGATAATCCATCCACCTGACAAGAAGCTGATTAAACAGCATGATCATTACACAGGTGCACCTTGTGCTGGGGACAATAAAAGGACACTCTAAAATGTGCAGTTTTGTCACACAACACAATGCCACAGTCAAGTTTTGAGGGAGCCTGGCAATTGGCATGAACAGGCCACACCGTTTCATAGTAAACTCACATCCTCTGAGATTTCATGCAGCGTAGAACTATAGAATAACACACTGACCACATTCACCACTGTCAAGCAGCTCAGACACCGCTAGCTAGCTGTGATTCAGTCCGCTTGCGACACACTTCACTGCTGCATCTCCTCTAACTTTCTTGTTAAAGGATTATCTCAATGGAACAAAATCAAAGTTAACAAAACAGGTTTGTGTTCACTGAAATTTGCTTTACATCGTATTCTCGTTCACATATCCCCCCCCCAGTTTCCCTAATGTCTCTTGTTTCTTTGTGTGTAGTGTGCAAGCCATCTTCCCGACCCCCGACCCTGCTGCTCTGAAGGACAGGCGGATGGAGAACCTGGTGGCGTACGCTAGGAAGGTGGAGGGGGACATGTATGAGTCTGCCAACAGTAGGGTAAGCCGCTACATTGAGTGAAGATGCTCTTTTATTGAATTTCTGTTGAGATGGGGACAAATGTAAGACAGTACAACTGTCTGGAATATAACTAAACTTGTCTCTTTTGTGTATTTTTCTATTCCTATGTTCTAATTTCCCCCTCTCTCCCTTACATAATTTCCCTTCTTCCATCATCCTCTCCGTAATCTTCATTCACCTCACTGTCTCCTTCACGTTTTCTAAATTTCTCGTTCCCCCTCTCCTCCTCCCAGGCGGAGTACTACCACCTGTTGGCTGAGAAGATCTATAAGATCCAAAAGGAGTTGGAGGAGAAGAGGCGGACGCGGCTCCAAAAGCAGGGTATGTTGATGCCTACTCAGCCTGGGCCTGGCATGCCCCCTGGCATGTCTCCTAGAGGCTTTGGGTCTCTGGGCATGGTTCTGGGCCAGATACAGCCACTTCCACCCACAGGACTGCCACCTACTGAGTGGACAGGACACACATGTAATATTACAGAACAGTTTTGGGACAAAAAAGACTGTAAATCACCTAGAATTCAGCTAAAATAGTTTAATTCAGGAAATCTGTTCCCAAGTATTTCTACAAATAAAAAGAGACGTGACCGTGTCTCAATGTAATCAAGGTGTGAAATTGTTATTTTCAAATACACTCTCTTTTTGGACGTACTTGTGGTCAATTTGCTGGGTACAAATTTGTATAATTATGTCCCCCTGACCAACCGCTCGAACCAAAATCGGCCCGCTGCTGAATCTAGTTGCCTACCCCTGTTTTATAGTGCGATAATGGCAAGACATCCTATCTCTCTCCTTCATCTTCTTGTCTCTCCACTCCTACAGATGGTCCCCTCCCTGACCCCTCTCTGGTGCGGCCCGGTGGACCCAACCAGATGGTGACTAGGATGCAGAACCCGGCAGGTGAGTCCATGGGGACAGGAGAGGGGGGTCGCCACACAGAGGCGTAACATTATTGGGCTGATTTTAGTAGTTTTAAGATGGCACTACTGTATGGTTGCTTACTTGTGAGCTCCGAAACAACTTTGCTATTTTGTGATTCTTTTGGCGTTTTATCTTTACTTCTTTATGAAATGTATCCGCTATCATTTCTTATGATTGACAATAACTTTTGGACATCAGATCGTCAGTTACTAACTTCAATTCCGACATCGACTCATCTGTCCTGGGTTCTTTGTGTCCCTCCGACCCAGTCTTTGGGCTACCCAAGAGGAAACGCAGGTGAAAAAGAGGCAGGAAAGCGGTGTCCTGGTGAGGCAAAGGGAAAACCGGCCACCACTTCCCTCCATTCTATTGGCCAATAGTCACTTGATAATAAGATGGATGACTTTCGATCGCGGATTTGCTATCAACAGGACTCTTGTAACTGCAATACTCTGTTTTTCTGAAACATGGCTTTCGGACAAGATGCCCCCCATGGCTATCCAACTTGATGGATTCTCCGTTCACCGAGCGGACACTACATTTAATTAAAGGAAATCCAGAGGGGGAGGGGAATGTCTATCAACAACAAATGGTGTTCAGACTCTAGCGCAGTGGAAGTCTCAACCTATTGTTCACCTGTCTTGGAATACCTCATGGTCAAATGTTGACCCTTCTACTACCCAAGAGTTTTCATCCGTTATCGTGACTACTGTATATGGGTATTTCTATAAATAAAGGGGCCAATGTGTGACATCGGGGCCAAAATTTCAAAATGGGTTGATTATATGATTTTCTTGCAGCTTCACATGTGTAGTTACAGGAAGAAGAGTCTAGATGGGCACAATGAGACCGTAACTCCTAGCAACAACAAAACATCTGTCATTCAAAATGTTTTTGTTATGCATAGTAGCCAGGTCTGTTTGTGCTTTAGTCAATTTCTCTATCATTTATAGCCATGCTAAACCTTCCAGAAGAATTAAAAATAAACTGCATTTCTATATATTTATAGTTCATAACATTTCTTACAATAATATAATACAATGGGTTCTGTCAACATCATTGACAATAATGAAATCATTATAATCAGTGAACTCTTCAAGCTGTGTGTGTGTGTGACTAGACATCACATTCTTGCTTCCTCTGTTCTTGTTTCCTCCACTCCTTGCTTCTTGAAAGTGTGTTGGAGCACAAGGGGAGGAACCTTCCTGCCTCTCCCCCAATGTGCTATGAGAGGGAGGTGAGGAAACAAGGGGAGAATCTCAATTGTGCCCCCTTCATTCCTCACGTCCTCTCGCCTCCTTCTAAAAAAATAAAATAAAAAACCCATTCGAAAAGGTGAGGGGAGGGATCTCTGACCTTCTCATCCAATGGGTTTTGAGAAGGAGAGGAGGATGCAACGAATCAAGGAAATTCAATTGAGATTCTCCCAAGCAAGTATTTGACAGCTAATTTTTGAGGGCCTGACTAGGGATGGGCATTTAACCTTTTTTTGATTGAGTACTCTCATGAGGGGGGAAATAAGCTATTTTTAGAACAAAGGCGACACTGGAAAAAAACGGCGTATTTATCTAAATGCCAACAGTGAGCAACAATACCTAATTTATCAACCATTACAGATAACAAATCCTAATTGCTAAATTGCCTCATAATATATTAAGTCAAATGTATTGAAACTGTTATCAACTGGGTTATTATATCGTCGAACACAATCTTCAAAAAAGTAGTAACTTCCGCAGTGTTGCACTCGCTTGAGGAAGCCTACGGCAGTGCAATGGCATAGCCCTGTTTTGTTAATTTAGCAGACAAGACAGTCTTATTTCCTGACCCTTATCACAGTCAAGACACCTATTTTATAGAAGGGGAAAAAACCATGATGTAATATAATGAATAAAATAGAACAGAATTGTGCGAAGTGATTTGCATATCTCATCTGGAACAGTTATTCTGTGATCATTTGAAACGGCTCAATTTGGCAAGTTGAAATACTTTTTTAGGGTTACAAACCAAAATTGTTATTTTTGATATACAGCCATTTGATTTAGTTTATTATGCCTGTTCCTTGGGATTTTCTAAATGGATTAACAATTCTACATTGAACACTGCATGGGGATGAATTATGGCCAGGACATCTGTATGGTGAGTCGGCCTAGGCTTAATGATTCTGATGAAAATACGCTCTGTCTTTATCAAACTAATGTTTTTGCATATTTTCAGAGTGGGACCTGTCTGTTTAAGGGAGTAATAGCCTAGGCTAACCCATTCTAAATGCCACTAGAAGTTCGCAAAGTAGGGTCGTCACTAACGTTAGTTACCACAGCCACAAAGTCATAAACCCTGCCTGTTTCAAAAATTTCGCTTCTTAAAATCTGATTTTAAAACTAACCAGAACCACACTGTTAACCTTATGCCTAACCTTTAAATTAAGACCAAAAAGCAATAAAAAATGCATGAATTTTGACTGGCAAGTAGTGATAACTGCGAAGTAGCCTAAGCGGAGAATGTTGCAATTATTCCGAAACTGCAGCTCGTTGTTGGAACACCCACATTTCTCAACTTCAGTCAACCAGTCCATTTAGAATTTGTGATAAAACTGTCGTCATTTGGCAAGGAATGTAGCCTATGTATCCCATCAGTTAGATACGTTTTTATAGGCATTTATTTCTGTAGGCGCTGTAGGCGCATACTACTGTAGAGGGAGCGGTCGGAAACTCGAGTGAGTGAGATAGGGAATTTGGGGAGCTTAAGTGTGTGTGTGTGATGCTTGGCTTACTTATTTTTTTGTGTCCCGCAAATGAACATAGTCTTCAAGGCAATTTCTACCAAATAGTTATACAGTATTTGAAAATAATGTTATCTCTGGTTAAAGATCGAGTTTAGACAACCATTCGAGTACTCGATTACTCAATCCCATTCCTATGACCGACTGAGCAACCATAATACCCATGGCCTGTCAAGAAGCGACCCCTAGTCCCTACTACCCAGAGTCTAGACACTTGAGATCTGAGAGGGATTGATGGGTGGTAACATAGTGAGAGCTCCATGTTACCCTCTGATAGGCTTGGTGGAATTTTGGCGGTATTGCTTACACCTGTCCAATTCTCTCAGATCTCCACGAGTGTCTAGGGTTAGGGGCTGTTTCTGGACAGGACCCCACAACCCTATCTATCTAGCAATGAAATTAAATATATACACACTCTCTCACACACACACACAAACACACACACACACACACACACAGGCGTAAGCTGGACACACTCACTGCACCCTATCAGGCTGATCAAACGGTTCTGGGTAGCTGGAGACCTGTTGTAAACAAAGGACCTATTTACATGTCTGCTATACACACCTTTGCTTCATTCCAGCTAGTTAGATGTGCAACCACTGACTAACTATAGCTAGGGCATGTCTCTAGTCTAGCAATAGATGCTGTATAGCATCATTTAATAAGATTAACAATGGTTAGCTAGGATATATCAGTCAGTAACAACATAACAGTAGTTCATTAAGTCAATACACACTAAATCTTATGCAGAAAACGTACCTTATCGTGGCACGGTATAGGCAGCTATTTTTTAAAAACATGCCGGTTTTCACGTTCTCAATTGCTCTGTTATAAAATGTACACACCGTAATCTTACCTCACAAATTTTGATTTGTTGTCCACAAAGTAGGCTAATTATCTTGACCGCCGTAACAACATAGATGTCAATCCTCGAGATCAACATTAATTGCCGCACTTTGGCTGATAAATCGCATGCAGTATCACACAAGGTCTTTATCACTTGACTGTCATTCAGAAAATCCTTTCCTGAATCCGCTTATGTTGCGCGATAATGTCCCCACGTAACTAAACAGCTAGACCTCAAACGCGTATCAAACCACTATTATGCGTAATTATTGAAGAACCCCGTAAATGGTGGTATCTATTTTGTTGTATTAATCATTAAATGTACTTTCTGTTTGAAGCATTGGATTTTGCATTCACATACATTCTTTTGGATACGTGTGCCAATGAAAACTGTTTTCACACCGTAACATGGGGAGATAAGAAATGTTACGAGGTATCCATATAAAAAGAGTTCGACAGAAATATCAAGGTCGATGTGTAATTCAATTGTTAAATGCTTAGTATATGATATATCAAACAGCAGTATCATAAATGTAAGGAAAGAAAGTTAGTGTTTTGTCAGATGATTTATGCTAAATCTGTGAAGACTCCAAGCATGAGAAAGGGTTTAAACAGAGGTTTTGATTCAACTCATGAATTACATTGAATGTATGTATGTTCCCGCTTTATCTTATTGTATTCACATGGGGGGGAAATTTTTAATTATTATTAATGACTTTGTAACCGCTCCAAACAGTTGTCCACTACAAGAAATGCTCATTGGTACCCTAGTTTATAGACAGACTCATATTCCACCTCAGGACAACAACAAGTTGGCACTTAACAAACTGTATGAGGCTATAAACAAGCAAAGAAACCATGCACCCAGAGGCCGCTTTTCTTGTTGCCATTGATTTTGATTTCGCATCACTAAAGCCTTGTTAACATTGACCGTTTTGAAGTGACTAAAATGTCCGATTTTAGAATCCGTTCTTTTTCCTGCAGTCTGAACAGTCATAAAGCACATGGAATCTGATAGTGGTTTGAAGTCCGATACAAATCTGTTCCCTAGCCATGTGACTTGTGTGAATGGTCAAATCCGATTTATTTGCCATCAAGTGGTTTTTAGACTTATTTGGCATTTCTTCTTTCTTGCTAGGTACCCTGACAGTTTAACAAGAACCTGTGGTAGCTAACTAGCTTGTTAATTGTTTACAAACAAATTAGTGAATGTGCTAAACAGCTACCTAGCTAGCTAGTGGACTGCTGTGGCTAGCCAAAAATGACTTGTTTTGAAAGTTGGATAATCTTATCCTTTTGAGGCTTTAAGTGTTCTTTCTGATGCTATGACTTGGAACATTCAAAGCAACTGGGAAATGTCCATGGCAGGCATTGTCACCTTGGCTTGCTACATAACTTCTGAGTGATAGGAAGCACGAGCACCACCACCAATCGGCCTACACCACTGCACACACACCCGTCGTTACTATGACAACTAGTGTAGCCATGTTAACAAATGACTGCTGTCTGAACACCATCCGATTTGGTCACTTGTAACTTTCTCTTTTGGATTGTCAGTATTCCAAAACGGATTTGAAAAACAAAAGGTTGGACAGTGTGAACAAGGCTTTAGACATGTGATTCCCAACTTCTATCATCACTTCTCCTTCGCCACTAGGGGCGATTTAAGTCCTAGACCACTATTACTCAACCCACAAGCTAGCATACAAGGCCCTCCCTCGTCCCCTCTTCGGCAAATCAGTTCAAGACTCTATACTCCTGCTTCCTGTTTACAAACTGAACCTTAAACAGGAAGTACCCATGACGTGCTCTGTAGAGAAATGCTCCAGGACTGCTTTGCTAGCGCTGACTGGAATATGTTCCGGGACTCCGCCGATAGCATCGACGAGCTAATCACCTCAGTTACCGGCTTCATCAGGAAATGCATCGCCGACTTTGTCTCCACGGTGAAGGTTTGCTGCTTCCCCAATCAAAAGTACATACACATAGACATGCATAATTTAGACCAGGATTCATCAACTAGACCAGGGATCATCAACTAGATTCAGCTGCGGGCCAATTTCTTGAGCGGATGGTCAGGGGGCTGGAACATAATTACAAATAATTTGTAGACTGCACATTGACCGCAAGAAGCCCAAACAGATATATTTGACTAAAACATAATAATTTCGAACCTTGCTTACATTTCTATATGATCACATCTCTATGTGTGGGAATACTTCAACAGAGTTCCAAAATTAAAATCACTTGGAGCTGATTTCCTGGTGTTTTTACAATCTTATGTCCAGCAATAAAAACGAAATAAAAAAACATTTGCTCAACTTGGGGGCCCAAATAAAAACGTTGGGCCGCCAGTTGGGGAACCCTGATTCACACAAGTCAGCTCAGACCGATCCAGCTCATGAGCTCAATCATCAGCAGATTTGAATTTAGAATGAAAAATGAATGTGTTTATTCAACAAATGTGAGTGCATCGAATCATATCGCCCCTGGTTCACCCCAGACTTGACTGCCCTTGGCCAGCACAAAAACATCCTGTGGCGTACTGCATTAGCATCGAACAGCCCCCCCGATATGCAACTTTTCAGGGAAGTCCGGAACCAATATACACAATCAGTTAGGAAAGCAAAGGCTAGCTTTTTCAAACAGAAATTTGCATCCTGTAGCACTAACTCCAAAAAGTTTTGGGACACTGTAAAGTCCATGGAGAATAAGAGCACCTCATCCCAGCTACCCACTGCACTGAGGCTAGGAAACACTGTCACCACCGATAAATCTACGATCATCGAGAATTTCAATAAGCATTTTGCTATGGCTGGCCATGCTTTCCACCTGGCTACCCCGGCCACCAGCTCTGCACCCCCCCCCCCCCCCCCCCGCTTCTCCTTCACCCAAATTCAGATAGCTGATGTTCTGAAAGAGCTGCAAAATGTGGACCCCTACAAATCAGCTGGCCTAGACAATCTGGACCCTTTCTTTCTAAAATTAGCTGCCGAAATTGTCGCAACCCCTATTACTAGCCTGTTCAACCTCTCTTTCGTATCGTCTGAGATCCCCAGAGATTGAAAAGCTACCGTGGTCATCCCCCTCTTCAAAGGGGGTGACACTCTAGATCCAAACTGTTACAGACCTATATCCATCCTGCCCTGCCTTTTCGAAAGTATTTGAAAGCCAAGTCAACAAACAGATCACCGACCATTTCGAATCCCACCGTACCTTCTCCGCTATGCAGTCTGGTTTCCGAGCTGGTCATGGGTGCACCTCAGCCACGCTCAAGGTCCTAAACGATATTATAACCGCGATCGAGAAAAGACAGTACTGTGCAGCCGTCTTCATCGACCTTTGGTTTCTCAAATGACTGCCTCGCCTGGTTCACCAACTACTTCTCAGTTAGTTCAATGTGTCAAATCGGAGGGCCTATTGTCTGAACCTCTGGCAGTCTCTATGGGGGTGCCACAGGGTTCTATTCTCGGGCTGACTCTATTCTCTGTGTATATCAATGATGTGGCTCTTGCTGTTGGTGACTCTCAGATCCACCTCTACGCAGACGACACCATTTTGTATACATCTGGACCTTCATTGGACACTGTGTGTTAACAAACCTCCAAACGAGCTTCAATGCCATACAACACTCATTCCGTAGCCTCCAACTGCTCTTAAACGCTAGTAAAACTAAATGCATGCTCTTCAATCGAACGCTGCTTGCACCCGCCCGACTAGACTCACTACTCTCGGCGGGTCTGACTTAGAATATGTGGACAACTACAAATACCTAGGTGTCTGGTTAACTGTAAACTCTCCTTCCAGACTCACATTAAGCATCTCCAATCCAAAGTTAAACATAGAATCGGCTTCCTATTTCGCAACAAAGCCTCCTTCACTCATGCTGCCAAACATGCCCTCGTAAAACTGACTATCCTACCAATCCATGACTTCGGCGATGTTGTTTACAAAATAGCCTCCAACACTCTACTCAGCAAATTGGATGTAGTCTATCACAGTGCCATCCGTTTTGTCACCAAAGCCCCATATACTACCCACCATTGTGACCTGTACGCTCTCGTTGGCTGGTCCTCACTACATATTCGTCGTCAAACCCACTGGCTCCAGGTCATCTATAAATCACTGCTAGGCAAATCCCCGCCTTATCTTAGCTCATTGGTCACGATAGCAACACCCACCCGTAGTATGCGCTCCAACAGGTATATTTCACTGGTCATCTCCAAAGCCAACACCTCCTTTGGCCGCCATTCCTTCCAGTTCTCTGCTGCCAATGACTGGAACGAACTGCAAAAATCTCTGAAGCTGGAGACTCCTATCTCCCTCACTAACTTTAAGCATCAGTTGTCAGAGCAGCTTACCAATCACTGCACCTGTACACAGCCCATCTGTAATTAGCCCACCCAACTACCTCATCCCCATATTGTTATTTATTTTGCTCATTTGCACCCCAGTATCTCTATTTGCATATCATATTCTGCACATCTATCACTCCAGTGGTTAAATAAAGGTGAAATAAATAAAAGTTCTCTAATCAAACCGAATTGCACCGAATCGTTTCAAACTAAAACGTATCAGAGCCTATGTATCCTCAAAGGGAAAGATGCACATCCCTAATTGCTACACTAGCAGTGTTCTCTGTATGCTATGATCCTCATGGTTGTTTTCTTCAGGTATGAACCAGTTCAACCAGATGGGGATGCAGTCTATGGGCCAGAGGTCCACCCCTCCTCTCCCCCTCTCACCCATCAACCAGGTCAGTGCGCTCATCCAGGCTTTACATACATACACTTAATCGGCATAAGCTTTTCATTTGAAAATAAACCATTATACCCAAATACAGGAGTTTTAGTGTTCAATAGATCTTATAGACCTATTCCAATGCAAGAGGAACCATATGTCATAGCACTAATGTATACATTGATGCCACATATAGTGTAGTCCCTAGTATCCAAAGTGTCAAACGACTAAAATGAGCTCTATTCTAAACCAATGCCTGTTATGTGTCCCCTGTAGATGGGCATGGGGAACTCCAGGATGGGCCAGCCCAACGTGGGCCAGCTCCAGAACCAGTACCTTCCCCAGGGACAGTTCCCAGGCTCCGGACCAGGCCTCGGCACGGGGCAGCCTGGCATGGCACAGCCTGGTATGAACCAGCAAGGCATCCAGGGAGGCATGGCACAGGTGAGAGAGGTGGAAGTATATGGTCTGTTGCTATCCTCAAAGTCCTACGTCGATGGACAGATTGGGTACGCAAAAAGTATTGACTTCAATGCTGGCTGTTTTAATTAGGGTTGCAAAACTACTGGTCATTTACTAAAGTTTCCAGAGTTTTCAGTAATTTTGTTTTAATTTAACAGGCAATCTATGGTTTAAAAAAAATCACGGCCCAGTACAGTCCAACGTGATTTTCCTGTTTTTTATATTTATTTCCACACGGAGGTTGGAATAATACTGTGACATTGTGAAAATTATAATGCCCTTTTAGTGTAAGAATTCTTTGAAAAGACTGCCTAAAATATCAGCCTGTTTTGGTGGGCTAAAGTTTTGGCCTGCCTGGTGGGGTGGAGTTTTGGCCAACATTTAATTAGTTAATAGAGCAATAAGAAAGAGTTCCAAACCTCTGCCAAGAACAGCTAGTTTTCAGTTTACCTCTCCCAAACATTCCTAGCTAAATTCTTGCTTGAGAAATTGCTCTTTGCTAAGAAGCTATTTTGGATTCTTGGACCATTGTTTTCAATTCAAAATCACATTAAGGTATTTAATTGTTACCCAGAAATGATTTGATGTTGAGATGATAACTTCTGCATTGGACCTTTTATTCTTTATAGCTGTGTCCATATTGTCCACAAGTTAAGTGGAAATTCTCTTCCAACTATTTACTTTTTTCACAACTGCCACCAGTTTGGTTTCAAAACATTTACAACAAACACATATTGACAGGGTCAAATAAATGTGTGTAAAAATATAAAGAATATTTCATGCTGAAACCGTCATCTCTAACACGAACTGTATTCACTAAGTTGATGGGTTATATTTAGGATAATGTTTTACAGCTTTGTCATTGTATTTACAGTGGGGAGAAGAAGTATTTGATACACTGCCGATTTTGCAGGTTTTCCTACTTACAAAGCATGTAGAGGTCTGTAATTTTTATCATAGGTACACTTCAACTGTGAGAGACGGAATCTAAAACAAAAATCCAGAAAATCACATTGTATGATTTTTAAGTAATGAATTTGCATTTTATTGCATGACATAAGTATTTGATACATCAGAAAAGCAGAACTTAATATTTGGTACAGAAACCTTTGTTTGCAATTACAGAGATCATACGTTTCCTGTAGGTCTTGACCAGGTTTGCACACACTGCAGCAGGGATTTTGGCCCACTCCTCCTTACAGACCTTCTCCAGATCATTCAGGTTTCGGGCTGTCGCTGGGCAATACGGACTTTCAGCTCCCTCCAAAGATTTTCTATTGGGTTCAGGTCTGGAGACTGGCTAGGCCACTCCAGGACCTTGAGATGCTTCTTACGGAGCCACTCCTTAGTTGCCCTGGCTGTGTGTTTCGGGTCGTTGTCATGCTGGAAGACCCAGCCACGACCCATCTTCAATGCTCTTACTGAAGGAAGGAGGTTGTTGGCCAAGATCTCGCGATACATGGCCCCATCCATCCTCCCCTCAATACGGTTCAGTTGTCCTGTCCCCTCTGCAGAAAAGCATCCCCAAAGAATGATGTTTCCACCTCCATGCTTCACGGTTGGGATGGTGTTCTTGGGGTTGTACTCATCCTTCTTCCTCCAAACACGGCGAGTGGAGTTTAGACCAAAAAGCTCTATTTTTGTCTCATCAGACCACATGACCTTCTCCCATTCCTCCTCTGGATCATCCAGATGGTCATTGGCAAACTTCAGACGGGCCTGGACATGCGCTAGCTTGAGCAGGGGGACCTTGCGTGCGTTGCAGGATTTTAATCCATGACGGCGTAGTGTGTTACTAATGGTTTTCTTTGAGACTGTGGTCCCAGCTCTCTTCAGGTCATTGACCATGTCCTGCCGTGTAGTTCTGGGCTGATCCCTCACCTTCCTCATGATCATTGATGCCCCACGAGGTGAGATCTTGCATGGAGCCCCAGACCGAGGGTGATTGACCGTCATATTGAACTTCTTCCATTTTCTAATAATTGCGCCAACAGTTGTTGCCTTCTCACCAAGCTGCTTGCCTATTGTCCTGTAGCCCATCCCATCCATGTGCAGGTCTACAATTTTATCCCTGATGTCCTTACACAGCTCTCTGGTCTTGGCCATTGTGGAGAGGTTGGAGTCTGTTTGATTGAGTGTGTGGACAGGTGTCTTTTATACAGGTAACGAGTTCAAACAGGTGCAGTTAATACAGGTAATGAGTGGAGAACAGGAGGGCTTCTTAAAGAAAAACTAACAGGTCTGTGAGAGCTGGAATTCTTACTGGTTGGTAGGTGATCAAATACTTATGTCATGCAAATAAATTATAAAAAAATCATACAATGGGATTTTCTGGATTTTTGTTTTAGATCCCATCTCTCACAGTTGAAGTGTACCTATGATAAAAATTACAGACCTCTACATGCTTTGTAAGTAGGAAAACCTGCAAAATCGTCAGTGTATGTTACAATCGTCTTAATGTATGATTTTATATATTTTACGTTATGAAAATACGTACGTTTTCAAAATTCCTGTAGTTTACTGGTGAACTTCGGAATTTGCCAGTAGTATACACTCCCGTTTTTAATTGTGAATCGTATTACCAAACCAACTAAACACATACGTTCCCACACATCTGTACATGCACAAGTCAAACCCTCCTGCCTACGCTAGTGTCCTCATGTAGAGGTTTACTGGAGGGATTCCCCTGTTAAACATGTTAACCTCTGAATAATGTATGAATGCTAAATGCCTCATCTCATCTGTCCTCTCCTTTTCCCTCTATCTCTCTCCCTACAGACTCAGATGCCCATTCCTTCCCCTCTCCCCGCCAGCCCTCTAGCCGGGCCCGGTTCGGTCGGAGGGGGTAGCAGTGTCCCCTCGGTGGGGCCCATGGGTCCCCAGAGTGTGGGTGGAGGCCCCTCGTCCAACCTGCCCCTGTCCAACAACCCCCAGCAGCCCAACTCCATGACCCACCTCTCGACCATGCGCCAGAGCTCGCCCTCCCCCGCCCGCAGCATCACCCCCACACCCCACCAAACGCCACCCAGGCTAGCTGGCTCACAGACCCCCCAGCCCCACACCCCTAACCTGCCCCAGCTGGCCCCCCCAGGCCCCCAGCAGCAGCTAGGGCCCGGCAGCCAGGGGCCAGGCTCCAACAAGCCCATGCAGCAGGTGATGGGAGCAGGGTCCACCACCCCATCTCACCCTGGTCACCCCTCCACAACCCCCAACCCCCATGGAGGCCAGCTCCCTCGCACGCCTCGCACTCCGGTGAGATTGATTGATTTGATCATTTAGAAAAAAAACGTACAGCTATATCGCCCATCTTCAACACATGGTACAGTGAGGGGAAAAAAGTATTTGATCCCCTGCTGATTTTGTACGTTTGCCCACTGACAAAGAAATTATCAGTCTATAATTTTAATGATAGGTTTATTTGAACAGTGAGAGACAGAATAACAACAACAAAATCCAGAGAAACGCATGTCAAAAATGTTAGAAATTGATTTGCATTTTAATGAGGGAAATAAGTATTTGACCCCTGTGCAAAACATGACTTAGTACTTGGTGGCAAAACCCTTGTTGGCAATCACAGAGGTCAGACGTTTCTTGTAGTTGGCCACCAGGTTTGCACACATCTCAGGAGGGATTTTGTCCCACTCCTCTTTGCAGATCTTCTCCAAGTCATTAAGGTTTCGAGGCTGACGTTTGGCAACTCGAACCTTCAGCTCCCTCCACAGATTTTCTATGGGATTAAGGTCTGGAGACTGGCTAGGCCACTCCAGGACCTTAATGTGCTTCTTCTTGAGCCACTCCTTTGTTGCCTTGGCCGTGTGTTTTGGGTCATTGTCATGCTGGAATACCCATCCCTCAGCCAGGGCATTGAAAATGGGTCATGGAAGGAGGTTCTCACCCAAGATTTGACGGTACATGGCCCCGTCCATCGTCCCTTTTGATGCGGTGAAGTTGTCCTGTCCCCTTAGCAGAAAAACACCCCCAAAGCATAATGTTTCCACCTCCATGTTTGACGGTGGGGATGGTGTTCTTGGGGTCATAGGCAGCATTCCTCCTCCTCCAAACACGGCGAGTTGAGTTGATGCCAAAGAGCTCCATTTTGGTCTCATCTGACCACAACACTTTCACCCAGTTCTCCTCTGAATCATTCAGATGTTAATTGGCAAACTTCAGACTGGCATGTATATGTGCTTTCTTGAGCAAGGGGACCTTGCGGGCGCTGCAGGATTTCAGTCCTTCACGGCGTAGTGTGTTACCAGTTGTTTTCTTGGTGACTATGGTCCCAGCTGCCTTGAGATCATTGACAAGATCCTCCCGTGTAGTTCTGGGCTGATTCCTCACCGTTCTCATGATCATTGCAACTCCACGAGGTGAGAACTTGCATGGAGCCCCAGGCCGAGGGAGATTGACAGTTATTTTGTGTTTCTTCCATTTGCGAATAATCGCACCAACTGTTGTCACCTTCTCACCAAGCTGCTTGGCGATGGTGTTGTAGCCCATTCCAGCCTTGTGTAGGTCTACAATCTTGTCCCTGACATCCCTGGAGAGCTCTTTGGTCTTGGCCATGGTGGAGAGTTTGGAATTTGATTGATTGCTTCTGTGGACAGGTGTCTTTTATACAGGTAACAAGCTGAGATTAGGAGCACTCCCTTTAAGAGTGTGCTCCTAATCTCACCTCGTTACCTGTATAAAAGACACCTGGGAGCCAGAAATCTTTCTGATTGAGAGGGGGTCAAATACTTATTTCCCTCATTAAAATGCAAAATCAATTTATAACATTTTTGACATGCGTTTTTCTGGATTTTTTGTTGTTGTTATTCTGTCTCTCACTGTTCAAATAAACCTACCATTAAAATTATAGACTGATCATTTCTTTGTCAGTGGGCAAACGTACAAAATCAGCAGGGGATCAAATACTTTTTTCCCTCACTGTATAAATAGTTCATTGGTTTACAGAAGTGATAACAACATTGACTCCACAATGATACACACGGCTGCAAAATGGAGCAGTTACTGGTCAATGTAGTAATCAATTATTTAGGAATTTCCTCTGTAACCTCTCACCTGACTGCTGGTCAATTTTCTCTCCTTCACTGTAACTCCCATGGGGGTTGTTGTTGCATTCTCTTGTAGTATCAATCCTTTTCTAACTGTGTCAGCTCTCGCTCTCTCCATCCCTCCTCACAGATGTCCCAGAAGGGTGGCTTCCAGTCCCAGGACAGTCAGGCTCTGACCCCAGCGTCGGTCAGCAGTGTGGACACGGCCTCCCAGCAGGCCTCCCAGTCGGACGCCTCGGCTTCCGTGGACCCCAAGATGGAGGTCAAGCAGCAGGACGAGGAGGACGACGGGGAGGAAGGCTGCTCCAAGGGGGGGAAGCTATCCAACATCAAGCTGGAGAACAAACCCATCAAAATGGAGGGGGTGAAGAAAGAGGAGTGTGAGGGCGAAGGGGGAAAAGGTGTTCCCATGGAAATGTCATCATCGTCGGGGGTTAAGAGTGAAGAAAGGGTGAAGACTGAAGACCGGAAACCGGAGGTGAAGAAAGAGCCGAAGGAGGAGGAGAAGGGATCTGATTCCCCTGGTACTCCGTCTGGTGCCCAGAACAAGAAGAAGAGTAAGGACTGCTTTATTCTGTTGATGATTCTGTGACTGCATATGTACTATATACAGGTTGCACGTTTCTATACACAATCTCTGTGGTTATGTTCCTGCTTCTGAAAATGTATGCAGAGTTATAATCCGTTTCTGAATCCAACTCCAACCCTAACCTCTCTACCTGCTCTCCTTTCCCCTCTTCTCCTCCTTCCACCTATCTCAGTCTTCAAGCCAGAGGAGCTGCGCCAGGCCCTGATGCCCACCCTGGAGTCTCTGTATCGCCAGGATCCAGAGTCTCTGCCCTTCAGACAGCCTGTGGACCCTCATCTACTGGGCATACCTGTATGTACTGTATATTCACACTGTTTTAGTCTGTTTTTAATGTTCTATTAAAAAGTTATCTGGTTTTTACATGTGAAGGTAGCCAAACAAATTTCCCACTTGTGGAATAGTAAAGGAAACTTGACTTGACCATACCTCTCTCCCCTCTCCAGGACTACTTTGACATAGTGAAGACTCCCATGGACCTGTCGAATATAAAGCGTAAGCTGGACACTGGTCAGTACCAGGAACCCTGGCAGTACGTGGACGACATCTGGGTCATGTTGAACAACGCCTGGCTGTACAACCGCAAGACGTCCCGCGTCTACAAGTACTGCTCCAAGCTGGCCGAGGTGTTCGAGGCTGAGATAGACCCTGTCATGGTCAGCCTGGGCTACTGCTGCGGCAGGAAGGTGAGATGGGTTTGAGTGTGTCAGGTTAGTATTAGGGTGTGTGGCTGTGTGTGTGACGTATAGTGTCAGGCTAGATGTGGTTATTGCATTGCTAGTTTCATATCCAATTCTGTGCATGGAAACGAGGAGTGGTTAATTTCAGAGTTTGCATAACACCGCCATATTACGTTTCAACACTTTTAATATTGAACATAAACTCGCAGCTATTTGTTACTTTGCTCATGAATGTGCTAAGCGGTCCACAGGGATGACTGGAGTGACTCCTTTTTATGAAAATGAGACAAAGCGTTGTGGATGTCAGGGATAAGCCCCTCAGATGGACCGTAAGGCCGGACAGCTGTTGTCATGTACTGTGACAATGAGCCTGAAGGGCCATGTGACCCAGGGCTGGGCACATTCCTCTGGTCTAACCAAATTGCCTTCATGATAACTGATTATTTTCTGGTGGTGAAGAAGCTCTAGATATTGATATAGTGATCATCTCTGTCCTCTTGGGTCTAATGGTGTGTCATAATCATGAATGGGTCCAGAGTTTTCCCTGGTTGCATGGTCTGGTAAAACTCCTGGCACTACTGAACAAAATATGCTTTTATTGTATGAATTTAATTAGTTATTCTCCTTCCCCCTGTCTTTGTTTCTTTGTTAGTACTTTTGTTGTTATTTTGTATATCACTTTACCTGTATTGAAAAGCGCTACAGAAATAACGTTATTATTATATTACTACTAGTCTTGAAGGACCAAACTCGTTTGAAAGTTAATTTGGGGATTGAAGAAGTGTTAATTTATCATCTAACTTTCTCTCTTTCCTGCTTTTTTTCTCCTCCTTCAGTTGGAGTTCTCTCCCCAGACGTTGTGCTGCTATGGGAAGCAGCTGTGCACTATACCCCGGGATGCTGCCTACTTCAGCTACCAGAACAGGTAGGGAGGGAGCTGAGACACACACACACACACACACACACAGTGATCAATATCATAATGACTGTATGTTGAATTTTGTGTTTCTATGTGAATAAATGGTCTGTCACATTTTCCCCATTTTTTTAAATATTAATGTTAATATTAATTAACGCAATTACATTTTAAGTTGGTCCTTTCTTACTGCCTTTCTGGACATTTCTTCAAAGTTCAATTTCTAACATCAACAGCTGTATGCTGTGTTCATGTACGAATATGTACATTCACAAATACTATTTGTGACAGCACTGATACCTGATAGAAAATAAGAAAGGACCCACTTTAAAATTAGCTCTATGATAGAGCAATTGTCTGTGCCGCTGTTCATCTGTTCAGTATCTGCATTGTCCCATGCTTCCCATCTCTCCCCCTCCAGTTGATTCTGTCACTGCTCTATATTTAGCTGTGGTGGTTTTGCTCACCTTCTCATGTCCAAAACGCTAATCTGTGCTTTGCCTCGGCCTTCTGCTCTATCTTGTGCTGGATGTTGTCTTGTCCTCTCCTTCTCTCCTCACCATTCAAATAATTCCTCCATCCAACCCTTTCTGTCCTCTCCCTGTGTCATCAATGCTTGTGACATCTGCATTGGCTTGCTTTTGTCTGGTCCAATCATGTGCCTCCAAACCCCACCTCTCCCTTTCCCTTCAATCCTGAATCATGATTGACTGTTCTGATGACGACACCTGTCTCCTGTGTTCCTGCGTGCTTGCTCCCACCCTGTCATGCCTTGCCCTGATTGGTGGCTGCCTCCCCGTGCCTTCTCTGTGATTGGCTGTGCTGTTGGGGAACGGTGTAGTTCACCAAAATTTGGGCTTCTTGCTGGCAGGTACCACTTCTGTGAGAAGTGCTTCAACGAAATCCAAGGGGACAACGTGTCCCTGGGAGACGACCCCTCCCAGCCTCCGACGTGAGTAGAACGTTAACCTCCACTAGCCTTCCCTCAACATTTAGATTTAATGTAAACTTTATTTTATACTTTTATCTTTTATTATTTGACTCCTCATATGCCAAGGTTCTCCCTCATATCAGCTTTAAAGTACCTCCATTTGCTGTAATTGTGAATGTCTTCCTTCCGTTTCTGTTTTCTATGGTATTCTCTCTTCTACAGTAGTTGATTTGGTTTTATTGTACATCTCTACTGTCGCAGTTATTGTTTCTCTCACCTCTCGTAGACTGTAGTTTTCCTCTATAAGCCTACATCTGTTCTGCAGCACCTCTTTAGTAAATCAAAATTGGGATGAAAATACTGCATATTTGAAAATCTGGCCAAATATCTGGCCGAGTCTTAAACAATATATATGAAATGTTGGACTAGAGCCCTGCCAGAGAATCCAATGCATCTACCTTGTGGTCATTTTGAGTTTATGAAGCTGTATTTATTTAATGGTTGGTTAGACTGTGGTTCATCTACCTTACCCTTTTCAATGTATGTTTCATTTTTCATGAGGCTTTTAACTGGCGTTGGCCTGGTTGCTATTGTTGTGGGATGTGTGTTACATTTCTTCTTTCTAATTTCAGTTCCATCGGTAAAGATCAGTTTGAGAAGAAGAAGAATGACACACTGGACCCTGAATTGTAAGTCCACCATTGGAAGTATATATCTTGTTGAGTAATTGCATTTAAGTTGTGATTGCATTGTGAGCGCAATGTCGTTGTGGCGATGTAAGCAGTCAGTGACTGATTTCTCGCCTCTCGTTCCTCTCTGCAGGCTTGTGGAATGTATGGACTGCGGACGTAAGATGCACCAGATCTGTGTCCTGCACAACGACACTATCTGGCCGTTAGGGTAAGTCTGTCTGCATTCCTTGTTTTCCTGTAACCAGAAGAGATTAAGCAGTTTTACTGTAAGGTTCTGGCTTCTCTACTGACTCTAATGAACTCTTTCACCCACCAGTTTTAATTGTGATGGCTGCTTAAAGAAGTTGAATAAGACGCGGAGAGAGAACAAGTATGCTGCCAAAAGTAAGTGCTGATGTCTTTTTTAAAACCATTTTAACCCTAAATATTACTTACCTGTCTCCATTTGAGGTAGTTCCTCCCTCCTTTACCTATCTTATTTGTAACTAAACTAAGCTTATCTCCCTCTCTCCAGGGTTGCCCCACACTAAGCTGGGCTGTTATTTGGAGACACGGGTGAATGACTACCTGAAGCGTCAGAGCCACCCTGAGTCGGGTGACGTCACCATCAGAGTGGTCCACGTCTCTGACAAGGTGGTAGAGGTCAAACCAGGCATGAAGTCCAGGTAAGGGACATGCACCACGGGGGGGAATAGTACGCGTGTTACCCTGAAGAAGTAGAACAGGAGAAAGGGATGACGTTAGGGGCGGAATGAGTGGGGTTAATGTAGTAATTTGCTGAATCCCAAATCAACCCCTAGCTGCTACACCAAGGCACTGTAAATCTGAGAGGATTGGATCACTTTTTTTTTTAATCTCTCAGAATTTGAGGGGGTTTTTTTTCATTTCAGAATTGCAAGGTAGAAAGAGTTCGAGACTATGGTAGAAGGAGAAGCAGTAACTCTGAATGATGACAGATGGTGAATATATATACAAATATTGGTATGCAGGGCTGGGGAGTAACTGATTACATGTAATCAGTTACATGAAATCTGATTACCAAAAAACTAACTGTAATCAGTTACGTTACCGGCAAAAATATTGTAATCAGATTGGATACTTTTGGAAAAACTAAATGACTGCTTCTTGAATTACTTTTAAATTCAGAAAGGATGTTTGTGGAAAAAAATAAGTTAACACTTTTCTGTTTTCTCAATGACATTCAATTCGGCATTGGAAAAAAGGTGCGAGTTTAAAGGGCCAGTGCAGTCAAAAACGTGATTTTCCTGTGTTTTTATATTTCCACACTATGAGATTGGAATAATACGGTGAACATTTTAATTCCCTTTTAGTGTAAGAGCTGTTTGAAAAGAGCCTGACATTTCAGCCTGTTGTGGTGGGATGGAGTTTTGGTCTGCCTGGTGACATCACCAAGTGGTAAATTGGTTAATAGAGAACCAAGAAAGGGTTCCAAACCTCTCTGCCAATAATATATCGTTTTCAGTTTTCCCCTCACCACTCAGACCACTCCCGGACAGTCCTAGCTAAATTCTTGCTTGAGTAATTGCTCTTTCCAAGAAGTACATTAAGGTACTTACTTGTTACCTAGAAATGATTTAATATTGAGATAAAAACGTCTGCATTGGACTTAAGTTTGTTTCACCTGAGCAAGTCTGACCACAAGTCAGACCGCTATGATGACACACCAAATGTGTTTGATGGATCATTTTTGTCTTCTAATGCCTCTTAAGGGGAAAGTAATTGAAAAGTAAGTGAAAGTAATCAATTACATTACTGAGTTTGGGTAACCCAAAAGTTACGTTACTGATGACAATTTTGCATAAGTAACTAGAAACTAATAGATTACATTTAGAAAGTAACCTACCAACCCTGTTGGTATGTGTTCATTCTAGAATCAGTCATCTCACTGTTATCGTGTCTCGTGTGTCTCTCCAGGTTTGTGGACACTGGGGAGATGTGTGAGTCATTCCCATACAGGACGAAAGCCCTGTTTGCATTTGAGGATATCGATGGAGCTGACGTCTGCTTCTTTGGCATGCATGTACAGGAGTACGGCTCGGACTGCCCTCCTCCCAATCAGAGGTAATAGTTATTTTAAGGTTACATTTTCTCAACTCAGTGGGGAGCAGTTTTATGTTAATGACCAAAGGACTGGACCTCATCCTTGCTCTCTCCCGCCCTCCCTCCATCTTCCTCTCTCTCTGCCTACTTCTCTCCCCCAGACGAGTGTACATCTCGTACCTGGACAGTGTTCACTTCTTCCAGCCTCGTTCTATGAGGACGGGCGTCTACCATGAGATTCTCATTGGCTACCTGGAGTATGTCAAGAAGCTGGGGTACACAACGGGTCACATATGGGCATGCCCACCTAGTGAAGGGGACGACTACATCTTCCACTGTCACCCTATGGATCAGAAGATCCCCAAGCCCAAGAGGCTACAGGAGTGGTATAGGAAGATGCTGGACAAGGCTGTGGCAGAGCGCATCGTGCATGACTTCAAGGTAAAGAGGCTTGAGGGGTCCTTGCTGGGACAATAAAGTTTACATTTAATTACATTCTTGCTTCATCCGCAAGTGGAAGGGTTGAGCGCACAGGACCGAGTCATGGATTGGCCTCTGAGAAGCACCATTTTATCACTGTTCATGTTGTTGTGATAACTTGAAGTGGTGTTACTCATTTGTTACATAAAGCAGGAGGAGTGGAGTGTTTCTTAAATCTGGGTTTAATATCTTTCTATCCCTCTCTCAGGACATCTTCAAGCAGGCCACGGAGGACCGTCTGACCAGTGCCAAGGAGCTGCCGTACTTTGAGGGGGACTTCTGGCCCAACGTGCTAGAGGAGAGCATCAAGGAGCTGGAGCAGGAGGAGGAGGAGAGGAAGAGGGAGGAAAACAGCACTTCCAACGAGAGCATAGATGTAAGTGGGATGGACATTTACTACAAGGTACATTGCAGTGTGTTCATATGGATCTTTGGGTTTGTTTTGATGTGATTTCATTTAATCTCTTTCAATCAATGTGATAATTTGATTATATTTTTAGTCATATGGATCTTAGGTTTGATGTGATTTCATTTGATCTCTTTCAATCAATGTGATGATTTGATTCTATTTTTACATTTTACTTAATACAAAATGTTTAATAGATTTTTGTATGAACTGCATTTCTACATTTGTTCTAAATAAAAATGATTACTGTATTGTATATAATTCACTGTCTTCCCCACACCTCCAGGTCACGAAGGGCGACAGCAAAAACGGCAAAAAGAAGAACAACAAGAAGACTTCTAAGAATAAGAGCAGTATGAGCCGAGCCAATAAGAAGAAGCCAGGCTTGCCCAACGTGTCCAATGACCTCTCTCAGAAACTCTACGCCAGCATGGAGAAGCACAAAGAGGTAGGAGGGAGTGACCGTTGCATGTTTTTATTGTATTTCTGAACATAACAGTTGCTAGGTAGTAAATCAGGCTCAATTGGTGAGAATCAGGTTTAAGGTCTGAACAAGTCACTTTCACAACACAAAAACACTTTCCACTAAGACCGTTGTGTCTCCCGAGTGGCGCAGTGGTCTAAGGCACTGCATCGCAGTGCTAGCTGTGCCACTAGAGATCCTGGTTCGAATCCAGGCTCTGTCGTAGCCGGCCGCGACCGGGAGACCCATGGGGTGGCGCACAATTGGCTCAGCGTCGTCCAGGGTAGGGGAGGGAATGGCTGGCAGGGAGGTAGCTCAGTTGGTAGAGCATGGCGTTTGCAACGCCAGGGTTGTGGGTTCGATTCCCACGGGGGGCCAGTATAAAAAAATACAAATAAAAAAACAATTCTAAAAAATTATAATGTATGCACTCACTAACTGTAAGTCGCTCTGGATAAGAGCGTCTGCTAAATGACTAAAATGTAAATGTAAATGTTGTAGTGGCGATTTCCTATGAAAAGCCACTGGCACAGGAGAGAGCCGTCCATAACGCGTTCACCGAAATTGTTTTCCAAACGGAACTCTTTTCGGGTGAAGTTCCCATTTATTAAGCATACAAAAGATTAATAGTTTACTTCCAATACAAATATTTGCATAGAAAATGTGTAGAGGTCAAATCTATGAGCATGTTCTGTGATATGGTAAGACCTGTATGCCCTCTCCCCTCACCTGTGCTAACCCTCCCTGTGCTATCTACAGTGGGGAGAACAAGTATTTGATACACTGCCGATTTTGCAGGTTTTCCTACTTACAAAGCATGTAGAGGTCTGTAATTTTTATCATAGGTACACTTCAACTGTGAGAGACGGAATCTAAAACAAAAATCCAGAAAATCACATTGTATGATTTTTAAGTAATTAATTTGCATTTTATTGCATGACATAAGTATTTGATACATCAGAAAAGCAGAACTTAATATTTGGTACAGAAACCTTTGTTTGCAATTACAGAGATCATAGGTTTCCTGTAGGTCTTGACCAGGTTTGCACACACTGCAGCAGGGATTTTGGCCCACTCCTCCATACAGACCTTCTCCAGATCCTTCCAGTTTCGGGGCTGTCGCTGGGCAATACGGACTTTCTGCTCCCTCCAAAGATTTTCTATTGGGTTCAGGTCTGGAGACTGGCTAGGCTACTCCAGGACCTTGGGATGCTTCTTACAGAGCCACTCCTTAGTTGCCCTGGCTGTGTGTTTTGGGTCATTGTCATGCTGGAAGACCCAGCCACGACCCATCTTCAATGCTCTTACTGAGGGAAGGAGGTTGTTGGCCAAGATCTCGCGATACATGGCCCCATCCATCCTCCCCTCAATACGGTGCAGTCGTCCTGTCCCCTTTGCAGAAAAGCATCCCCAAAGAATGATGTTTCCACCTCCATGCTTCACGGTTGGGATGGTGTTCTTGGGGTTGTACTCATCCTTCTTCCTCCTCCAAACACAGCGAGTGGAGTTTAGACCAAAAAGCTCTATTTTTGTCTCATCAGACCACATGACCTTCTCCCATTCCTCCTCTGGATCATCCAGATTGTCATTGGCAAACTTCAGACGGGCCTGGACATGCGCTGGCTTGAGCAGGGGGACCTTGCGTGCGCTGCAGGATTTTAATCCATGACGGTGTAGTGTGTTACTATTGTTTTTCTTTGAGACTGTGGTCCCAGCTCTCTTCAGGTCATTGACCAGGTCCTGCCGTGTAGTTCTGGGCTGATCCCTCACCTTCCTCATGATCATTGATGCCCCACGAGGTGAGATCTTGCATGGAGCCCCAGACCAAGGGTGATTGACCGTCATCTTGAACTTCTTCCATTTTCTAATAATTGCGCCAACAGTTGTTGCCTTCTCACCAAGCTGCTTGCCTATTGTCCTGTAGCCCATCCCAGCCCTGTGCAGGTCTACAATTGTATCCCTGATGCTCTCTGGTCTTGGCCATTGTGGAGAGGTTGGAGTCTGTTTGATTGAGTGTGTGGACAGGTGTCTTTTATACAGGTAACGAGTTCAAACAGGTGCAGTTAATGCAGGTAATGAGTGGAGAACAGGAGGGCTTCTTAAAGAAAAACTAACAGGTCTGTGAGAGCTGGAATTCTTACTGGTTGGTAGGTGATCAAATACTTATGTCATGCAATAAAATGCAAATTAATTACTTAAATCATACAATGTGTACCTATGATAAAGATTACAGACTTCTACATGCTTTGTAAGTAGGAAAACCTGCTTAATCGGCAGTGTATCAAATACTTGTTCTCCCCACTGTATATGCATATGACAATGACCCCAACATATAGTGCCCTTTAGTGTACAAACAAATTAAAATTACCCTTGACAGACGACAACCTTTACACACCACATAAAATAAAACGTAAACAGGCCAAAATGTCTTCTCACTCTTCTGTTAACTCTGTTCTGCTCTCTCCTCGCCAGGTATTCTTTGTGATCCGTCTGATAGCGGCGCCTATGTCCAACACGCTGGGCCCCATCACGGACCCCGACGGCCTGATGGCCTGCGACCTGATGGACGGGCGCGACGCTTTCCTCACCCTGGCCCGGGACAAACACCTGGAGTTCAGCTCACTGCGCAGGTCCAAGTGGAGCTCCATGTGCATGCTGGTGGAGCTGCACAACCAGAGCCAGGACCGCTTCGTCTACACCTGCAATGAGTGCAAGGGCCACGTGGAGACACGCTACCACTGCACTGTCTGCGAGGTGAGGGGTGGAGGAGGGGACAGGGGAAGGGTAGATCTGGGACGATAAACAGAAAATTAGACACCAACATTGCCTTCTTCTTACGACACAATTTTGCTTAAGTCTGTAATTTTCAGTGATTAGGCAACACAATGTTCCTGCTTATGAATTTTTGTGGTTACTAAAACTACTATTTGGTCAACAGTAATGTGCATTATTCCGATCCCTACAATGAAAAAGTGCCCTGTCCCTGTTTTGCTGCCCCCTCTCACTCCCTCTTCCCCATGTGCGCATGAATTAGAAGGAGAGCTGCATTCTGATAAGCGCAAGCATATGTCCATTGTGCAACATACACATTACAATTGCAGGAAAAACAGTTTTTAACGCAACTACTGTTTAATTGTTAAAGAGAGGAGAGTAAGTTTTCTGTGAGTAACATTTATTTCTCAATATCGAGCAAATGGCAGCGTGGCGTGAGGCTAATATGGTTTTGAGATGATGCGCCTGTGGAGCTTAGCACACCATTCACATTGAATAAATCAAGTAGCCTAGGCCTACGGACGGAACGTTTTTGTAGGACATTAAAGCAATCTAGCTAATGTATTTTGAGTTCCCACTGCCTCAGATGGTGTAGCATAGGCCAATATGCACAAAAAAGATGGCGTTAGCAATCTAGCTAATGTTTTGAGTTCCCACTTCCTCAGGTGGTGTAGCATGTAGCTTACAGGGAAAACAAACTGGCCTCGTTGTGTGCGTGAGAGTTGCATAATAACGAGTACATTATATTAAATCATTGCATCCAAACTGCTCGCGCACGTCAATGCTAAAATAGGACTTTTTGAGACACTCGACACACTGCAAGTCCTGCCTCTCCCATCTACTCATTGCAGGGCTCGACACACAGGGCTGCCCGCTGGCCCTGGGAGGTTTTGTTATCCCTCCGGGCCAGTCAATCATCCATGTCAGTGAAAACAATATTGTAATAATGCTATTTTCAATCTAGGCTATGTAATTGATGAAAAAAAACAGATGACTTCCCAAAGTTAGTTCGTTATGTAGATTATTTATCACACGCACCATACACAGCCTAGTTTGAGTGAAATATCAACTGTCAGGCAGCAAGAGCGCGCAGCTCACAACTGGTTGTAGTGTGGAGCAGCTCACAGAAGAAAGACAGCGTTGGGTTAGGAAGGACTTTTCAACTTATGAGACAGTACCTGTTTATATATAATATATATATATATTGTTATCACGCAAAATGGATCAATTTATCGTGATAACTTTTTGTCCATATCACCCAGCTCTGGGGAAGGGGGTTGGAGGGAGGGAGGGAGGGAGGGAGGGGTATAGAGTGGGCAAGGAGGGTACAGGAGAGGGAGGATTGAAGAGAAACTGGCTGAAAAGTCAAACTGCTAAGATTTAGATTTGTTTTAGGGTATTTCTTATAAGGGGATGATGAGATAAGTAAAGTGTGGTGTTACCAACACCTATGTGCTACTTTCTCTTCTCTCTGTCCCAGGACTATGACCTGTGCATCACCTGCTACAACTCTAAGGGCCACATCCACAAGATGGAGAAGCTGGGTCTGGGCCTGGACGACGAGAGCAACAACGCAGCCGCTTCGTCCATCGCCAACCCTGGGGACTCGCGCCGCCTCAGCATCCAGCGCTGCATCCAGTCTCTCGTCCATGCCTGCCAGTGTCGCAACGCCAACTGCAGCCTGCCGTCCTGCCAGAAGATGAAGCGTGTGGTGCAGCATACGAAAGGTTGCAAGCGCAAGACCAATGGCGGCTGCCCCATCTGCAAGCAGCTCATCGCCCTATGCTGCTACCACGCCAAGCACTGCCAGGAGAACAAGTGTCCCGTACCATTCTGTCTGAATATCAAGCACAAGCTGAGGCAGCAGCAGCTCCAGCACCGTCTCCAGCAGGCCCAGATGCTGCGGAGGAGGATGGCCAGCATGCAGAGGGTGGGTCAGCCACCTCCGGGACCGGGGGGCAACGGTGGGCTACCGTCCCCGGGAAACAACAGTACCACGGGGCCCAGTACCCCCATGTCCGTGGGCACGCAGCCCCCCACGCCTCAGACCCCCACACAGGGGAACATGCCCCCCGGACCCCAGCAGGGGATGGGTCAGGGCCCTCCAGGGCAACAGCAGCAGCAACAACAGCAGCAGCAGCAGCAGGGCGGTATTCCCCAGCAGCACCACATGCACCACCAGTTCCAGCAGCAGATGCAGCAGCATAGTGGAGGGGTAATGATGAACTCTCCTCAGCAGCAACAGATGGTCCAACAGCAGCAACAGGGCCTGTCTCCAAATGTCCAGCAGATGCAGCAGCCAGGAGGTCTTCCCCCTTACACCCCCAGACCTCCAGGAGCTTTGCCCCTCCACCAGTCCCTGGGTAAACCCGGTCTGGGCTCAGCCACTCCTCCACAGCAGCAGGCAAACCCCGGCCAGGGCTCCATGCCCCAGGGGCAGCAGCAGCAACAGGGGCCACCTCCGGCAGCGGTGGAGATAGCGTTGAAGATCCAGCGTGTGGCAGAGACCCAGCGTCAGATGGCCCAGGCTCAAGCCCAGATCCTCCAGAGGCAGCAGGCGGCCCAGGGTGGAGGCATGATGCCCCCTCACCCCCACCACCAGAACCCCCAGGCTCAGATGCAGGGCATGGTCCTCCCAGGAGCAGGCATGGTAGGGCACCAGGGGATGGCTCCCCAGGGCCAGGGTGTGGCAGGGAGGACTCATATGGAGCAGCAGCAGCAGGGGATGGTGGTGGGGCAAGGAGGTATGCAGCAGCAAGTCGGCCCCCAGACCCAGCTCTCTCCCCAGGTTCAGCTCCAGCAGCAGGCCCAGCTCCAGAATCCCAACCAACAGCAGTGGGGCGGCCCGGGTGGGATGACCCCCCAGCAGAGGCAAGGCATGATGGGACAGATGGGTCACCTGACACCGCAGCAACAACAACAGCTCGCCCAGCAACAGCAGCAGCGGCAGCTTGCCCAGCAACAACAGCATCAAGGTCAGCAGCAACAGCAGGCAGGGCAAGGGGGGTTAATGGGGCTGATGGGAGGTCCAGGGGGCGTGGCCGGGGCGGCAGCGGCGATGGTTGGGACAGGGAACCTCCCCCAGGCAGCTCTACAAGACCTCCTGCGTACCCTCCGTTCCCCCAGCTCCCCCGGCCAGCAGCAACAGGTCCTCAACATCCTCCGCTCCAACCCCCTTCTCATGGCTGCCTTCATCAAGCAGCGAGCTGCCCGATACCAGGGAGGTCCAGGGGTGCCGGGGGCCCCGGGAGGAGGGCCAGGAGGGGGGCCTGGAGGCGTGCGGTTCCAGGGGGCCCTTGGTGGGGCAGGAATGGGCCCTGGAGGGCCTGGGGGTAACCAGGTGGTCATGGATGGTCAGCAGGTGAACGTAAACCCCGGAGTAGCCCAGCCAGGGATGAACATGGTCCAGGGAGGAGGAGGCGTAAATATTTCCTCTATGGCTCAGCTACAGCAGTTGCAGCAGCAACAGCGCCCTCTCCTGCCTGTGAGTCTGCAGCAACAGCAGCAAATGGCAGCACTACAGCAACAACAAGGTGGTATGCCAGGCCAAGGCACCCCCATGTCCAACATGACTCCCCAGTTCAGAGAGATTCTAATGAGAAGGCACCTCCAACAACAACAACAACACCAACAACAACAACAACAACAGCAGCAGCAGCAGCAGCAACAACAACAACAACAACAGATGAGTAACAATGGTCAGTTCCAGCAGCCCCAGCCCCCCCAACAGCAGGGTCAGGGCCAGCAGGGCTTCATGCATCAGGGCCAGCCTGGTCAACCTGGCCAGACCCAGCCTGGTGGAGGGGGAGGAGGGCCGCAGCAGGGTGGGGGAGGCCCCCAGGGGCCCCAGCCGGGTCCAGGGCAGGGCCAACAAGGACAGGGCTACCCTGGAACCATGTCCCAGCAGGTAGCCACAGCCCTGCAACAGAGGCTACAGCACCAGATGCAGATGCAACAGCAGCAGCAACAACAGCAGGATGGGGGTGGGGGGCCTGGGCAGCTCCAACAGGGGCAGCAGGGTCCCCAGCAAGGCCAAGGTGGTCCCCCCCAGCCCCAGTCTTCCCATGCCATGCTCCAGCAGGCCCTCCACCAGAGACTTCTCCAGCAGCAACACCTAGGAGGGGGCTCGCCCGCACAGCACGGCAGTCCTATGAGCCCCCAGCAGCAGATGGCCCAGTCCCCACACCCCCACCTCCAGGGCCAGGCTCTGGGCGGTCAGTCCCTCAGTAACCAGGTGCGTTCCCCTCAGCCCTCCCCTCGGCCACAGTCCCAGCCGCACCACTCCAGCCCCTCGCCACGCATGCAGCCCCAGCCCTCCCCTCACCGCATCTCCCCCCAGACCCAGACAGGCTCCCCGCACCTGGGTCACCTCTCCCAGCACCACCCTGGCATGGTGGCCCCCCAAAACCCACAACAATTGTCACAGCAACAACAACAGCAGGCTAACTCTGGGGACCCGGGTACGTTTGGTTCGGACCCGAGTGCTATGATGTCCCAGATAAGTGGGATGGGGGGCTTGCATGGCACAGGGCAGTCGGACATGTTGGGTAATAACCAGGACCTGGGAACGAACATTAACCACAACAGTTTAGACATTATGTAGCCTACTACTACTACTACGTCTGTCTCAGTGCTCTGAAGAACTGTCCTCGTGGGTCTGGCTGGGATGGAATGGAAGGGGGGATGGCTGTTTTAGAAGTTATTTTTATTTAATATTTTTCTGATGTATAAATGAAAAGAACTGAACTTCCTATGGGAGATGCACCATTAAATCTACAAGTCAATAAATGAATAAAGTGAACGAATGGTAAGTTATTGCTGTTAATATATATCTATATATTTTTGCCAATTGTGTACAAAATGTTTAAGGGGTTTCTGGAAAGGAGAGATTTCTCCCTTTGTATATGACTCAAGTAATATTTTTGTGGACTGAGAATTTTGCCTTTTTTATTAAGATTTTTAAGATTTAAAATGTGGTGGAAAATTTAGAGGAGTTAATACAATGGACCTTTTTATCGTTCTGTTTTCCTCCATAAAACCAGTCATGATTGTATCTGTTTTGCAGAGAAGTTTTTAAAATTATAATTATCAATATTATTTTTGCTGGATCTACAAACAAACGTCACAACATATCTTTTTGGGGGGGCAGATGTACTTTGCGACTGCTACAATTCACATAGAATATATTTTTCTTAAAACCAAGAGTGTTAAAAGAAGGGCAAAAAAATGATTTTAATGGTTTTGTTAGGGGGTTAGGGATCCAAGTTAAACAGTGTTGCTGGGTGCATGTTTTGTTTTTTGCCTTAGCAGATTCAAATAACCAACTCATCATCAAGCTTTGATTATTTCAATCAACTGATGTGCTAGGGCAAAAAAAACGTGCACCCGGGGGGGGGTCCAGGACCGAGTTTGTTGAACCCTGTTCTACACCTTCTCTCCCATGAATGTGCACTCCCCCTTTACCCCTACACTTACTACAGGACGATGGATGAGAAACTTACTACTGATGTTGCCAGCTGATTTGGAGGATTGATGGATGGCTCTGTAGTATATATATATATATATATATTACTCATGAACTGAAACACGGAGAGGGAGGGTGTGGAGGGGTTTCCTAGGAATAAACTCCCCTCATCATGTGTTTTGGAACAATGCCTCCCTTCCCCTCCTCTCTTCCCAGCCACAAGCCCCTCTTCTTCTTTTCCCCTTAACCGTTGGGTTTAATTTAATGTTTTTACTGTACAAAGAAAAAACTGGACTTTAATGAAATACTGTTTGTAATACAATGAAAACCATATATTTGAGCTGTACAGACTTTCAGACCTATGATGAGCAGAGACTCTTTTTCTACTCCTGATTTTTATCTCCTTTTGATTTGGTTACCTAGCAACCTGGTCTCCTACTAAACTATGTAAAAGTATTGATTTCTGAAAGGTACAGAATGTGGTGTAGGTCATGAGCACCAATGAGCCTTTGTGTATAAATCTTTTTGAACTGGGGTTATTGCAACAAATACCATCTTGATTGCTGTGAACACCAACACATTCACATGAACACATGCACAAAACAAAACGGGAGAAGGCTTATTAGTGTGGTCAGAAAATTAATTGGTAATTTTGCCTCATTAAAGAATTACACAATATTTCACAAGTTCACTTATTTTTCTCTAAAGGTAGGGATTTGGGGGGAGGGAAAAACAGTGGCAATATATCTTGAGACTTATTTTATAAAAAAAAAACAAGGGAAAAACTTGTATTTTATATATAGATATTATTTAATTTTATTTTTTTGAAAATAAAACTTGAAGCTACAGGAATTATAGATTCAACTTTTTTGTATTGAAGATGTAATGGTGATGCAAAATGACTGCGGTCATTCACAGCCCTCTGGGGCTGTTGAGTATATCATGCCATTTTCATTAAATGTACATGCATATAAATGTATACATATTGAATCACTGTACAAACCATGGCAACTGAACAACTTTTGTTTTGCTTTTGTTTCTTTCTGCCTAAAGAAACTGGAAATATGACTTTAATGTGTTTAGTGTTCAAATGGAATCTTTGACCACTTTCTTTACTGTTAAAATACTTTGGTGCTTGCTGAGAGAAAGCAAAAAATAAACTGTTGCTCCATTTTCATACATTTCTTATTTTAAGTTATTTTGGTGTTTTTTTTTTTGCCAATTATTTAATTGTACAATAAAGTATGTTTGTACCATTGAAAAAATACCTGTATGTTGAAATTGCTTTTATTTTACTAGCTACATTTCCATCACATGATGAAATGGGTTGAGGGATGGGATTCTGTAGCTCAGTTGGTAGAGCATGGCGCTTGCCACGCCAGGGTTGTGGGTTCGTTTCCCACGGGGGGCTAGTATGAAAATGTATGCACTCACTAAATCGCTCTGGATTAGCGTCTGCTAAAATGACGTAAATGTAAATCAGAAACATTGGTGGGACGGATAACACATTTACTTATCTCACCCATGACAGCCAATAATACACTAAACAAAAACGTTTATGCAGCATGTTTCATGAGCTGAAATAAAAGATCCCAGACATTTTCCATATGCACAAAAATATTATTTCTCAAATTTTGTGCAGAAATTTACATCCTTGTTAGTGAGCATTTTGTCCTTTGTCAAGATAATCCATCCACCTGACAGGTGTGGCATATCAAGACGCTGATTAAACAGCATGATCATTACACAGGTGCACCTTGTGCTGGGGACAATAAAAGGCCACTAAAATGTGCAGTTTTGTCACACAACACAATGCCACAGATGTCTCAAGTTTTGAGGGAGCATGCATTGGCATGCTGACTGCTGGAATGTCCAGTAGAGGTGTTGCAAGAGAATTGAATGTTAATTTCTCTACCATAAGCCGCCTCCAATGTTGTTTTAGAGAATTTGGCAGTACGTCCAACCTGCCTCACAACCGCAGACCATGTGTAACCACGCCAGCCCAGGACCTCCACACCCGGTTTCTTCACCTGCGGGATCGTCAGAGGAGGGGGGAGGGGGGTGGTGCTGAGGAGTATTTCTGTCTGTAATAAAGCCCTTTTGTGGGGAAAAACTCATTCTGATTGGCTGGGCCTGGCTCCCAATTGGGTGGGCCTATGCCCTACCAGGCCCACCCATGGCTGCGCCCCTGCCCAGTCATGTGATATCCATAGATTAGGGCCTAATGAGTGTATTTAAATTGACTGATTTCCTTATATGAACTGTAACAGCAAAATCTTTAAAATTGTTGCATATTGCGTTTATATTTTAGTTCAGTTTAATAAGAAATCAACCACACATTAACAATTAAAGATAGACATTTATTTTGAGTACAATATAAATAATCTCATAGACATAGACTGGATGGTTTTTGTAGATTTATTACATCACTTTTCCGATTAGACGAGCCATAATAAAGTGCAACAGTTCCTTGCTCAGCAGTGAATATTTAAGCAGCAGCAGAAGCAACAAACCACATTTGGCAATAATATAAAATATGAGCCTTGTCATGGCTACAGCATCAGCACATAGTTTAGTCATCAGAACTACAGAGTATAAAAACATTTAAGTTCCTCTGTATTTACTAATACACAAGGTTTCTCCTTTAAAGAATAAATACATGGAATTACATTGTCAGATCGATATAGAAAAATAAGGACTAGAAATACACAATATCCCTCTCCCCTTCTCAGTCTGTTTCTCCGCTCCCTGGAGTTAAGGTGTAAGAAGCATTCTTACTTCAAGCCCAAAGGATAAGATGAATAAACATCCAAAAATAGGGGGCAGCTAGTGTTGCATTGTTGGGTGGGTGTGCGCAGAAGCACGTGTACAAACCGTAAAAGCTCTACAGAAACAATAACATCAGGCACTTCCATAATTTCTCGCTGCATTGTGGTCGCAGACGGAGATCATTTTACTGAGTCACAATCAATGATCCCTTTAAGCTGCGTGCTCTCCTGGGACTGCCGTGCAGAAGAAATATCAGCCTGTGCAGAGAAGCACGAGATTGAACTTCACTCAACTTTCTAGTTTTCCCCTTTGGTTAACACTATCAATGTTTCCCTCTACTGTGCAAATTGTGATCGAATCAATGCAATATTAGCCACTTTCAATGCAACATACCGAAACCAAACTAACTGCAAGAGATTTTCTTGTAGGCAGAGCGCATTGGAGTAGGATTCTATTGCATTGACAGGCACGACTCAGGCCCATACTCTACACAGACCGGTGCGCCATAACAAATTAGAGCTGCAGTATCCCTATATGCAAATAGACCATTGCCATATATGGATCTGTGCCATTCACTTTGAACTGGACTGTGTTTACAGCATGAGTGGTCGCGAGTAGATGCGCTTGTTTTGAGATCAAAGCAAGAGCTGCATGTAGCCACGTGTGTACATTTGTTCATATTCTTTGCAAGTGAGTTATTAGCCCAGTTAAGCTAATTTCTAGTCAGCAATGGGGGAGTGGTTGCTTCCTACCAGAGCACAAAATGTATGCATTTCTAGCCATCTTTGAAAAGCATGTCAGGTAAAGAGCTTGTTTCTGTCTTAAAGGGGGCAGTGTCATATTTTGAGACAGGCTTGAATAAGCTAAGTAGCCAATAGGCAGAGGGTAGCATAATTTTCCTGATTCTCTTTAATAATGGTATGGGAATAATGATGCATTTTATTTTGTAAAGTGGTTTCTTGCATCAAACAACACAACATTTTCAGTCACCTCCTTGTCTGAAGGACAAGTGGATAAACAGCTTAATTTCAATCCCTAAATGTTTTTTTCAAAAAATCTCATGGAATGTCCCGTGTAGCTCAGTTGGTAGAGCATGGCGCTTGCAACGCCAGGGTTGTGGGTTCGATTCCCACGAGGGGCCAGTATGAAAAAATTAATAAAATGTATGCACTCACTAACTGTAAGTCGCTCTGGATAAGAGCGTCTGCTAAATGACTAAAATGTAAATGTAGGACTGCAGCTATTTCCATGTTAAAATGTTATGGGATTCATATTTTTTTTAATAATCATGGTAGGCCACTGTGATAGGCCTACATTACGATCAAATTGCCACAGTTGCCTACTTGGCCACTGTTATAACTAACTTAAAGCGGGTACAGCTTCAGTGTGCGCCAGAAGTTGCACCGAATTTTCACAACATTCAAGTTTACGCTCAGCAGACCTGACATTTGCTCAGTGCCCAAAAAAAATTGAGGGAACATTAGTCACAAGACCCATCAGTCTCGGTTTGGGACTGGGAGTGGGATAAACAGCCACTGACCAATGGGAGGCGACAAGGAAGATTCCACAAAGATGACACATCAACATCATGACGTAAATACAGTGCAATTCAGAAAAGAACAGACTGTTCCTAAGTCTGTTTTTTTATATAGGTTTTTGGTTCCACTTTTAAAGTTAGTTTACACTGGATGTGTTGCGCAGGGCTTTAGTGGGTAACCAAAATGTCTTGAGTATCAGTGTGTATCCAGAGAGAGGAGAGGAGAAAGGCATGCAGGCTGATGAAGTCATCTTGCAGAGGATTTCTAAATCATTTCAAGACTCTACTAAGCCACATGTTTATCTAATAACAGTCCAGAAGGATATGGTATACAGTATACTGTGTATAGCTCAATGTAGAAGGAGTGTATGCCCATCTCAATGTAGTCAGTATATACTGTACACTACACAATACAGTATGCCTATTGAACGAAGTTAGTGTGGACAGAGGTCAATCACAAGGCCAGAAAGGGAAGAAGGGTAAAGGGATGAGGAGAAAAAGTGGTCACACAGTCCAAACAGTGTCAAGAGCCACACTTTCCATATCGCTCATTCTGTTCCCAGACCCGGTTTCGTCTGTGTATGCTGCTGTGTGTTTCAGAACTCTAAGCCCCAGCCTCTGAAGAAGCCTTTGGCTGCCAGGGCTTCTCTGAAAGTCACTGTGAGAGAGTTTATGGTGACGTCAGTCACGGTCACCTCCCCTGGGCTCCAAACAGAGGACCGCTCTGACGCGGTCACTTCCTCTGAGCCAATCACGGAACTCCAGTCCTCTGCCCTATCCTGCCCTGAAGGAGGAAGAGAGAAAGGGGGTGGGGGAGGAGGTGAGAGAGAAAGGGGGATAGGGAGGAAAGAGGGTGAGAGGGAAGGGAAGAGAGGGAAAGAGAAAGGAAGAGGGTAAGATTGCTGTGATTGCATCAAGTCTATCTCTGAACTAACTGACCGAGATTAATAAGAGCACTGTATGGTGAGTACATTGCCTGTAGGCTACGCATAGACCAGGGTTCTTCAATTCCGGTCCTGGAGGGCCGAAACACCTCTGTTTTTCATCCTCTCCTTCTAATCAGGGGCTAATTCAGACCTGGGACACCAGGTGAGTGCAATTAACTACCAGGTAGAAATAAAAAACAGAAGTGTTTCGGCCCTCCAGGACCGGAATTGAAGAACCCTGGCATAGACTATCTGTGTTGTACCAGGAAGTTTGACATGTATTGGTCTGCGTCATACATGAAACCCTGTTAAGTCAACCCTCTCCCTTGCCACGACTTGTCTGTTTGCTGTGCCAGTTGCCAGCCCTGGATGGGATGGTGGAGCTTATGTTCCTGGTTGTCTGTCCAGGGGGCCTCCTGTACTGTACTGACTAACTGGTTGACACACACAGCAATGTCCTGGTTTAAAATTTGGCCCATTTGGTGAATAGGCCGACTAACACGCTTACCATTCAGAATGCCGCTGCATATCTCTGTCTCTCGCTCCGACTGCTCCTGTCGAGTTTCCTCCTCTATGTCATCTTCCTCTTCCCTCCTTCCCCAGTCATCATGTGTGGGGTCCTGTGTGGGGGTAGGGGGGCCAGGGGGAGAGGCCAGGCACATGAACTGTGACCTTCTGGGTTTGTTTTTGCGGTGGGCCAGGCGGGGGTGTAGGCTCCGTCTACAGGCCCCGTAGGTCGGGTCTTCTGCCTCAGATTCCAGTGAGCGAGTCGGGGAGAGACGTAGGTGAGCTGGAGGCTTCTCTGGGGCCTTGTGGGCGCTCCGGAGATCCATGTTGTAAATAGTATTCTACAGAGGGAGGAACAATAAAGATGTCTTATACAGTAGTAGTGTTTCTCCAAGATAATTTCCCCTTTACTTAGTATGCCAACCTATTATTCTGTCTCATCTAGGATTGCAAAATTAACGGAATCTTCAGTAATTTTGGTAATTAACAGAAAACATATGGCAATCTATTGTAACTTTGGCAATTTATACTTGAATAACTGTACAAAAATGTATTCATATACAGTATTAATTTATTATATTGTGTCCATGAGTTTCTAGTAGATAGACCATATGGTTCAAGAGAAAATAGCCTAATTAATGAAAAAACATCTTATCAACAATGGCATTATTTTAAATTAACTCTGCAACTCTTCCAACTATTTTCTATTTTAAAATAATCTTATTCAATGAGTCATATATTTTACATGTGATAAAGCCACACAGAGGGCCAGAGATTATTACAAACACCTGTGACTAACGGAAGTACCCAAATTGGCCACTAGATGTCTTGTGATAGATAACATAAAATCCTTGAACGATATCAAAAACTTCTAAATTTTCCAGTAATATACCCTTCCTTTGCAGCCCTAGTCTAATCAGACAGAGACATTATATATAAAATTAACCCATCCCACCTGTATTAGAATCCTTTTAGCTTTGGGTCCTCTCTTCCGGTACCCTAGGGCTCTGTCCTTCTGCTCTCTGGTGGAATGGTTAGATCAGTCAGTACCAACAGGTATAGTTTACTACTATGATAGTACAGTGTACTACTACTACAGTACAGTTATCAGTACTATGATATTCGCCTCTACGTAATGCGCTCTATAGCATGCAGTGTCTCTTGGACTTACTTCTCCTCATAGGCCTGCACCAGACGCTGGTCCAAGATGTGCTCCTCTGGTTCCCATGTACTGTATCTGTACAGATAAAGACCGCCGTGGTTACTTATCCATCCAATAATACTCTGCATGACTCATTGTCATGAATTACTGGATATGATGATGATGTCATAGTGATAATACTCACTTGGGGGGCCATCCCTTCCACTTCAATAGATATTCCACGTTCCCCTGTGACACACAACGTTGGAGACAAGCATCAGTATGGGAGAGAGAGAGGAGAGTGTGTGGGGAGGATGTTGATTGTGATGTTGCTATGCTTACGGTCTCCACTCCAAGCACAGAGATAGGTAGCCTATAATAACCTTTGAAAATCCAGGAAAAGTATGTCTTCTCATCTATACTATGTCATTACCGGGAATTAATTCCAGGTGACGTTTCCTATAGCTTATCGACTTTGACAGCTCCTAGATAGCATGACGTCATCGCACGAGAGCACTGGTGACTGGAGAGAATTGGGATCCTCACGAGACACCCCCCCCCCCACCCCACACACACACACACACTCTTAAGAACATTACATACAATTATGTGTGGGTAGGACACTGATTATTGAAAACAACAATATTTGACAGCAGGCAACGTTTTTCCCTATGTAACGGGACTGCATGGCTATAATAACGGTTGATGGTGGATGCGCGTCTGCACCGACAATGACTCAATGTACTTAAGGTATCGAGTTCACTTTTAATGCAGTGCAAAATACGATATTAAAAGACCCAACACTTATAAGGACTTAGTATCATACATTAATTCACGCCTATGGATGCGCGTCCATAGGCGGCCACGTTCTGCGCCCTAATAACCCACAAACCTGTATTTGACATTTCCTCCGCGAAACTGCGTAGCACTTCACAAATGCACAATAGCCTAATAGCGTAATTGTATAACCCGTGGGCTATTATTCTGCCTATGCACAGGACTGAATGCAAGGTTTCGGTTCCGATATGATTATTCTGTTTCACATATTAGGATAGATAGCTGCCACCCTGACTATAATGTAATGCAATGGCAACAAGCTCCACTTTATGTTAAAGGGATACTCCCCACACTCACGCCCCCTTCCATGTTTATATTCAGTGGATACTGGATATAAATAGGCTATTGGTACAAGTGCTTTTCAATATAGCCAGCTGTGTTCCCTACTGGATCTAGGGTATCCTACAATGGATATTCTCCAAATTGCGTAATTGTCATTATGTAATTATGGTACATGCGTTTTATTTCCAATATGAATACCTTACCTTTCTAACTCTTTTCTTGATTATTGATTCCACAGCAAACACTTGTTCACCAATCGCTGACAGCTCCATTGGTCCAATACTGAACGTTCTGCTTGCTCTTTGAAATAAATGTATTCAGTAGAAATGAGAATAACTGCTGTTAGTTTAGCTCGCCACTATAAAGTAACTGTATACAAGCTATGACAAGTCTCTACGCGTCGCGATTCAAAAACTGTTTTCTCCTCCCCCAACCCTCCCTCTACAAACTGAGCTTTGTTTTCGTTTAAGTTGGAACTGAATTTCTCCCTTCCACTTCCTTGTACCAGATCTTTCCGTATGTACAGTGACTTCTCAAATCTGCGACACATCTGCACTGCTTGGCGCGTCCCCGTGCTTCCAAACGCTCGTCCTAGGCGCGCTCTTCGTTCCACAGTGCCAAAGCAACGCTGTCAGCTCGAGCCTGGAGCTAACGCTCGAACATGGGTCCGCGCACGCAGATGACACAAAAGCAGTAGCAGGATAATAAAGTCGCCAACCCTTGGCCCATTTCTTATAAAATGTGCTCTATTTTGCATCCAAATTCCAACACCAATTTCACTCTCAAGAAATTAAGCCACATCCTCACAAAGGAGTGTATATAAAGTGCCATTTCAAGCATTTTATTTTTGTGGAAAACAATAACATAACCTGGACCCTTTAATAGAAGGGAGAAGGTGGGTGGGATTGTCATGGCAAAAAGCAAAATCCACTATGTCACTACTGAGTTTTATTTCCAAACACCCTGGTTTAAAGTAGAGGGGATTTTCTACCTGGGAGTTTGGTTGCCCAACCTGAAGTCCCCTAGGGGAAGCCTCAGTCCAACCACCTCATTGATTTGTCTCATGATTAGTGATTGTTGCAAATTATTAAATTATCAGTTGAATTAATCATGTGATTGGATGCTCAGATGAATAGGAAAACTGTTGGGATTGAGCCCATGAGGGGCAAAATTCAACAACCCCTCTTTAGGTAGAGAATAATGTCTGCTTCCTCTGTAAACAAGTTAAGGCCTTATCAAGTCTTCAATAATACACAATATGTTGTTGTGATGATAAAGATCTATCAACAAACAGAAATCCCTCTGCTGATTTCAAAACTAACAACATGTCTGGCTGGACTCATGCCTTTCTTCTTTCACTTTCACTTCTCCATGGGTTGTGATTAGCAGATAACACAGGTTGGTGGATTTTCCTGGTCAGGTCACATGGTCAAGAAAACCCCCTGGCTCTACCATGTTACAGTATACAGACGTTTGTCAATACCTGGGCCTAACACAGCTTTAGCTAAGAGGAATTGTAATTTGAAGACAGTAAAAAACCCTGCTAGTTCCTAACAGACAGAGATGGTCTCAGCAGCAACAGAGGATAAAACAGCTGCATACACTCAGGTCCATACACTGGGGGGTGACAGAGGAAGAGAGACTGAGGTAAAGAAGAGATGTACAGTCACAGTAGAGCAGAGAATAACAAATAGAGAGATACACAAAGAAAAGGAGGAGAGTTACATGAAGACGCATCAGTGAATATACAGTACAGGGGTAAACAGTAACAGGAGGGGGGGAGATAGAGGGAGAAATAGATACTCGTAGTTTTACACAGTCACACGCCTCTCATACTTGGACACTGGAAACAGTAAATGTACAAAAAAAATCGAAAGTAACATTGAAAAATAGTCATCAATTGATATATAAAAACATAGAATCCCAAAAACCAAACATAAATGTTCATAAATCTAAGTGATGTGTAGTGTGATTTTTTCATGACCTCCCTGTATGCGTCCGTTTCCTTCATCGCTTCAGGTCTCATCAGCCTGAGTCCAGCAATGGGTGAGTAAGCACAAAAAGTACATCTGGCCAGTGTGCATCTACGTGATTGGCTGAGCACAACCCCATCTGCTTTTCAATTTGTCCCCTGATTGGACCACGCCTGTTATCCTGAGCAGCAACTGGGAAAAGTCTAATCCGGTAGAGAAAAGGTTGGCGGGCACATTCAATCAACAGCCATCTGACCTCCATGTTTGATGGACCTCCACCTCCTCAGACACCACCAATAGGAGCTCACAGTTTTTCCCTCTCAGCTGGTGACGTAGGAACTTCCTGTTGTGTGGATGGAATTGAAAGAACAGAAGAATAAAGATATCAGCTTGTTATTCATTAGGTATTAGGCAAGGATCGATCACCATTGTGGATGGTGGCCGTGTAATTATCTATTATTTAGCTAAGGGAATGAGACTGATTGAACTTATTTTGTATTACTATGTGGCACCACCTAGTGGATACATACATATAAATTCTGTTCTCTCTTGGATGCTCCACAATATAAATCAAATCAAATTTTATTTGTCACATGCGCTGAATACAACAGTAGACCTTACAGTGAAATGCTTACTTACAAGCCCTTAACCAACAATGCAGTTTTAAGAAAGAACACCACAAAAATGCAAATAGTCTGGGAAATCTTTCTGATTGAGAGGGGGTCAAATACTTATTTCCCTAATTAAAATGCAAATCAATTTATAACATTTTTGACATGCGTTCTTCTGGATTTTTTTGTTGTTATTCTGTCTCTCACTGTCCAAATAAACCTACCATTAAAATTATAGACTGATCATTTCTTTGTCAGTGGGCAAACGTACAAAATCAGCAGGGGATCAAATACTTTTTTCCCTCACTGTACGTACAGTCACTGTGGGGACGACGTCATCGATGCACTTATTGATGAAGCCAGTGACTGATATGGTGTACTCCTCAATGCATCTACACACAATACCCCATAATGACAAAGCAAAAACAGGTTTTTAGATTTTTGCAATTGTATTAAAAATAAAAATACACCTGTCTTTGGGGAGTTTGTCCCATTCTTCTCTGCAGATCCTCTCAAGCTCTGTCAGGTTGGATGGGGAGCGTCGCTGCACAGCTATTCTCAGGTCTCTCCAGAGATGGGCCACTCAAGGTCATTCAGAGACTTGTCCCGACGCCACTCCTGCTTTGTCTTGGATGTGTGCTTAGGGTCGTTGTCCTGTTGGAAGGTGAGCCTTCGCCCCTGAACGCTCTGGAGCGGGTTTTCATCAAGGATCTCTCGGTACTTTGCTCCATTCATCTTTGCCTCGATCCGGACTAGTCTCCCTGTCCCTGCCGCTGAAAAACCTCCCCACAGCATGATGCTGCCACCACCATGCTTCACCGTAGGGATGGTGCCAGGTTTCCTCCAGATGTGACGCTTCGCATTCAGGCCAAAGAGTCTAATCTTGGTTTCATCAGACCAGAGAATCTTGTTTCTCATGGTCTGAGAGTCCTTTAGGTGCCTTTTGGCAGACTCCAAGCGGGCTGTCATGTGCCTTTTACTGAGGAGTGGCTTCCGTCTGGCCACTCTACCATAAAGGCCTGATTGGTGGAGTGCTGCAGAGATGGTTGTACTTCTGGAAGGTTCTCCCATCTCCACAGAGGAACACTGGAGCTCTTGGTGGTTCCAAAATTCTTCCATTTAAGAACGGAAGCCACTGTCTTGGGGACCTTCAACGATGCAGACTTTTTTGGTACCCTTCCCCAGATCTGTGCCTCGACACAATCCTGTCTCGGAGCTCTACGGACAATTCCTCCGACCTCATGGCTTGGTTTTTGCTCTGACATACACTGTCAACTGTGGGACCTTATATAGACGTGTGTGCCTTTCCAAATCATGTCCAATCATTTGAATTTACCACAGGTGGACTACAATCAAGTTGTATAAACATCTCAAGGATGATCAATGGAAACAGGATGCACCTGAGCTCAATTGAGTCTCATAGCAAAGGGTACTTATGTTTTTTATTTTTAATACATTTTAAAAAATGTCTAAAAACCAGTTTTCGCTTTGTCATTATGGGGTATTGTGTGTAGATTGATGAGAAAAAAAAGTTATACATTTTAGAATAAGGCTGTAACGTAACAAAATGTGGAAAAAGGGAAGGGGTCTGAATACTTTCCGAATGCACTGTATTTAAAATGAACAATGAAAATCATGATGGGCTTAATCTACTGGACAGGACACCATAATTGGGATGACGTACGCACGCAGTACCTGAGCTCATCAGGGTTTCCGATGGTGTGTGGGCTGCGTAGTTTGGAGTCGAGGTTGTAATAGACTCCGCCCACCTCCCGCACCCCTATCCAGTGCTGCCGTTTGAGTGGCAGGCGCAGTGGACCCCAGCGCAGATTGGACGGGACGTTCAGAATGAAGCCTGTTACGTTGGACAGCGCTATACTGCCCACATCCCTGCAGGAACACAATACACAAGTCAATCACACAGTCTTCCATAGGTCTTGCAGGAGTGGATTTTCAGTAGCTACTGTAATGTTGTACAATCCATGATGATGTCTGTAGGGAAGAGTGGGGTAAGTTGAGCCAAAGGGTTAGTTGAGCCACCCCTTGTTTCTAGGAAACAATACACAAAATTAAATCATGTGACCAAATATTTAGGAAGAGATCATCATTTCATGGAAAAGGTCCCAAAAAGTTCAAATTAATTTATTGTGTTATAGGTTTCATGATGCATGTATCTACACCAAAGTAGACCGTTTTATACATCAAGGTCTCTATAAGCTACAATATGAGGTCCTAAACCTAGCTTGAAAGTGCATCCTTGTAGCTGTGTGGGCTAATATAGTCAAAATGTTTGTCTTGGGGTAAATTGAGCCAATGGCCACCATACCCCATACAAATGATCATTACATTGTCAGTTTTATGCATAATATGCATAGTATTTTTGCAATGTGCCATGCGTATGAACTCATGCCCTGTTTATACAAACATAAAACAAGCAGGGGTCTAGCCCCCCATTGAGGTTCTTGAGAGAGCAGCCAAGGAAGTGAGAGAAGGGAAGATTTGAGCAGCAGCAAGGGATGAAAAAAAAATAGACTGAATGACACTGAAGAGGTACATTTACATTTACGTCATTTAGCAGACGCTCTTATCCAGAGTGACTTACAAATTGGTGCATTCACCTTATAGCCAGTGGGATAACCACTTTACAATATGTGTTTTTTTTGTGGGGTGGGGTAGAGGGGGGGGGGGGGGTAGAAGGATTACTTTATCCTATCCCAGGTATTCCTTAAAGAGGTGGGGTTTCAAGTGTCTCCGGAAGGTGGTGAGGTGACTCCGCTGTCCTGGCGTCGTGAGGGAGCTTGTTCCACCATTGGGGTGCCAGAGCAGCGAACGGTTTCACTGGGCTCAGCGGGAACTGTGCTTCTGCAGAGGTAGGGGGGCCAGCAGGCCAGAGGTGGATGAACGCAATGCCCTCGTTTGGGTGTAGGGACTGATCAGAGCCTGAAGGTACGGAGGTGCCGTTCCCCTCACAGCTCCGTAGGCAAGCACCATGGTCTTGTAGCAGATGCAAGCTTCAACTGGAAGCCAGTGGAGTGTGCGGAGGAGCGGGGTGACGTGAGAGAACTTGGGAAGGTTGAACACCAGACGGGCTGCAGCATTCTGGATGAGTTGTAGGGGTTTAATGGCACAGGCAGGGAGCCCAGCCAACAGCGAGTTGCAGTAATCCAGACGGGAGATGACAAGTGCCTGGATTAGGACCTGTGCCGCTTCCTGTGTAAGGCAGGGTCGTACTCTCCGAATGTTGTAGAGCATGAACCTACAGGATCGGGTCACCGCCTTGATGTTAGCGGAGAACGACAGGGTGTTGTCCAGGGTCACGCCAAAAAAGAAAACGAACATGTACCTGTGCGAAAGAGAGTCTATGATAGAGTAGCAGATGCACACAAGGTCTTATCTAGGGTTACAAAGGGAGGGTATATTTTGGTATCTTGCAAGGATTTTATGTAAACTAGCACAATAAATCTAGTGGCCCTTGTGGGTACTTCAGATTATCACAGGTGTCTAATTATCAGTGGCCTTATCACATGTAAAAAATGAAATAATTAAATAAGATGAGTTTTATATAAATTGAATGACAAAGCTGTAAAACATTATCTTAAATATAAACCCTCAACTATGTGAATACCATTTGTGTTTAATGAGGGTTCAGCATGAAATATCCTTTGGCAATATGTATTTGATGTCAATGATTTGGCGTCAAACTGGTGGCAGTTGTGAAGAAAAGTCAATATTTGGAAGAAATGCAGAGTTAATTGAAAATAATGCCATTGTTGATTAGATGCTCTTTTAATTAATTAGGCTATTTTCTCTAAAACCATATGGTCTATCTACTAGAAACTCATGATATGGACACAGATATAATAAATGAATACTATATATATATATATATATATATATATACACACAGTTGAAGTCGCAAGTTTACATAAACTTAGGTTGGAGTCATTAAAACTCGTTTTTCAACTACTCCACAAATGTCTTGTTAACAAACTATAGTTTTGGCAAGTCGGTTAAGACATCTACTTTGTGCATGACACAAGTACTTTTTCCAACAATTGTTTACAGACAGATTATTTCACTTATAATTCACTGTATCACAATTCCAGTGGGTCAGAAGTTTATATTCACTAAGTTGACTGTGCCTTTAAACAGCTTGGAAAATTCCAGAAAATGATGTCATGGCTTTAGAAGCTTCTGATAGGCTAATTGACATCATTTGAGTCAATTGGAGGTGTACCTGTGGATGTATTTCAAGGCCTACCTTCAAACTCAGTGCCTCTTTGCTTGACATCATGGGAAAATCAAAAGAAATCAGCCAAGACCTCAGAAAATAAATTGTAGACCTCCACAAGTCTGGTTCATCCTTGGGAGCAATTTCCAAACGCCTGAAGGTATCACGTTCATCTGTACAAACAATAGTACGCAAGTATAAACACCATGGGACCACGCAGCCGTCATACCGCTCAGGAAGGAGACGCGTTCTGTCTCCTAGAGATGAACGTACTTTGGTGCGAAAAGTGCAAGTCAATCCCAGAACAACAACAAAGGACCTTGTGAAGATGCTGGAGGAAACAGGTACAAAGTATCTATATCCACAGTAAAACAAGTCCTATATCGACATATCCTGAAAGGCCGCTCAGCAAGGAAGAAGCCACTGCTCCAAAACCGCCATACTACAGTTTGCAACTGCACATGGGGACAAAGATTATACTTTTTGGAGAAATGTCCTCTTATCTGATGGAACAAAAATAGAACTGTTTGGCCATAATGACCATCGTTATGTTTGGAGGAAGAAGGGGGTGGCTTGCAAGCCGAAGAACACCATCCCAACCGTGAAGCACGGGGGTGGCAGCATCATGCTGTGGGGGTGCTTTGCTGCAGGAGGGACTGGTGCACTTCAAAAATAGCTGGCATCATGAGGAAGGAAAATTATGTGGATATATTGAAGCAACATCTCAAGACATCAGTCAGGAAGTTAAAGCTTGGTCACAAATGGGTCTTCCAAATGGACAATGACCCCAAGCATACTTCCAAAGTTGTGGCAAAATGGCTTAAGGACAACAAAGTCAAGGTATTGGAGTGGCCATCACAAAGCCCTGACCTCAATCCTATAGAAGATTTGAGGGCAGAATTGAAAAAGCGTGTGCGAGCAAGGAGGCCTACAAACCTGACTCAGTTACACCAGCTCTGTCAGGAGGAATGGGCTAGAATTCACCCAATTTATTGTGGGAAGCTTGTGGAAGGCTACTCGAAACGTTTGACCCAAGTTAAACAATTTAAAGGCAATGCTACCAAATACTAATTGAGTGTATGTAAACTTCTGACCCACTGGGAATGTGATGTAATAAATAAAAGCTGAAATAAATCATTCTCTCTACTATTATTCTGACATTTCACATTCTTAAAATAAAGTGGTGATCGTAACTGACCTAAAACAGGGAATCTTTACTAGGATTAAATGTCAGAAATTGTGAAAAACTGAGTTTAAATGTATTTGGCTAAGGTGTATGTAAACTTCCGACTTCAACTGTATGTATATGAATAATTGTTAAAAAAAAGTTATTCAAGTATAAATTACCAAAGTTACGCATAGATTTTCTGTTAATTACCAAAATTACTGAAGATTCCGGTAACTTATTTTATAACATGGAGTCTGAGCTTGCTAAACGTATCAAGTCTCAGTTTCATGGGCTAGTAGCCTCAAAATGCAGAGAAGTTGCCTATGAAGTTGAGCCAAGGCGGCTCAACTTACCCTGTCCCTATGATCAACTTACCCCATACCTGGGGTAAATTGTGCAAAGAGACCACTTATTTTCGGACAAGCTATGTTTTCAAAACAGTTATGTATATATGTATTCAGTTTATTTCCAGGATACCCAACATCCTGAAATATATGTAGATATCATTATTAGAAAGAAAACAATATTTCCCTTGACGTAGTGATGCTGAATGTAACAAATGGCTCAACTTAACCCACTCTACTGTACATGTCTCTGTATGTCGCAATTGTTTTGATTTTCAAAATAGCTGTTTGGGTAATCATGAGTAGCCTATTCCTTTTTTTGCTGCCTTGTGCTCAACTGGGATTCAGAATGAAGAGGATATGTAAATATGCCTTCATCTTTCCTCTATTGCTGGTGTACGGCCAGTGATTGAAGTTAACTAAATTGAGCAGGGCTGAGCTGACTGAAATAGTTGCTGACAACACATGAACCAAACCAGAGAGCAGTAAACAAGATGGAGAGTATGAACAAGCATAGCATTGTGGTTCCAGTGGCTCAGTGGGTTGGATGGTGCTTGCAACACCAATGTTGTGGATTTTAAATCTCCTGCATGGTCCACATGCATCATTTTGGATAAAAATGCATGAAAACACTGTGTTTTTCAATTTAAAATTGCCACCAACAGAATGTTATATAGATGGGGCATACAACCATCTCAGCAGATTTGCTGCGAAGAGAGAATTATTAGATAATTTATTCTGGTATTAACCCTACAAATAGCACTGTTGGGAGATTTGGAAAGCCATAGTCAACAGTATAATAATACTATATCATATTATCTGCAATTGAAGCCTTGCTCTGAGTTCAAAGTTTATTTTCTAATGTCCAATCGCTGGAAAAATAAACTTTGTGAACTCAGAGCAAGGCTTTAAATCGCATCAGGGAATCCTGTGTCTTTGTTTTTACAGAGACACGGTTTATGGACAGTTCACGCGACTCTGTTATTCAACCAGACGGCTTTTCTATTTTCCGTATGGATCGAACGGCGGCTTCTGGTAAGAGTAGGGGGAAGGTGTATGCTTCCTCATCAACAATTCCTGGTGTACCGAAATTGAAAACATTTCGAGCGCCTGCTCACCCCACCTGGAGTTTCTGATGATAAAATAACCCTGCTATATGCGGAGGGAATTCACATGTTTTATTATCACAGCTGTGTACATACTGCTACAAGCAAACATCAAGGTAGCACTCAGCGAACTGCACAAGAACATTAGCTAGCATGAATCCGCTCACCCGGAAGCAGTATTTATTGTCACGGGAGATTTTAACCAAGCAAGTTTAAAACAAATTCTCACCAACATGTATCCTGTCCCACAAAAGGAAAAAGTGCTGGACCATGTGTACACAAACATCCGTGAGCGTACAAAGCCCTCCCCCGCCCCCACTTCATGTCTCTCTGTTCCTACTCCCCGCCTACAAGCAGCAACTCAAGAGGGAGCCACCAACACAGAGAATAGTGAGGCGCTGGACAGAGAAGGAAGACTCAATGATGCAGGACTGTTTGAGAATACTGATTGGAATATGTTCAAAGATTCATCCACCCAGGATTCATCCATCAACATTGAGGAATATACATTGTCATTCACAGGCTTAATTAGGAAATGTGTTGATGTTGTATCCACAATAACAATCCGGACGTATCCCAACCAAAACCCTGGATGAACGAGAAATCCGTACCATGCTGAGAGCCCGTACTGCAGCATTCAATGTCAGCAGAACAAACCCAGACGAATCAATGATGTGCGACACGTACATTGCAAGCGGGTACGAGCTCCGCAAGTCCATTACGGACGCGAAGAGACAATACAAAACTCAAATCGATGTTCGACAACTCTGACTCGCAACGCCTTATGACAAGGACTACAGGCTATCACGGACCACAAAGGGAAATCCAGCTGTGTGGTGCCCACTGAAGCCTCCCTCCCAGCTGAACACATTGTGTGCTCGCTGCAAGGCAGACAATACCGAGCAATCCAGGAAGGCTCTCGTTGCTCCAGACGACCAGGTGCTTTCGTGCTCCGAGGCTGATGTGAGGAAAACTCTCAAAAGAGTGAATACTCACAAAGCCGCCGGCCCAGATGGCATCCCTGGCCGCATCCTCAGAGTGTGCGCTGACCAGCCGCTGGGAATCTTCTCAGACATCTTCAACCTGTCCCTGTCCAGGCTGTAGTCCCCACTTGCTTCAAGGAGACCACCATCGTCCCAGTGCTCAAGAAAACCAAGGTGACTTGCCCAAATGACTATTGCCCCATCGCACTCACCCCTGTCATCATGAAGTGCTCTCAAGAGGCTAGTCATGGGCCACATCAAGGCCAGCATGCCAGGCACACTGGACCCACTACAATTTGCCTACTGCTCCAACAGATCCACAGAAGATGCCATTTCCATCGCTATTCACACATCTGGACAAGAGGAACACCTATGTGAGAATGCTGTTCATTGACTACTGTTCAGCGTTCAAGACTATTGTTCCCGCCAAGCTCATCACCTAGCTCAGAGCTCTGGGTTTGGACACTACCCTCTGTAATTGGATCCTGGATTTCCTGATGGGCAGACTTAACATAGGGCCCCCCCCCAGGGGTTTATCATCAGCCCTCTGTTGTACTCCCCGTTCACCCATTACTGCGTGGCTTTGCACGACGCCAACTCCATCAAGTTTGCTGACGACACCACGGTTGTAGGCCTGATAACCAACAACGACGAGCCAGCCAAAGGGAGGAGGTAAGTGAACTGGCATTGTGGTCCCAGGACAACAATCTCTCCCTCAACATCAGCAAAACAAAGGAGTTGATTGTTGACTTCTGGAAGCAGAGGAGGGAACACGCCCCGATCCACATCAACAGGACTGCAGTAGAGAGAGTCAGCAGTATTAAGTTCCTCTGCGTCCACATCACAGAGGACTTGACATGGACCAACAACACCCCCACTCTTGTCAAGAGGGTGCAACATCGCCTCTACTTCCTAAGGCGGCTGAAGAAATTCGGCATGCCACCCAGGATTCTCTCCAAATACTACTGCTGTACCATCGAGAGCATCCTGCCCAGTTGCATCACAGCCTGGTATGGAAATTGCTCCGTCCACAAGGCCCTCCAGCGGGTGGTGAAGACAGACCAGTACATCACTGGGGCATCTACTTGAAACGGTGCCTGAGGAAGTCCTGCAGCATCATCAAGGACTCCACACACCCCAGCCACAAGCTGTTCACTCCCTTACCGTTGGGCAGACGGTATCGGAGCATGAAGTCTGATACCAACAGGCCATCTACAAGCCATCAGACTGCTGAACACTTGAACTGGACTGACCACATGCACCGACTCTCCGCACCTTGGCACACATGCACTCACTCACGCACACACACACACACCACAATTGCTACTACCAGGCTCTTATTTACTATTACTGCACAAGTTAAACATCCCCCCCCCCCCCTCTCCCCCCTTTCTCTGATACATGTAAATACTGTACTATAAAATTGTGCCTTCCTGTATTATACTTATGCTAAAATGTTTATTCTATTCTACTGAGCCATTTATTTTATGTTCGAATTCTTATCTTATTTTTTATTGTTGTTGCATTATCGAGAAGGAACGTGCAAGTAAGAATTTCGTTGGACAGTGAATACCATGCGTATCCTGTACATACGACTACAAACTTGAAACTTGAATATTCATCTTTAACTTACAATCTGTGGATACTAAGCGATTAGAAAGTTTCTAAAATGTAAATGTTACAAAAAAGCTGTATAAACAAAAATGTAAAACAAAGTTACTTTTGTCCTCCGAAGAGGGCGACTGGTGGATGGGCCAATAAATAAAAAATAAACAAAAACGTTAGTTAAATAACTAGATAGGGTAGAAGACCATATAGCTTTAATGAGAACAGATGTGTACCTTCTTTTATCCCACCAGACAGCCTCGAACCCTCGGGTCTGTAGGGCGGCCATAATGACATTCACATCATAGTTCCCATTTCCCAGCACGCTCTTCTTGTGGGGGGTTACCAGAGTGCCGGGAGAGAATCTGTGGAGAGAGGGACGAGATAGAGTGAGGAGGACAGAAGAAACAAGAGAGATAAAAAGAGGCTAAAAATGGGAGAGAGAGATGCAGAGGGGGGAGAAAGAAAGAGAGGGGGAGACTTTGAAAGAGGGGAGGAATATGAGTGAGACAGAGAATGGAGAAGATAAATATCTCCCCTACAGTAGTGTTTCCTAACTCCAGTCCTCGAGTACCCCCAGAAGCACACATTTATGTTGTAGCCCCGGACAAGCACACCTGATTCAACTCGTCAACAAATCACAATGCCCTCAATGAGTTGAATCAGGTGAGTTTGTCTGGGGCTACAACAAAAATGGGAACACTGCCCTAGAAGACACAACCTTAACCCCTCACCTCTGGTAGATGTCCTGGAGTGCATCCCTGCTGAAAGCTGCCCCGTCCTGGAAGACGTTATTGAGTGCATGCAGAGCACACAGCTCCCGCCGTTGCTTCTCGTGGTAGATGGGGGGTGGAGGCGGGGCCGGTGGGGTCGAGAGATCATGCTCTCTCAGGTCCGACCTCTCCTCCCCTCCTCCCGCCACCCCTTTCTGCTTGCTCAGCTTCCATGGCATACAGCCCAGGTCCTGCAGCCCCCCACTCCCCCTCCCCTTACTGGAAAATGGAGCACTCCCCATCACTGTCACCCTGTCGCTATGCCGACACGACTACCATCGCCATGGCAACCTCTCAGCTGCTGGAGGGGCGTGCGTGTGGCAAGGGATGAGGAAGGTGGGTTACTGGGTGACACTGAGGTGGGCCAGGTCACATCAGCTAAACCTGCCGTTTCAAAAGGGATGATTGGTAGAAGGTTTTAAAAAACTGCTGGAAAACAAAGTGTTCCAAGTTTGGAGTAAGGCCCAGATTGAATTACGAGAGCGAAAAGGAGGGTGTGAACATTTATCCAGCTACGTCAGAATAAAAAGATAATGAACCCCCAAGGTCACATCTATGGCTAAACAAATACTAGAAAGAGAAGCAAGAGCATGTGTCTCTTTTTTCAACTTCCTCCATTCTGATGTCTGTCCTCGTGACTTTTTTTCTTCACCTCCAGTGTCACCAGACTAGAGTTTACTAGTTCTTTCCATTTCTAGAGAACCCAAAGAGGACCACGGTTCCACCACGAAGAGTTAGTTCCAGTGCAAAAGATGTGAGGGACATGAGGCTCTGGTGATGTGTAGACAGACAGGACTCCTTAGGAAAACAGCTGTGTTAGGAAGACAAGAGGCAGAAATGCATGTTAAATAAGGTTCCCACCCAAATCAAGTGTTTGTCATGCTGAAATAACAAGAGGGATTACCAGACGTTTTTCTAAAGCGTTTTTTCAGCAGTGGTCAGAAGGAAGGAACACAAGAGGTAAACATTTCTACTAGATGCTGACTGGATAAGAGAAGCAGGCTTGTGGCATAGGCAACATCACACTAAACTGATTTAGCTAGACAACAACAGGGGCAAGAGAATCTTGGCATTCTTCACTATTCTGTAACACAAGTGATATTTACAGATTAACGAAATATGTTTAAAATCTACATGATATTCAAATTAATCGCTCTAGCTAAAATCCAGTAGAACGACTAGATTATACTATGGGCAGCTAGCTGTATATGCCACTCTTTTGATAGCGTAAGTATGCATGTGAAACCCTTCATATTTCGTAGATGTTTCTGTTGCCACGTACCTTTCCCTTTATTTGATACTACTGTTTAGGCTTGTCATAAACCTGCTGAAATTAATCGTTTAGCCTCTTTTCCTGGGTTGTTTAGTCCTTTGTCTTTAACACTTTTACCCCTTCTAGCTCCATAGCTCTCCATGAGCATGCGCAAAACGTCATTCGCTTGTTTGCTTGTCATAGCGTGCGTCAGTCCCTCCCGTGAGACTTCGAAACCCAAGAGTTTCGTCTTTTTCATCTAAAAAAGGCGTGACCAAAAATGTTCAACAACGTATTGTTTGCACAAAAAAAAACATCCCAAACATAAATAAAACGGACAAAATTAATGGAAGTGCTCTTTTGTCTTGGAGTTACACCACCAGAAAATACAGTCACTGCATTTATTTTCTGAGACATTTTTTTAATGATTCAAATAAATTATGAAACCATGGAAAAAGAGGGAACGGGATATTGACATTGTTTTTACAAAACAAGCTGTTCCCCAACAAGCCCGGGCCAAATCTTACATACTTCACAATAATCCATGCAGAGACAGATAACTCATGAGGATCAATTCCCCAAAGATCACAAACCCAGAATCCAACAGTGACACAAAAAACGGTCAAAAATTGCACATACACTCACGTACGTATTTATTTGGACAGTGAAGCTAAACCTTTTACACTGAACAAAAATATACACGCAACATGTATAGTGTTGGTCCCATATTTCATGAGCTAAAATAAAATATCCCAGAAATGTTCAATACTCACAAAAAGCTTATTTCCCTAAAATGTTGTGCACAGATTTGTTAATATCCCAGTTAGTGAGCATATCTCATTTGCCAAGATAATCCATCCACCTGACAGGTGTGGCATATCAAGAAGCTGATTAAACAGCATGATCATTACACAGGTGCACCTTGTGCTGGTGACAATAAAAGGCCACTCTAAAATGTGTAGTTTTGTCACACAACACAATGCCACAGATGTCTCAACTTTTGAGGGAGCGTGCAATTGGCATGCTGACTGTAGGCATGTCCACCAGAGCTGTTGCCAGATAATTTAATGTTAATTTCTCTACCATAAGCCACCTCCGTTGTATTCGAGAATTTGGCAGTACGTCCAACCGTCCTCACAACTGCAGACCATGTGCATGGCATCATGTGCGCTCATTTTGGATTTGAGAATTCATGTTTTATATGAAGCGTCACTTTTTTGAAGTCAAGTTTACTGTAAATAAGAATATAATATGTTTGTCAACACTTCTACCAGGGCCGGCTCCAGGCATAAGCGGTCGTTTAGGGCCCCCGGACGTTAGGGGGCCCCCAGTCTTTTTGGGGGAACTCAGTCAGGGTCTCAACTTGCTATTGAGAGTAAGAATAGTAGAATACACCGGGTGCAATTTAGAAATTTAGTTGTGCATCATTCAGCAGTTTTTCTCTTGTTATGTCAGTCACTGACAGTCACTCAATTAGCCATGTCAGCTAACACTTTTTAGATTGGTAGTTAGCTGGCTAGACTATCTAAACTTGTAGTAATCATGGCCGAATACAGACCGGCACGTGCCAAGAGCCCTGACCTCCAGGGGCCCCCCATTGATTTTGTTAGTCATTCTCACTCATATCATATTAACATGGCATCGCAAAATGTGTAGAACTGCATGAAATTAGCTTTAAAACTGCAAAAAATTCAATTCACCCCATGTCAAAATGGATAGAATTGCAGGAAGTTAGCTGTAAAACTGCAAAAAAGTATCTCTGCCCCATGGCAAAATGAGAAGACTTGCATGAAATGTGTTACACAATTGCTAAATTTTCTCTCCGCCCAATGGAAAAATGTGTAGAATTGCAGAAAACTCGCAACATTTTCTCTCTGCCGTCAAGAGGGGGGCCACTAAAAAGTTTTGCTGCAAGGTGGGGAGGCCCCCAACCAAATCTTGCTTGGGCCCCCAAAAGGCTAGGGACGGCCCTGACTTCTACATTAATGTGGATGCTACCATGATTATAATAATGAATGAATTGTGAATAATGAGGAGTGAGAAAGCTAGAGGCATTAATATCATACTGACAAAAAAAATGCTAACCTCATCTGTTATTGGTAATGGTGAGAGGTTTGCATATTTTGGGGGCATGATCTTTGCGCATCTGTAACTTTCTCATTCGTCATATTCACGATTCATTCATAATGATCCGTAATAATGGTAGCATCCACATGAATGTAAAAGTGTTAAGAAACATACACTACCAGTCAAAAGTTTGGACACACCTACTCATTCAAGGGTTTGTCTTTATTTTTACTATTTTCTAAATTTTACAATAATAGTGAAGACATCAAAACTATGAAATAACACATATGGAATCATGTAGTAACAAAAAAAAGTGTTAAACAAATCAAAATATATTTTATATTTGAGATTCTTCAAAGTAGCCACCCTTTGCCTTGATGACAGCTTTGCACACTCTTGGCATTCTCTCAACCAGCTTCACCTGGAATGCTTTTCCAACAGTCTTGAAGAAGTTCCCACATATGCTGAGCACTTGATGGCTGCTTTTCCTTCACTCTGCGGGTCAACTCATCCCAAACCATCTCAATTGGGTTAAGGTCGGGTGATTGTGGAGGCCAGGTCATCTGATGCAGCACACCATCACTCTCCTTCTTGGTCAAATAGCCCTTACACAGCCTGGAGGTGTGTTGGGTCATTGTCCTGTTGAAAAACAAATGATAGTCCCACTGAGCGCAAACCAGACAGGATGGCATATCGCTGCAGAATGCTGTGGTAGCCATGCTGGTTAAGTGTGCCTTGAATTATAAATAAATCACTGACAGTGTCACCAGCAAATCACCCCCACACCTCCTCCTCCATGCTTCACGGTGGAAACCACACATGCGGAGATCATCCGTTCACCTACTCTGCATCTCACAAAGACACGGCGGTTGGAACCAACAATCTCAAATTTGGACTCATCAGACCAAAAGTCAGATTTCCACTGGTCTAATTTCCATTGCTTGTGTTTCTTGGCCCAAGCAAGTCTCTTGTTCTTATTGGTGTCCTTTAGTAGTGGTTTCTTTGCAGCAATTCGACCATGAAGGCCTGATTCACACAGTCTCCTCTGAACAGTTGATGTTGAGATGTGTCTGTTATTTGAACTCTGTGAAGCATTTATTTGGGCTGCAATTTCCGAGGCTGGTAACTCTAATGAACTTATCCTCTGCAGCAGAGGTAACTCTGGGTCTTCCTTTCCTGTAGCGGTCCTCATGAGAGCCAGTTTCATCTTAGCGCTTGATGGTTTTTGCGACTGCACTTGAAGAAACTTAAAAAGTTCTTGAAATGTTCCAGATTGACTGACCTTCATGTCTTAAAGTAATGATGGACTGTTGTTTCTCTTTGCTTATTTGAGCTGTTCTTGCCATAATATGGACTTGGTCTTTTACCAAATAGGGCTATCTTCTGTATACCAACCCTACCTTGTCACAACACAACACAACTGATTGGCTCAAACGCACAAATTAACTTTTAACAAGGCACACCTGTTAATTGAAATGCATTCCAGGTGACTACCTCATGAAGCTGGTTGAGATAATGCCAAGAGTGTGCAAAGCAGTCATCAAGGCAAAGGGTGGATGTTATGATGAGTTTCTAGGGTATCAAGTACTTAAGAATGTAATGATATATATGACTCCCGAGTGCCGCAGTGGTCTAAGGCACTGCATCGCAGTGCTAGCTGTGCCACTAGAGATCCTGGTTCGAGTCCAGGCTCTGTCGCAGCTGGCCACGACCGGGAGACCCATGGGCGGCGCACAATTGGTCCAGCGTCGTCCAAGGTAGGGGAGGGTTTGGCCGGCAGGGATGTGGGTTCGTTTCCCACAGGGGGCCAGTATAAAAAAAACACACAAAAAAACATGCATTCACTAACTGTAAGTCGCTCTGGATAAGAGTGTCTGCTAAATGACGTAAATGTAAATATACTTAGACATTTTTGATGGGGAG